GTAAGGCTATAGGCTTAGAAAAATCGTCGATTTTTTTGGAAAAAGTTTCGGTCTAAAAACAGGTTAATTAGCTCTAGTATGATTAGAATCAACTAGAAATCAGTTTGGTTTCGGAAAAAAAATTGATTTTTTGTAGAAATAAGTGATTTTAAGAGTGGTCATTTTTTGATGAAAAAGTAAGGCTATAGGCTTAGAAAAATCGTCGATTTTTTTGGAAAAAGTTTCGGTCTAAAAACAGGTTAATTAGCTCTAGTATGATTAGAATCAACTAGAAATCAGTTTGGTTTCGGAAAAAAAATTGATTTTTTGTAGAAATAAGTGATTTTAAGAGTGGTCATTTTTTGATGAAAAAGCAAGGCTATAGGCTTAGAAAAATCGTCGTTTTTTTTGGAAAAATTTTCTGTCTAAAAACAGGTTAATTAGCTCTAGTATGATCAGAATAAACTACAAATCAGTTTAGTTTCAGAAAAAAAGTTGATTTTTTGAAGAGATAAGTGATTTTAAGAGCGGTCATTTTTTGATGAAAAAGTAAGGCTATAGGCTTAGAAAAATCGTCGATTTTTTTGGAAAAATTTTCTGTCTAAAAACAGGTTGTTTAGCTTTAATATGATCAGAAAGAGCAAGAAATCAGTTTAGTTTCGGGAAAAAGTCGATTTTTTGAAGATATAAGTGATTTTTAGAGCGAACATTTTTCGATGAAAAAGTAAGGCTATAGGCTTAGAAAAATTGTCGATTTTTTTGGAAAAATCTTCTGTCTAAAAACAGGTTGTTTAGCTTTAATATGATCAGAAAGAGCAAGAAATCAGTTTAGTTTCGGGTAAAAAGTCGATTTTTTGAAGAATTAAGTGATTTTAAGAGCGGTCATTTTTTGATGAAAAAGTAAGGCTATAGGTTTAGAAAAATCGTCGATTTTTTGGAAACATTTTCTGTCTAAAAACAGGTTTTTTAGCTCTAGTATGATCAGAATAAACTAGAAATCAGTTTAGTTTCCGAAAAAAGTTGATTTTTTGAAGAAATAAGTGATTTTAAGAGCGGTCATTTTTTGATGAAAAATAAGGCTATAGGCTTAGAAAAATCGTCGATTTTTTTGGAAAAATTTTCGGTCTAAAAAGAGGTTGTTTAGCTCTAGCATGATCAGAATAAACTAGAAATCAGTTTAGTTTCAGAAAAAAGTTGATTTTTTGAAGAAATAAGTGATTTTAAGAGCGGTCATTTTTTGATGAAAAAATAAGGCTATAGGCTTAGAAAAATCGTCGATTTTTTTGGAAAAATTTTCTGTCTAAAAAGAGGTTGTTTAGCTCTAGCATGATCAGAATAAACTAGAAATCAGTTTAGTTTCAGAAAAAAGTTGATTTTTTGAAGAAATAAGTGATTTTAAGAGCGGTCATTTTTTGATGAAAAAGTAAGGCTATAGGCTTAGAAAAATCGTCGATTTTTTTGGAAAAATTTTCTGTCTAAAAACAGGTTGTTTAGCTTTAATATGATCAGAAAGAGCAAGAAATCAGTTTAGTTTCGGGAAAAAAGTCGATTTTTTGAAGAATTAAGTGATTTTAAGAGCGGTCATTTTTTGATGAAAAAGTAAGGCTATAGGCTTAGAAAAATCGTCGATTTTTTGGAAACATTTTCTGTCTAAAAACAGGTTGTTTAGCTCTAGTATGATCAGAATAAACTAGAAATCAGTTTAGTTTCCGAAAAAAGTTGATTTTTTGAAGAAATAAGTGATTTTAAGAGCGGTCATTTTTTGATGAAAAAACAAGGCTATAGGCTTAGAAAAATCGTCGATTTTTTTGGAAAAATTTTCTGTCTAAAAAGAGGTTGTTTAGCTCTAGCATGATCAGAATAAACTAGAAATCAGTTTAGTTTCAGAAAAAAGTTGATTTTTTGAAGAAAAAAGTGATTTTAAGAGCGGTCATTTTTTGATGAAAAAATAAGGCTATAGGATTAGAAAAATCGTCGATTTTTTGGAAAAATTTTCTGTCTAAAAACAGGTTAATTAGCTCTAGTATGATCAGAATAAACTAGAAATCAGTTAAGTTTTGGAAAAAAAGTTGTTTTTTTAAGAAATAAGTGATTTTAAGAGCGGTCATTTTTTGATGAAAAAGTAAGGCTATAGGCTTAGAAAAATCGTCGATTTTTTTGGAAAAATTTTCTGTCTAAAAACAGGCTGTTTAGCTCTAGTATGATCAGAATAAACTAGAAATCAGTTTAGTTTTGGAAAAAAAGTTGTTTTTTTAAGAAATAAGTGATTTTAAGAGCGGTCATTTTTTGATGAAAAAGTAAGGCTATAGGCTTAGAAAAATCGTCGATTTTTTTGGAAAAATTTTCTGTCGAAAAACAGGTTAATTAGCTCTAGTATGATCAGAATAAACTAGAAATCAGTTTAGTTTCGGAAAAAAGTTGATTTTTTGAAGAAATAAGTGATTTTAAGAGTGGTCATTTTTTGATGAAAAAATAAGGCTATAAGCTTAGAAAAATCGTCGATTTTTTTGGAAAAATTTTCTCTCTAAAAACAGGTTAATTAGCTCTAGTATGATCAGAATAAACAAGAAATCAGTTTAGTTTCGGAAAAAAAGTTGATTTTTTGAAGAAATAAGTGATTTTAAGAGCGGTCATTTTTTGATGAAAAAGTAAGGCTATAGGCTTAGAAAAATCGTCGATTTTTTTGGAAAAATTTTCTGTCTAAAAACAGGTTAATAAGCTCTAGTATGATCAGAATAAACTAGAAATCAGTTTAGTTTCGGAAAAAAAGTTGATTTTTTGAAGAAATAAGTGATTTTAAGAGCGGTCATTTTTTGATGAAAAAGTAAGGCTATAGGCTTAGAAAAATCGTCGATTTTTTTGGAAAAATTTTCTGTCTAAAAACAGGTTAATAAGCTCTAGTATGATTAGAATAAACTAGAAATCAGTTTAGTTTCGGAAAAAAAGTTGATTTTTTGAAGAAATAAGTGATTTTAAGAGCGGTCATTTTTTGATGAAAAATTAAGGCTATAGGCTTAGAAAAATCGTCGATTTTTTGGAAAAATTTTCTGTCTAAAAACAGGTTGTTTAGCTCTAGTATGATCAGAATAACTAGAAATCAGTTTAGTTTCGGAAAAAAAGTTGATTTTTTGAAGAAATAAGTGATTTTAAGAGTGGTCATTTTTTGATAAAAAAGTAAGGCTATAGGCTTAGAAAAATCGTCGATTTTTTTGGAAAAATTTTCTGTCTAAAAACAGGTTAATTAGCTCTAGTATGATCAGAATAAACTAGAAATCAGTTTGGTTTCGGAAAAAAAGTTGATTTTTTGAAGAAAGAAGTGATTTCAAGAGTGGTCATTTTTTGATGAAAAAGTAAGGCTATAGGCTTAGAAAAATCGTCGATTTTTTGGAAAAATTTTCTGTCTAAAAACAGGTTAATTAGCTCTAGTATGATCAGAATAAACTAGAAATCAGTTTAGTTTCGGAAAAAAAGTTGATTTTTTGAAGGAGTAAGTGATTTTACGAGCGGTCATTTTTTGATGAAAAAGTAAGGCTATAGGCTTAGAAAAATCGTTGATTTTTTTGGAAAAATTTTCGGTCTAAAAACAGGTTAATTAGCTCTAGTATGATCAGAATCAACTAGAAATCAGTTTGGTGTCGGAAAAAAAATTGATTTTTTGTAGAAATAAGTGATTTTAAGAGTGGTCATTTTTTGATGAAAAAGTAAGGCTATAGGCTTAGAAAAATCGTCGATTTTTTTGGAAAAATTTTCTGTCTAAAAACAGGTTGTTTAGCTCTAGTATGATCAGAATAAACTAGAAATCGGTTTAGTTTCAGAAAAAAAGTTGATTTTTTGAAGAGATAAGTGATTTTAAGTGCGGTCATTTTTTCATGAAAAAGTAAGGCTATAGGCTTAGAAAAATCGTCGATTTTTTCGGAAAAGTTTTTTGTCTAATAACAGGTTGTTTAGCTCTAGTATGATCAGAATAAACTAGAAATCAGTTTAGTTTCAGAAAAAAAGTTGATTTTTTGAAGAGATAAGTGATTTTAAGAGCGGTCATTTTTTCATGAAAAAGTAAGGCTATAGGCTTAGAAAAATCGTCGATTTTTTCGGAAAATTTTTCTGTCTAAAAAGAGGTTGTTTAGCTCTAGTATGATCAGAATAAACTAGAAATCAGTTTAGTTTCAGAAAAAAAGTTGATTTTTTGAAGAGATAAGTGATTTTAAGAGCGGTCATTTTTTCATGAAAAAGTAAGGCTATAGGCTTAGAAAAATCGTCGATTTTTTCGGAAAAGTTTTCTGTCTAAAAACAGGTTGTTTAGCTCTAGTATGATCAGAATAAACTAGAAATCAAATTAGTTTCGGAAAAAAAGTTGTATTTTTAAGAATTAAGTGATTTTAAGAGTGGTCATTTTTTGATGAAAAAGTAAGGCTATAGGCTAAGAAAAATCGTCGATTTTTTTGGAAAAATTTTCTGTCTAAAAACAGGTTGTTTAGCTCTAGTATGATCAGAATAAATTAGAAATCAGTTTCGTTTCGGAAAAAAAGTTGATTTTTTGAAGAAATAATTGATTTTAAGAGCAGTCATTTTTTGATGAAAAAGTAAGGCTATAGTCTTAGAAAAATCGTCGATTTTTTTGGAAAAATTTTCTGTCAAAAACAGGTTGTTTAGCTCTAGTATGATCAGAATAAATTAGAAATCAGTTTAGTTTCGGAAAAAAAGTTGATTTTTTGAAGAAATAATTGATTTTAAGAGCAGTCATTTTTTGATGAAAAAGTAAGGCTATAGGCTTAGAAAAATCGTTGATTTTTTTGGAAAAATTTTCTGTCGAAAAAACAGGTTGTTTAGCTCTAGTATGATCAGAATTTGTTTGCAAACAACGGAGAAGATCAAATCTAATTTTTTCAAGGCCAATAATCTTTAGCCTTCCCAAATATCGATAAGATCAAATTCACTTATCTTTCTAAGCCTTTAGCCTTTCTTTTTGCCAAAAAATCTATGTAATGATAATAATAATTTTGAAAACTTTGATGTTCATTTGATTTCTTTTATAGATAACGAAGGCAAGAAGAAGCTGAATATCGCAACTCGGCCATTATATTATATTTTGAATATAATTTATCTTTTCATTTCTGTTTTATAAAATCTAGTGTGAAGATCAGAATCTGTGGTGCGTGTTGGTAGATCAAAGTTTTAATCTACAAATATTTACAAAAACAAACAAAGGAATCTTTCTTGTAAAAAATATATTTTCATTAGGGTGATAAAGTACAAAAAACGTTTGGATGGCTTATGAATTCAAAGACGTATTAAGGATAGCACAATATTTCTTAGGAAACAATATCATAACATCTACAGAAAATTGTCACAGTTTTTGTATTTTTGTTTCCCCTCTCTTAATATTGTAGGGTTCCTGGTGATAATCTAACCAGGATTAGAAGCATAAACACTTGGAATAAATGAATCAACGTTGCACGGGAAGAAAGGGGGATTAGAAAATTTAGTGGCAGCTTGCCTAATTTCACGGGGATGGGCTGAATAAGTGGGGTTATTACTTTTAAAGCGTGAATAGCGTTCCCTTACAACTATATTTAGCAAGATTTGTAGCTCGCCATTTATTTACTCGTGCTTTGGGATCAAGAGGATATTCAGGGCGATTGCTGGGAAAGTGCTGCATGTCTTCTCACATAGGAAAGTGTTCCGTGTCTTCTCACATCTACTACACCTTATTAGACATCAGATTTCTCAAAGACTCAGACCAGTAAGAAACTTAAGGATCCAAAACACTTTGTCCTAAAAGCACTTACAACTATCCATTGAATAGAGGCCAGAGTTTTCTCAAAGGCAAAAAGGTTTTACCGCTTTAAGTCTATCGTTTTGTCCTTGATTTTCGTAAAGAGTAGACCAGGGACATTACTAAAGATATGAACGTCCTGAATAGGTAAAGTCGAGCCACCGCTGTTCGGATCAGTTGAATCACATGTCCCTTACAAAACTAGTTTTTTAGTGGTGTGGGGTAGTACTGTAGTCATGACCGCTGGATAGAAGTGTCTGTATTATAGGAGATACCTTCAAAAACGTTGTGATTATTGGAACAAAATGTCGGTTTTGGCTAGGTGCCTGTTGTATATCCTTTGAATTGAATCGCAAAGTATCATGCTTTTGTACAAGTAGAGGTATTTTCTAATGGTCTTTAAAGTTACGAGGTCAAAATTGATGACTTCTATAAATCGATTTTTTAGACATCGTCGCTTTGAAACCCTATTGTGCAAATGTAGACTGGGGGGGGGGGTGTCAATCACTCGTATTCTCGGAGTTGTTTGTCTCACCAACAATATACGTGATAGAAGAATCCACATCTTGCCCCTAGTGCCCCGGTTGCCCCTATTGTACTCACAACAGACGTTTCCAAACGTTATCAGCTCCGAGCAGACCGATGCTATGAATCATTTGTTTCCAAGAAAACAAAATTATCAATCTCTAACCTCGTTCTCCCCATTCTTCTTTCTCGCTTCACGATGTTCAATGCGAAATGAAGCCGTTGGGGTACTTGAAATTAAAGCCTCGTTGTCAATAGGCGGCAAGCTTCGTATACTAGATCTTGAGTTAGGATTCGAGAATATTCCGTTCGAATGCTGGTTGCCTGCCAATGTCTGCAAACAAGAAGCGTTACAAAATCAGGGCCTAAAATCTTAAAAACAATACAGTACCGTAAATCCTCGAATTAGCCCTCTGGGGGTTACTTATTTTTGATATTTTGGATGGGGGCTTTCTCGAGTGGGGGGGGGGCTTCTAAGATTATTGTAGACATTAGGAAGACATTATTAAAAGATCTCGTTTATTTTAGTGGGAATTTCATTATGAGCATTTGATTGATTATTACCAAAAGTATGAATTTTTGCGGTAGCTCAATAAAACGCCAAAGGCAACCTCAGATGTCAAAAATCATCAAATTGAGGGGTCCAATTTAAGAATGTACGGTAACAGTGGGCGTTCATTAGAGGGTGGGGGGGGTGTTTATTGAAAATATGTAATTCTAGGGTGGGGGCCTATTCGAGGGTGAGGAGAATTTTTTGTGGGGGGAAGGCAGTTCGAGGATTAACGGTATATGGCGTCGCTTGAAAATTGTATATAGAACTGCCGTGGATAGAGCTTTTGAAAAGAGATAGCAAGAATGGAAACTGCAAAGGTGATGCGAGGACATTATAAGGAATGCACATTGGCATGGTCGACGATTGCATTAAACGAATAATATCAAAATCTTACCGGCCTGCGTGCCTCAGCAGAACGAGATCTTAGGTGCCTTCGATCGCTTGCAAAATTATGATTTTCTTTACCATATCGCAAATCGGTCTACAAAAATTCAAAAAGGAATTCTCACACAAACTATGTTTGGAAAAGACAAAGAAAAAGAGGAAAAGAGGAAGACGGTCAAGGACATAATTATTTGTGGCACAGTCGACAAAATAATCAGGGCCAGAGTGTCTATTTAGCAGGGAGTGCGCATTGTACAACATTGATCTTATATTCTAACAGTGAGGTTATGTTCTGCTTTTCTTGGTATCAAAGTCGATTGCAAGGCTGACGCCTCTCCAATCAAGAACATTTTTCTTTTCTACGGCCCTGAGAGTTCACATTAATCAGATGTCAAAGGTCATGATACCAGAAAATTTGAAATTATATGCCCAGTTGTGGATCGAAATAGGCCAATCAGATAAACGCAAGCACATGACCGAGGGTCTACATACAAACAAAAAAGCAGCCATTGTGTAGACAGAAAGAGTTTTCTCTCTTGTACTCCAGTGGTAATTTCTCTATAGACACGCGGCACTGATTGGACAACTTTGCCGGTCATGTGCTTGCGTTTACCAGAAAGAATGAATTGGTGAGATTACAAGGGTCACGGCACCAGCAAGAATGAATACTCGAGAATGATATTTACCAATTTGTATCTTCCACGATACACATTGCCATCTGTACCAAGTAGCATATCTACAATTGTGTTCTCTCTTTTCCGTTGATCCACAAAACTTCTAGACAGATGTCCAATATCTGCTGAAAGACAAAAAAGGTCGAGAAATGATATCACGTGAGCAAGAATGAGAAATTACAACAAAGGATGATCCATAACAGCAGTAAGCGACAACTTCTTTGAGGATACAACCAGGGGTGCAATGTTATGAAAAGAGCAACGGGGGCCAAAGAATTCTCTAAAACCAATAGCAAGAATTGAAAAAGGCTGTTTTTTTTATCAAAAAGGTTCCTCGGTTAGATGAAAGTCAAAGACGCCTTTATTTTGAGAGATCAGTTTGCGTCAATTAAAGGCCAGCACTTGTAAATTTTGATGTAAAAAACTTTTGTGTATTTTTGCCAGGAATGACATTTTAAATATCAAACCAAAATAAACTAACATAGATATTAAACATGAAAATATTAAATAGATTGATATAAAAATATCGTTACTATGATAAATCCCTGTATGCCAGAATGAAATATTCATTAACTTTTTCATAAAATATTTCGCCTTTCAATTAGGTTTAATCTTCTTATTTGTTATCGAATGTCACCAGAAAATTCTCCTCGATAGAACGTTTAATCACGAGTTAGAACTTAGAACCATCCTGTTCTACACACCAAAGAGTGAACTGCTCTGTCTAGAATTTACGATACCACACGGGGCGTTATCGTGGCACTAACATGAATAAAGCTTGAGAAATCTCTTTACTAAAGTTAACGATTATTGGATTGACATTTACTCTGGTGAAGCCCTGTATGCCGGGGCGTTACATTGGATTCTCGTCGTCGTATTGCTTTGTTCCTGAGTATCTTTCGTATCTTTCGTATTGTTGCAAGATTCACAGAATCAGGCGGACAGCCTATCCTGCGGTTCTTCCTTCTTACACACTTAATATTACAACTCTATTGAGTCTGAGACATTTAAATATCCGATATGTAACCTTGTTATCAAATTATCACCAGAAGACTCTCCTCGATGGAACGTTTAATCATGAGTTGGAACTTAGAGCCATCCTGTTCTACACACCCAGGAGTAAACAGGTCTATACGACATTGAAGACTATTCAACAGCCAATTAACTGTACTCTTCCCTAATTAACATTCAAAATACACAAGTACAATCACTACCAAATTACTTGGAACACCTAACACTTTGCGCTGTGCTTTTCTATTTTTCATTTGTTTTCTTGAATACTACCACTTCCGCCTCCCTTTCCCCTCTAAACAATGTTGAAAGTATAGAAAAATATCATACAAGGCACACAGAAAAGCGTACTCTACAATCCCTCCCGTTTTTATAGTAAATCAACATTGTTCTTAGGGGGAGATGGGGGTGGCTGAATTTCCCTTTGAAAACTGACGTTATTGTTCCAAGACTTTTGGCAGTGATTGTTGTTTGCACTGTACTGTATCGAGTATTCTATGACATACAGATGATCAATAAAAATCATAATATTGTAAATACCAGCTCTTTTGTGAGGAGAAGGCTTGATGCCTTTCTTTGGACTATGTGCGACAGTTGTGTGGTTACCTCCACAAGCACGTGATACCGAAAATGGATCTCTCCATGAATTCCTCTCCATGGAAGACTTTTCATCCCTTGGCGATACTTCATTGGATTTTGACAGCTGAAAAGAAGATCAAAGGTATCTGCTAAGCTTCATAAGCGTTGTGTCTAAATCAAATGCGACTATGCATTTGCGGCAGTCTTTTGCAAGAAAAGGAGTTACAACCACTTCGTACTTCTGAGGCAGCCATACCTTTAAAGCAGTTCATTTTATGATAGTCAGAAAGAGATGACAGAGAGAAGAGAAAAAAGAAAAGAGAGAAAGGAAGAAGAAGGGAAAGGAAGAAGCTCTTGAGACAAATTGGAAGAAGAAAAGAGTAAATGAAAAGTGGAGAAAAAGAGTAAATAGACCAAGATTAAGAAAGAAGAAAGAGAAGAAGAGAATGGAAAGAAAAGAAGAAGAGAAAACAGACCAAAATGGAGAAAGAAAGAAGGGGAAGAAAAGAAAGAAGAGGTGCAAGAAGATAAATAAGAAGATGTAAATGAAAGGAGAAGGAGAAGAGAAAACAGACCAAAATTGAAAACGAAGAAGTGGAAGACAAAGAAGAACAAAAAGCGTAAAGTGAAATAGGAAAAGAAGAAGATGAAGGTGGAGAGGAAAGAAGCAATACGGCTTATTAAGTATAGGTCATTTACCTGTCCGACATTACTCGCACCCTTGTACTTCCTGTAATGAGTGGATATAGCATTTCCGGTTCCATCAAGATGAACTGGTCGGTCACATGAAATACAGTGGAACAATGTGCTTAATGGGCGTCTGAAGCCGGCTGCTTTTGTGATGATATGCTGGCCAGCTTGGGATACCAGGTTATCACGAGACTTTTGCAGCTGTGAAATACGCGATTCTGTAAATAGAAACAAATCAATTAACAACCTTGTGATACCCATAATTCAAAGCCAACCACAAGGAATCTAGGTTACAAGATAGCTTAGAATAAATAAGACTGTTGCATGATTCATTCAGGCAAATAATTGGCAAGCTTTTTCGAATTTAGGATTTGTTAGGTCCCCATAACTTTTGTTGTTTAGCGCCTTAGAGGAGGTCACACATTGCTATGAAGATTGTCGTTACAATATAGCCCAACAAAGATCAATATTGCAATAATATCCAACAATGCATCTCTTTTGCAACAGAGCGTCTAAACATATCTATGGAAGTTTAATTGTAAGCCCTCCTTTTATAAAAGAAGATTTATATCAAGATAGGATAATCAAAAAGAGATTGAATGCAAGCAGCTTGAACCTTGGTCCTTCATTTTGGATATTCATCAATTTAACAATGAAAAAAAGAATGATTTAATCAACTAATTAAAATAAAGGTTAATGAATCAAGGAATGAATAAATTAATTAAAGAATGAAGTACGAATTAAAATATAAATGTATGAATGAATCAATTAAAGGAGAAATGGTTGAAGAAACGACGGAAAAATGCTTAGATGAATAAATGAATGAATGAATGAATGAATGAATGAATGAATGAATGAATGAATGAATGAATGAACGAATGAATGAACGAATGAATGAATGAATGAACGAATGAATGAATGAACGAATGAATGAATGACTGAATAAATGAAAAAGTTTAACAAATAAGAAACTGATGAATGACTGAATTCTTGAATAGATAAACAAACAAATGAATGAAGAAAAGGATGAATGAATGGATAAACAAATAGACGAATACACTAACAAATAAACGAACGGGCTAACGAATAGATGGATGATTGAACTAAAACTCACCCAGGTACTTCTTAAGTGATTCCTCCGCAGTGGCATCCAACTTTTCCCTCATGTTATCATTCATTCTCTCAAGAGCCTCCTTCAGGCTTTCTTCCTCGCTTGCATATCGATCGAGCCGCTGAAGCAAATCCTCAATGCTTTTCTGTAGGCCTAACATCATTTGATCGAAATCATTCATGCTAACCTAAAAGAAGATTGAGATTCCAGCTTGCTCTATGTGACATCCATAGCAGTAAATAGAATCTTTTAATTATCAACAAAATATCATACATAACAATGCAATGAAAAAAAGGCAGCGATAGCATACACAAAACATAACAAAACATAACAGTATGACAAATAATAATGGCGAGCAATACAAGGCAATATTATACACAATATTTTACGAGCCACTGTGCCCTCTCCCAACCAACAATTTATTCAAGGCTCACAAATGTTAAAGGTCAAAGGTGGTTTGATCATGATAGAAGATCGGAGGTCTTAAAAGTCAAAGATCACAGTTCACATTTAGAAAGCTAAAAACCAGTTACGTCAGTGTTGAGTGTTTCCTTTTAGTAAGATGGCAATCGATTAAAAGATCAAAAATCAGGGGGGAAATGTCGAGGATCAAAGGTCAAGATTCAGAAAACTAAAATCCAGCTATTTTAGCCCTTTCTGGTAGACTTCAAAGTTAGATCAAGGACGATTACCCGATCGAAGGACTTAAAAGTCAAAGATCATGTGGAACACCAAAGGTCAAGGTTCAGGAAGCTAAAAACCAGATACCTTTGTGTCGAGTGCCATTTTGTAGGCCTAAAGGTAAGTTCATGGTAGCTTATAAGATCAAAGTTTTCAAAGGTCAAAGATCATGTCAAATATCAAAGATCAAATTTGCAGAACTAAAAACTAATCACCTTAGTGTCCAACGCTTTCTTGTAGGCCTCAAGGTCAAATATCGAAGTAGCATTTCCGATATCAGCTTTGCTCCTTTGCAACTGTTCCACGCATTCGTATAAAGCGTCGATCAATTGCTGCAGAAAAGAATGTAAGACCAAATGAACTATTTGGCGCATTACGATATTTAGAGTAAAAGTAAATACGTGTACTGAGGGAAAAGTTTTGCTCAGGCTTTGCTCAAATCTAGACCATTTGTCAGTGATTCCATAGAGAAAAAGCCTGAAATTTCTGGAAAAGAAAATACAAGGTGTGGAGGAGAAAAATGGATAAGAAAGGAAAAAGGAAGGAAGGAAGGAAGGAAGGAAAGAAGGAAGGAAGGACGGAAAGAAGGAAGGAAGGAAGGAAGGAAGGAAGGAAGGAAGGAAGGAAGGAAGGAAGGAAGGAAGGAAGGAAGGAAGGAAAGAAGGAAGGAAGGAAGGAAGGAAGGAAGGAAGGAAGGATGTAACGGATGTAACGAAAGGAAGAAAATACAAGAATATGAAAATAAGAAAGAGGAAAAAACGTTAAAGAGAAATGGAGAACATACGTCGTTGCTGCGATATGCCAATGTTCGAGAAAGGTTTTAATTAGAAGGGCTTAACAAAAGCAAATCAAGAAAGACCTTTACAAAATGTTTGGAGAAATGTGTATAGCAAAAACAAAGACAAATTGTACCTGTTTTGCTTTTAGCTCTTTATAAACGTTTGCATTCAGATTGGCAAGCCCAGTCGAAGTCTTGGTCTCTCTTTCATCCAACTCAATCAAATGCTCTTTAATTGCATTTATACTATTGCCAACCTCGTCTTCGTCATTATCCTCTTTTCCAAAATTACTTAGCAACCTGTCAATATCTGCTCTGGCTGAATCGATTAGCGATTTATTGCATTCAGCTATTTGGTTTGTCGATGTAATTTGTTGCTTGAGAGCTAGTAGAAAAATTAAAATAATATGAAATGACCCAGCAACTAATAAAGACGGGATGATTGCACTTTAGCGACCCACTTTTTTGTTCCCTGGTCGGAAGCTGAATTGAATTACAAACCTTTCGATCTAGCCTGGTTTCTGAACAACAGAAAGTTCGAATCTCAGATGTTCAGCCAGTTAAGGATTCACTCTCGCACAATTGCAGCTATACACCAGTTTCAAAATCAGTTTGGATGACTTTGCTTTTTGATTTTTTTTAGCTGCCTTGGGGGCTACCGCCCCCAAACCCCTGTTAATTCATCATAGATTGATTCATTTTACTCCATTCCCAGTTATAAACAAATGTCTTGGTTTCTTCAAATCTTCATTCTCACTGTTGCTCGCGTCATTGTTGCTAGGTAGTAGCGATTCAATTCAACTTTTGACCAGGAAACAAAAAAGTGGCTTTGAAAAAAGCAAACATTTTACGACATACTAAAAGCTTTTTCGCCTGACACTCCTCAGAGCATAAAACGTCAGAATAAGGTTCCGAAAGAACACGATGGAAAATAAAAAAGGTGGGTCTCTAAACTGCAGTCTAGCCATAAAGACTATGTGTTACCTCTGCGGATCCGAGCAGAGAGAGGCGTAGAATAATCAAGACACTTGTACTTTGTAACCCTGATTCTGATCGTAAACTGAATTCCAGTACTCTAACCCTTACCGATATATCCCTGGTTAATTTAGTATGTAATGACATTCATGCTATGGGTTGTTGACACATGCAAAAAGAAAAATGGCTCGTAATGATACGGTTTGTTGACAAATACAAATAGGACAATGACAATGGAGCATAACATACAACATATCACATACATATTTGATATGTTTCTTGTATGAAAATGTGTTTTAAAACAACAAGGAATCCAGTCTTTTACTTCAGAATAAGCACGTGATCGTAACAATTCTACAAGATTTGAAAAACATGTAGCATTTTGTGAAGCTTACCGAATGTTTTGTTGACAAATGTGGAAATGAAACTTCTTCAAAAGCTTTAACAGACGCTTATTAATTCTACTTTTAATCTTCTTACGGTAGATTTAGGCCCACAGTCATCTAAGCCTGTGAGTCATGTCCTCCGTTGAAATTAGCTTGATGACCACAATACGAGATAAGGACATGTAAAACACAGTACATTTCTGTGAACAATTTTTTTGCGGTACAGAATTTGAAAATGGCTTTGAAAAAAGCAAACATTTTACAACATACTTAAAGCTTTTTCGTCTGACACTCCTCAGAGCATAAAACGTCAGAATAAGGTTCCGAAAAAACACGTTTGAAAAATATATACCCAGTTGTGGATTGGATTGGATTGGTAACACTTCCTTGCGATTCGAGAGTCAAATTAGGCAAGCCATAACCAATTGTTTCTTTGCTGTCAATCCTCGGATTGTTTACAGCACTAGGAGAGCCCTTCCATCCATTCAAAAGGATTGCGTCCCTACCAAACAAAAAAGTTCCGTCATTTATGAATTTACGTGCCAGTGTGATTCTGGCTACGTAGGGCGCACAACCCAAAGATTGGGGGATAGGATAAAACAGCATGTTCCTTCCAACATACGAAACAAAACTGCCCCTCAAAGAGAACAGCCTCCTCGATCTTGTAGGTCTAGAAACACTGTTAAAACAAGTGATTCTGCCATTGGTCAACATCTTTTAGACAACCCAGATTGTGCAAAACTCTATAATGACGACATGTTTCGGATAATTGGCAGAGCCCGGTCGTCCTTCCATCTAGCAGTTTTGGAGTCAATCTACATAAAAACGAAAAAGCCGCCATTGTGTAGACAAAAGGAGTTCGTTTTCTCTCTTGGACTCCATTGGTAATTTTTCTTTAGGCTCGCCGCACTGATTGGTCAACTATACCGGTCTTGTGCTTGCGTTTTTCTGATTGGCCTATTTCGATCCACAACTGGGTATATATTTTTCAAACGTGTTTTTTCGGAACCTTATTCTGACGTTTTATGCTCTGAGGAGTGTCAGACGAAAAAGCTTTAAGTATGTTGTAAAATGTTTGCTTTTTTCAAAGACAGTACATTTCTGCTAGATATGCGAGAAAGCTTAGGCTTTTGAAAGCGATTCACTTGCTTGTCGCAAAACAAATCCGTTACAAAAATGGTATTCAAAATGTCGTCACTAAATCTAGTTCAACGCAGGGATGTCTGAAGAGCTGTAGGGCAATGAAGGCAAATAATAACAAGATAGAGAAAATTTTGTCAGACCAAGACGGCAACCATTTCCAGACAGATCCTCTTAGGGAAATGATCCAACTGCAGGCGTCTTGTGGTAAAAATGTAACCATTCTCAGGTTTATAATGAGAAATTTCAACCCATTTTCCGACGTTCATTTCAAAAACCATCCATTTCGGCCCCACAACCTTTCTATGGCCCAACATCCCCTGCTGGAGTACGACTCAAGACGTCTGATCTACCACTGCAGTGAGATCTGCCATGATATAGCAAAAATCTTTCAACAAAAATGCAAATGAACAAACCATCAAGTTCTTTGTCAAGGCTCCTATTTTCTTCAATTGGTTTTCCACTCGCTTTGAGAGAGTCAATTTTGGACTCTAAATCACCATATTTGGACTCCATATCACCATATTTGGACTCCATATCACCATATTTGGACTCCATATCACCATATTTGGACTCCATATCGCCGTATTTGGACGCCATTTCGCTCAATCTTCTCAAACAATCTTGTAAAGCCGCTGATGGATGCCTCTCTTGGGATTCTTTCCCAGAAGGAGGCTCAAATGCCTGGTCTTCAGTTGTCAGTTGTGTACCATCCTATAAAACAAAATAATGGCTAAACATGGGCAATGAAAGCTGTAATCTTGGCAAAAAATAGCTGAGACATTGGAACAAAAAGCAATTCGCGTGCTATATCTTCATACTACTTGTGCTGCTGGCCTAACTTCCTTCCCCGGGGGTCAATGTTGGTTACGTTGGTTACCAATCCAATCACAACGTTGATTTGAGTAGAGAGCTTCAAACGGGTGTTTTGAATAAAGCTTCTTTTTTGCAAGTGTCTCAGCATTTTTTGCAGAGATTATGGGAGTAGTTGGGAGTAAAACCGTAGGATCTTTTTTCACCCAAAGTTTTGCACTAGGGTCTCCATCCCGTTTTCTTAGGCTTTGATAGCCTGGTAAAACCCAAGTTCTAAGCTGGCTCTCGATGCAACAATAATCGATCGGGCTTTATGGGCATAGATTAGAGAAAAAATGGTCTTCAAAAATTCATAACCACATTGTTTCGAAAAATAAAAAAGTTATTGCGCGGTCAAAATAGCTGCTTCTTCGTTATGGAAAGGGTAGTGTTCTAGACCTTTTAGAGAGCTACACAACCCCGTCAGCGAGAGCTAACGCCACCACGGATGTCGAATCGTCATATTTCTAGGATGTGCAAGATTATATATTTGGTTAATTTAGCTCTTTCTATACGACTCTTAATATTGCAAATTTAATGGTAAAAACTAACCTGCTTATCACCTTCAGATGTATGACTTCCATTTTCATTCTCTCCCCTATTAATTTCACTGCCTCCTTCAAGAGAAGTCCCATCCACGCTATCAAGTTTCTCAGGAGATCTTTCACGTTGATTTTTGCCACTTTCTGTTCTACTTGGCAACCTCTCTTCATTAACACTTTTGCGTGCTATACTGCCTTCCTTCTGAATGTCATCTTTCTCAGGTGTATCTTTATCATTTTCTGATCCCCGTTTTAAATACCCCCTCACATCTAATGCGTCCTCTAATGCAGACCATTTGACGTACTCAACCATTTCCTTTCGCGGTGTTAACCCTTCTATTCTTTTCTTCAAATCTGCTAGTTCTTTATCAAACTTGCTATAATCGTCCTTAGAATTCGTAGCCTCTAGATCACGCAGCCTCTTTTCCAAATCACTAATTACGTCATCATTAGCCAAATTTTTATTCGAGGCTTTAAACGTATCTAAAGTTTGCTCAACGATATCAAGTCTTTTGTTAACAGCAGCTATATCATTTTCAAATCCATTCATTTTATCTAGCCTCGTTTGCATTGCTGTGACGTCATCCTTAAGCTTTCTCATCTCCTCCACAATGTCATTTTCTCGATCATTATTATACGCTCCTTTCAACTTCTTTTGTTCATTTGTCAATATATCCAACATTGCAAACAACTTATCGACGCCATCTTCCAAAGCTTGCAGCCTCTTGTTCACACGAACGTTGTTCCAAGAATTATTCAAGAATTTTCCACTTCCGGGTTCTCCTGACTCTTCAACTTCTTCGTTGTATAAAGAAACCTGTCCCTCCACTGGGCTGCTTTCATTTTTAGAATTATCCAGCAGCCCTCTTCTCTTTGAAAGCAGTTCCTCTCCGCTTGGTAAAGAGTCGAGAGGTGCAAATTTTGAATTTTCATTTTCGATTTTAAGGAGTCTCTTCGCGATGTCATCTTGCTTTTCTCTGACGCTAAAAATAGATAAATCAATGAACTGATGAGTCATCATAATAATCATCTCAATTTCATTTATACGAATCGGTGAATCTGTGTTACAACCGTTGTTTTACAAAAGTACTTTGCAACAGGCTAGCCTGAATTTTCTAAGAAAGTTTCAAACTATATCAACCAACTTGGATAAAAGTGCGAGAGGTTAAACTGAGAGAATTAAAACAAACCAAATTGAAAAGATAGGAATCAAGGCTCTAGACATTGTCGAGTCTTTCAACAAACGACGAAGGACGTCAATCCGCTTAAAGTCACACTGCTGGCTACTGTCACATGAAACTTAGATCCAAATATATCAAACGATTAAAATCAGATCCCTTTACAGCAGGGACGAATTTAGCAGAGGGTGTAGGGGGTGCGACACCCCCAATATTTCTAGGGAGGTAAAAGCGGCGTGGAAAGGAACTGGCCACCCTACCACACAATGCCGTGGCCCAGGACGATGCGCCCCTAACAGTGCATTCCCCAACATTCGATATCGAATACGGGACCAAAACAAAAAACAAAACAAAAGTAACAAAGTAACGCCAAGAGTTTACTTTATTAATCTTCTTATCTTCTTAACATAAAAGTTAAAGACCGAATCTTAAAAATGGACGTTTCCATCATTTACCAGTGACCTGAAGCGTGTGGCACCAAAATTCAATTAATTTCTTTTATCCCCCAATCATTGTTGCTTAAATTCGTCCCTGGTTTACAATCACACCCAGCTTACTGTTCAAAAAATATTTTAGGATACTATACCGTCTGTGTAATTGATCGACAGAGGAGGGAAAACACACTTTCATATTTGAGCGATTTTTGGCGGCGCGAAATTTGATCATGGCTTTGAAAAAGCAAACATTTTACAGCATGCTGAAAGTTGAAACGAAAAAGCCACTTTTGTGTAGACAGAAAGAGTTCGTAAAAGCCACTTGGAAACCAGTGGTGATTTTCCTACAGACATGCGGCACCGATTGGACAACCATACCGGTCATGTGCTCGCATTTTTCTGATTGGCCTATTTCGACCCACAACTGAGTAATATGTTCTATCTTGTTCTTTCGGAAACTTATTCTGACGTTTAATGCTCTGAGGAGTGTCAGACGAAAAAGCTTTCAGCATGCTGTAAAATGTTTACTTTTTCCAAAGCCAAATTTTATCTCTGAAATTCTTGATCAATCGAAATATTTGATAATTTACAAGATCTTTTGAAAGGGAACCCTTGTTGTTGAGAATGGTGACTCGTTGACATAAAAATAACCACGATCTTTCACAGGCACCGCGGAGCATTGAGAAAAATGGGAGGTCTGAAAAAGTGGGGGGGGGGGCTAACACCGTACAAAAAGAGGCTTTACTGGTACTTTATTACTTAATATTTGGCATTTTTGCAAAAAGTGGGGGGGGCTAAAGGGAAGTGGGGAGCTAAATCCCCCCAGCCCCCCTGCTCCGCGGTGCCTGTTTCATTGATTGCGTTCTGACATCATTAATTTCTCCAGAGAAACTCGAAACCGCAGGTGTGCAGGTGTTGGAAAGTAATTTAGTGGTCACAAAGAGTGTTTAACATAAACACTTAAAAGTTTTTCACAACTTAAGCAAGGGAACGTCAAAAGCTTACAACCAAAGTGTAAATACTGTGCACAGATGATCTGTGAGATAGCAATTAAAAACTAATGTTTCAAAAATAAAAGGTAACTAAAGCTTATACATAAATTTTGTCTGCAAATAAACAGAGAAAGTTCAGAAAAACCATTCCAGAGCAAAAATGTTTTCGGAAATATCACAAAAAGATAGATCACATTGCAAATTCCTAAAATTCATGTTTCACTGTTTGCCTGACCCTCGCCACAAACCATTTTGACAATTATATCGGGATGGCAGAGTAGGTCTCAAGTAACTTTTTACTTGGACAAAACGCAATTCGTGATGTAGTGAGATGCAGTGGCTGGCGGTGGGAGGGGGGGATGGGAAGAAGAACAATAACAAACGATTTTTCTCTCACTTTTCTCAGAAACCTTGAAATTGATCCCTTAATGCTCCCTAAAAATAGGGAGGGCATATCTACAGTGGGATGCAGTGGTTGGGGGGACTTTTTCTGACTATTCTCAGAAATCTTGAAATTGGCCCCTTGATGCCCCCTGAAAATGGGGAGGGCATATATACAGTAAAAACTTAATTAGGTTATTGAATACAAAAGTTATCCCTTTATATCTGCAAGAACATAGTCGAAAGCAGAAGTTCACAAGGAAATAATTTTGGGGGGGGGGGGGGGAGAAAGAATTTATGAGAGAAGTTTGAGGCATATTCCAATTAGGGAGCAAACTTCTCCAGAACACTTTGAAATTGGGGTACTTCAGGGGGTTTATAGCCTCCTATTCCCATACTGAATGTGCCCCTTGAAAAATAAAGTAAACACTAGTTGGCATTTGAAATTTCTTTTTCATCTGTTTGTGAAAGCCAATGGAAACAGAGAATCAATGTAACATAATTTTCAGCTTGTGATTTGGCAAATCTCAAGGGGTGTGAAATAAAGCAAGTAGAAGTGTTAAAAATGATGATTTACAACAACTTAGAAAATTCTTTAATTTCCTTAAATAATAGATTGCAGGTGGTAACTTAGCAATTTTCTCACTTAACACAAATACCATGCCATAGATCATTTCCCCTATGTACAATAAAGATGTAAATAAAAGGGAAATTCAAAATCTCTCCAGACCTTAAAAGAAGTGATCTTTAAATCATTTTATGTGCATAGACATGAGGGGTAGAGGATTTGGTAGAGGGTTAAGGTAAAAGGGTAAATTGGAACTAGGCAAAATATCTGATAAAAAGTAAGTTGGCCTTGATTTCTTGGCCATCATTATAAAACTTCCCAGTGATGTGAGAATAATTACTTTTTCAACCACTCACACATGCTATTAAAGAAAATGTTGAGGAACTTAGAGGTATGGGATAACGAGAATTTTTATTAAAATGCATTAGATGTGAGGGGGTATTTAAAACAGTGATCAGGAAATTCTAAAGATACACCCGAGAAAGATGATATTAAGAGGGAAAGCAGTATAGCATGTGAAAGTGTTAATGAAGAGAGGTTGCCAAGTAGAGGAGAAAATGGCAAAAATCAACAAGAAAGATCTGCTGAGAAACTTAATAGTGTGCATGGGAGTCCACTTGGAGGAGGCAGTGGAGAAATTAAAAAGGGAGAGAATGGGAGTGGGAGTCATGCTTCTGAAGGTGATACTACCATCACATTTTGAGGATAAGTACATGTTATTATATTTTCCTCTATTTCTAGAAATAAAGTCTTTTTCATATTATATGGAGGCAATTCTTTGAAACTTATAAATCTTTACTGATCATTTGGAACAAATTATTGGGTGTTCATGAAACATAGCTTTTGGAAGGAGTTACAGTTAAGCATTGTGTTGAATTATTTTCATTAGAGCTTGGTAAAAACCTCCTTATTGCCTTACTTTGGGCAGAGGGAGTACCAGGGCTGCAAACAGAGGGGGGAAGCCAGGCCAAGTGCCCCAGGGCCTGGGCCAATTTTAACAAGGTCTAAATTTAATCTCTGGAATCTACATTAGTAATAATAATGATAATAATAATATTTATACAGGATAAGCACTCAACAATTAAAACATTGCTGTTTTCATTGTGTCTCCTGCATCCTAAACCTTAAATGAAATTGAAAAAAAATGTATTACATTGAAGCCGTTGAAAAAATCTTACAAGAATAAAATCTATAAAACCTGATGTAACATCGAGATGAAGTAATGTTTGCTACGCCATTAATATCATGCCACACAAAATGTATTACAAGTCAAATATTAAGGGTTCACAAGCACATGTATTGGTTGCCCCCGAGGCCCTGCCTTGCTCTCAGCAGCCATGGTGAATACAATACCAAACCTTCATTATTTTAGAAACTTGGAATGTGTTCTCAATGGACCAAAGGAGCATTGGCAGATCTAAAAGTGTAATTGCTCCTCGACTAGCATGGACATGGGTGTTTACAGGCACCGCGGAGCAGGGGGGCTCGGGGGGCTTTAGCCCCCCCCCCAAATTTTTGCAAAAAATGCCAAATATTAAGTATCAAACTATCAGAAATGCCTCAATTTATACGGTTTTAACCCCTCCACTTTTTTAGATCCCGACTTTTCTCAATATTCACTACAAAAATGCGATATTCCAGTTAGCTGGAGCTCAGAAAAGTTTCCAGTTCTTATTCTTGAGTATCCGTGCTCGAGCATCAACGCCACATCACCCAAACGCATGACAATTATGTCTGGAGGATTGTTTGTTTGCACAGGTGATCTGATAAAATGCCATGGCAATAGCAAGGCAAGATATTGGATCTTGAATTCCAAATATCTCTTTCTTACACGTGAAAGCCAGAAATACCATACATAAATCTAGCAATATTTTCTAAGGAAGAAGGAAATTAAGTCACGAAAGTAAGGAAACTGGCCAAACAGGACTTCAAATTTCGTGATTTAATCAATAGCGTTGCAAAGTACCTGTTCAACGTTGTTTAAATTGGGATTACAAATCTTTGCTTTTTATTAAATGAATAAACGGCCGTACCTTTTTAAGTCTTGTTCTAACGAATTCCCATGCATAAATCTTTCTAAAGCTTTAGGATCTTCCAACAAAGTCACTCCAGATGCGGCCCCATTTTTTACACCAACTTCGCTATTTGGCGAAATCCCCGCATTTTCTGCATGTGTGTTTGCAACAAGAACATGAAGCAAGAATTCCTTCAGCAACTTAAAGTCGACAACTCCTCGCTCCGGTTGCCCCAAAGCTTGGTCAAGCAGAGTCCGTAATTCAACCACTCCCGCCATTTCAAATTTCAAAACTCTGTTCTCGAGGAAGGAGAATGCTCATTTTGTTGCCATGGTAGAAGTCTCGTTATGAAAAAGAGACCCGTCACTATTTTGATAGCGGAGAAGATTGATGGAAGGGAAGGGAAATATTCAACGGAAATGACAAACAAAAGTTAAACTGCCAGAAACTGACGCCTCATATTTGAAAGCTATCATAGAGGTAGTTTTTTGAATCCTAAAGTTTGTTTATTTGCTGTAATTGGACATATTTAGACGGCTGGATATAAATTATGGACCAACAAATTTCTTGGCCTAACTAACATTAACACACGACGTAAGTTTGATCGACATGTTCATCTCCTATTGCATCCCATTAACAATTTCATTTTCTGTTGACTTGAAGTTTCTATTTGGTGTTGAAGAACTTTTATGGAACTTTTTGCCTGTATTCGTATAATCAAGTCATCTTTTTCAAGGTGTGTATCTTTATAATCAGGTGGCTTTAGAACGATGACATACCAACAAAGTAATGATGTTTACATAAAAGAAGAAGAAGATGCAGAGAGCTATCATGCATCAAGTGAAGTCAGATGTGAGAAATCGTGTCACGAGTCTCAAGTAGATAGCAGATATGATTCTGGTGTCAGGAATAGTTTCCCATTTATTGTGAAGGAAGAAGCTCTTTCGGATCAAGAAAGTAGAAACAGCTGTGGAGAAGAGGAGGATCAGTCTCTGGAGAATACAGGAAGGATAGGTAATGAGCAAGATGAAATGCAAAATGTTGATAATTATCAAAGGAGAAATAATGATTTTTCAATGAGAGAGGAGTTTGAAAATGAGAATAGAAATTATGACATTAAGATAGAGAATGAACTTGAGGAAACAAGTTCTGAGGAAGAGCAAGTACAAGAAATGTTAGAAAGGGATTTTGGGGCTGAGCGTGAAAGAAGATATTCTGATGATGATGATGATGATTTTGAAGAAGTTGATGAGTTTTATGAAGAAGAAGAAGTAATTGGTTGTGTGACTGATAGAGGTCTTAATGATGATAGTAAGAGGACACTTGATTTTTCTGATTCAATGGAAAATGGAAGTGATGATGATTATAATGACACAGGAGAAAGCCCATCCACTCCTGAGGCAAATGAAGAATCCATGTTTGCATGCGAGAAGTGTCCAAAAACATTTAAGTCTCTTCAAGGTTACAAAAAGCATAAATTGAGTCACAGAAAACAAAGATTGTACTCTTGTTCATATTGCACTGAAATTTATAGATTTAAAAAGGATTTTATGAGTCATATGTGCTTGCATTTGAATACAATCTGTACGGTATGTGGCAAAAAGTTGAATGACGTTGAAGCATTGTTGAGACACGTCAAAGTCCATTCTGGTGAAAAACCTTATGAATGCAAGACTTGTAAGAAAAGGTAAGCAGTGTTCTTGAAAAGTTTTGGACAAGCTAATGTTTTCATCCAAAGCTGGGGTAAAATCTATTAATTAGGAGTTTGGATTTTCTAATTAGGCGTGATTTCTAATTTACAAAATTGTTTACTTTTTATATTTCCTAGCATAGAGGTTTTGATCTATGTTCTGATGTTTTAAACTCTGAAGAGTGTCAGATGAAAAGCTTTAGTTTACTAAATGTTTGCTTTTGTCAAAGCCATTTTCAGGTTTTCTGCCACCAAAAATTGTTTAAAATTGTTTACCTGTGAAATTCTACTCTTTTTATAAATTCAATGAAAATTACTGTTTACCACTTTGTCATAGACAGTGCTGCACATTTTTAGGTGTAGACATGGTAGTTCTAAGTTGCGGCTCTGGTTTTCACACTTAATGCCATAACCATGCAGCTCTTTAGTTTTGTATATCTTTTTCATAATATAGAAAGTTGTGAATTTTACTGTTTCACTAGTTTGTCATATAATTATCAATTCCCTCCTATAGGCAGTTAGGAGTCCATCAAGTAGCCTGCTATCTAGACATTTTCTTTATTCAAACTGTGTATACTTAGTTGTGTACATAGGACCGTTCTAAGCTGCAATTCTGATAATTTTCACCTTTAACGGGATCAAGAAAAGAGCAAACACCTTAATACCAAGTTTTTTGCCTTTGAAAATCCTACCCTTTTTAAGTAAAATGAAAATGACTGTTTACCTCTTTGTCATAGAGGATTTTATGCAGTATAGGCAGAGTAATACACACAGACATGATGGCTCTCAGTTGCAACTCCATGTTTCATGCTTAATGCTATATTCAGGCAGCTCTTTACTTTATCTTCCACTGTTTTTGATCCACTCTGTCACAGAGGCTGTGGTACCCAGAGTAACCAAATGGCTAACAATAGTTATCTATGTTTCATGCTAAATGCAATAATCTTTAGTTCAATATATCTGTTTTATTTGAAGCGGTCTTTATGCATTTAGCTGATTTGCCAGTTTGTCATATAGTAGTCAATGCCATTATTAGGCAAATCTCTACATGCTTAGTTTTAAAGACATAGTGGCTCTATGTTTAAGTGCTGATTTTTGCACTTAATTTGATCTTCAGGCAAATATTTTTGAATTTTTGCTGTCTTTAAGTAGCCCAAACAGATGTCTATATTCCTATCAATGCTTGATTTATAAGGCCATTTTTCTCCCACTAACTCAATATGTACCAACCCAATCATATCCACAATATGTTTATGGTTAAAATGATTGGTGAACATTATCGCCAACCAGAATTTGTACATTATATAAAAATAATTTTGATTATTGAATGTCCTTCACAGTCTTGATGTTCGGGAGGTTTTTTGGAAGACTTCTATCTCTTTTCACAGTTCTTGTCTTTCACACTTTTTTTCAACTAGGTTTCTGGAGAAAGGAAATCTTGATGTGCACAAACGAATACACACAAAGGAGAAGCCATACACATGCTCTCATTGTGGAAAAACCTTCTCAGATCCAAGCAATTTCAACAGACACAAGAAAAGTCATTCTGGTATTGAAGTTTCAAAGGCCTATCAATGCAAAATTTGCAATGAAAGGTTTACCAGATCAACAAGTTTGTATCGCCATTATGTGCGCCTTCATAGAGGTGAAGAAGAAATTCTTGGTGATGATCTGGCTTTGGGAGAAGAGAAGAATTTCCCAGATGACTTCAAGGTGGGTTCTTATTTTGTTGGGTAAACAGAAACCCTGGGACATTTTTTAAACAGAAAATGGGTCATAAAAGGGGGAAGGGTGAGCAAGCTTTCTCCCTTCGAAGGGTGAACAGGCTTTCTCCCTTCGAAGGGTGAGCAAGCTTTCCTCCTTCGAAGGATGAGCAGGCTTTCCCCCTTCAAACTTACAGTTTAAACCATATATTGAATTCCCTTGTGCTTGGCTTTTTGCATGTTGTGTCTTTTTAGCTAAACCCCAAATCCATATTAGGATCTGCAGTCCTGTATCTAACTAAGGGGCAATCATCTCTCCAGGCTTGTCAAAGTTTATTTAAGTTGGGTTTGCTACTACCCTCAACATGGAGTGTCTAGACACAATATCAGTTGGGGCGTAGTTCTACATTATTTCACTGTTTTGTTATAGAAACAGTCATGTCGATTCTGCGGCAAGAAATTTGGCACGCGGGAAACACTCGGGAAACACGAATTACTCCACAAGGAATGCGACATATTACGCTGTAAGTATTGCCGCAAGTTATTTTCCACAAAGGAGAGTTTATACCAACACGGAAAAGTGCATAATTATAATTTAGATTGCAAATACTGTGGAGCGAGTTTCAATCGCAGAGAGTCGCTTGTAGGACACGAGAGAATACACGAGAACACGCGCCCATTCGCGTGTACTGAATGTGATGCTCAATTCACTTTGAAAAGATCGCTTACGAGGCACAAACAAATCCATAGCGGTGTAAAACCACACGGTTGCAATACTTGCGGTAAGCGGTTCCATCGTTCCAGTGATCTGACCGTTCATAAGCGGACGCATTCGGACGAAAAACCGTATTCTTGTGAAAAGTGCGGACACAATTTTGCAGCACAGACAAATTTTGCAAAACACGCGCGGTTTTGCGGTCAAAAGAAGAGGAAAGTTACAAGAAAAAGAAAGGTAGCCGAAGAATGAGTATGCTCACATGACGTCATAGACCATTATTGAATTTAGAAGACACATTTTAGATCATGTTTTATAATGTATGTTGTTTAATAATGTTTTGTAGACTGTCAAATTTCCAGAGGGGTCACTTAGGGGTGTGGGGGAGGGGAGCCCTTGCTAAAATTCAGAGAGGTTTTTTTCGGGGGGAGGAGGGGGGGGGGTACTCAATCCCCTTAACGACTCAGTATATGTTTGGGTAGGTGATTTTCTTACTTGGCAATGTGAATTAACCCTATTGATTTCGATGAATCAGCAATTTTTATCAGCCTTTTTGGGTAGGTGAATAGTTTGAATAATTTATTAAATTCTACAAAGAATCTTTAACGCAAATGCGAGTATATCAGCTTTTCCCATCAGTGTGGTCTTAGGTACGACTCCTAAAAATTGCCTATCTAACACCTCCCCCTCATAACTTTTCAAGGCAGCACTCCTGGGGTAACTCCTCTATTTTAAGACTGGGTTGCTCATGTCATATCGCTGCAGCACCCCATATCATTGACTGCCTTTAATAATAAATTTGAGTGCTATTTTAGATCAGTTCCCATTGGTTAAGAAGTAAATTTGTATGCATATCACTCATCAATATTTATCTTAAATTAGTTAGCTTTTGCGTTTATTTGCTAGACCCACTTCTTCATAATATCCTTACAAGGCCCCATGAATTTCTTTTCAAATATTTTACACAACACAACTGACATTTTATCTAATTTTATTTTGTCTCTCAAGTGAAAAGAAAACAAATAAAACAAGCAAAACAATCTATGAGTCCCTGTTTGGCACCCTCCTTGGTCCCTCCTTGGTCCCTCCTTGGTCCCTCCTTGGTCCCTCCTTGATCCCTTCCCGTACCTGTTCAACACCTTTGCCCCCTGCTCATCCCCTTTTCCACCTTGCTTGACTCCTTCCTCTCACCTCCATTTCCCCTCCATTTATCTGCCTGACCCTCGTCAATCCTATACAACTCTTTCCCAAACCTCACTTGAACCCTTCCCCTTACCTTCTTGAACCCTTTCTCAACCAGCGTGACTAAGTCCCCACCCGACATGAGACCATCCTGTAAAATAAAGTATATTTTTTTTAAAACCAAGATTCTTCAATAGCGATCGTATAATCAGCAGCAACCAACAACTACAAAATGACGACTTCATTTAACGACAACTTCGACTGGACTGGACTTGCACTCAACGAACATACGCTTTTAACAACATGAGTGACGCACACAAAACCCTAATGACACAAATTAACGGCAAATGAACTAATAACAACTAAAAAGAGATGGCACGATGACAAACAAAATTACTGACGCAAACATCGAAAGACATTCTCATTAACAATAACGAACCACAAACACGATGCACGACAGACAAAACTAGTTGTATAACAATCCTGACCTTACTTCACTCTTTTCCCCCACTTTACTTGACTCCCCACCAAAGTCGACTCTTTCCCGCCCTGCTGACCCATTCCACACCCTACATATCCCCTTAAATTTAATTTATTTTGAAAATTTTATCTCGTTACATTGGATTCTCGTCGTCGTATTGCTTTGTTCCTGTATATCTTATTACAACACTCATTGCAAGATTCACAGAATCCGGCGGACAGCCTATCCTTCGGTTCTTTCTTTTTACACATTATATCCCCCTTTTCTCACCCTACATATCCCCCTTTCCCTTCTTTTATCCTTCCACCCGTCCGAAATCACCCCTTTATCCCACCAACCGCACCCTTTGCTTCACCCTGTATGTTCTGTTTCCATTGCATATCATTTTCATTTAATCTTTAAACTATATATTTATATATTACTTAATCATAGTCAGCATCTAACAGAAAATATATTTAAAACATCACTGTACCCCCTAATTTATCACATTTGATCATATTTCTATTATTAAAATTACACTAAGTAATCAATAATTGATTCCGAATCTTTTTTGTAATTTTTTTTTATTTTTCCTATAAAAATTTACCTTTTCACTATTTCTTTTCATTATTACCGCACCTAGCTGTTCGTGTTGAGACTTTGAAACGGGCTCCGGGCTTTCAATGGAAAAGAAGTGAAGACTGGATTCGGGGTGGATTTAATACAGCAGTGGAGTGTTAATTAGGGAGGGGGGTGGTGTGAGCTCGCTAGTGTCTTTTGTGTCATTACAATAGAACTGCCCCCCCCCCCTCCAAACTATGTATGATAAAATGTGCTTTATAGTAAAACAGTACTCCAAATGTGCACATCCCCTACCAGTTTTAAAATGTTTCCTTACCCCCAAACAGTAAGTAGGGTCGAATTTTACTTCCCTTTATCTTACTGGGTTCGGGGGGGGGCAATTTACCCTTACAATTAGCGTACGAAATTTCCACCTAACCAAAAAAAATTTGTACAGAATTTTTGGATAAAAAATTAGGACTTACACTAAAGGCGTACCATGTTTCCATTGATTGATTCCCCCCACGGTTGGGGCCGGAGAAAAACCAATTCAAAAAAAGAGAATATCTTTAGTGTCATTTAGCGTGGTATTACAAGGCCCATTACAGGGGCTTTAAGAGAGCAGCAAGATTTCAGGTATTTTGAAGAAATTTTAAGCGAACGACACATCGTCCTCTTTATTACCTCGGCTGCCAACCACTCTACTACAGGGAACCAACAATATGAACATGAGCCTCAAAACTGGTCAAAAGTTAAGAACAAATTAAGAACAAGCTGAGGCTGAGTTTCTGCAAAATGCAATTTCCAACAACGTTTTTTCTCAAAATCGAGGATTTTTTAGCGATGTGTGGGTGCTTTTTCGGTTCAAATTTGTCAGCAAATTAAGGCTGTCTCACTCACTTTGTTGGCAAATGAGATCGGAGCGAAAGAGCTAGCAATAGCACTGCTTACACCCACTTAATTTAAGAACAAATGAAGAACAATCCAGCCTCAGATTTTCAAAAGAATTAAGAACAGTCAGCCTGAACTTAAATTTACTGGTTCTTATAATAAAATGAGAGTGTAAATCATAATGCCTAAATACACCAATTCGACTTATTCTTTTGCACAAAATTTTTAACCTCAGATTCGGATTAAGAGCAATGATTTTAGTTTACTTGGAAGTTTTCATTATGGTATTGCTCATGATATCGTTTTATGACGACATAGAAATAAAAAAATTATAAGGGATTTGACCGTGATTGGCGAGTTCTATAAGGGAAGAGGGTAAAGTTTCACCCGGAATGACTTCTGAGGTCAAATCCCTTACAAGTTTTCAAACTTCATTTCTCCGTAAAATCTCAAATAAAAGCACAAGAAAAATTGTATCCGGCCTAAAACTATTTTGATAAAACAAAATCTGAGCTCAAAAGAGGCTGTAAATCGAATTGGTGTTAGAGACAAGGTCTCCTTTCCCATTCTCCTTCGCAATTCCCCCCCCCCCCGTTCTTGAACCCTTTGACTTTTTGAGGTGAAGCTCTGCTATCCAAGGTAATAGTGTCTTTGGTAAGTATATGAAATTTGTATCCGTTGCAAATTGTTGCCAGTAAGTTATTTATCGTCCCTCGCGTCACTCGCTTTCCCTCTCCCCAACCCCCAATTTTCTCACGCCCCTATTGCATTGTATTGGCAACCTGATTCCTGTCAAAACGTCTGCTGTTATGGAAATTCAAGGAGCTAATCGAGTTCTGTGGTTTAAAAGGTAACAAGCCTGTCCAAAAGAGTCTTGTCAACAATTTCGGCATTCCTTTCCTCTCTAAGCTAGTTATGCTTGCTACTTCCGATAGTTTAAAACAAATAGATATGGTAAAAAATATTGACACCACTGCGGCGCCGCGCTCTAAAGGCGTTCTAATTTGTTTGTGTACAACAAGACCGCGCGGCGGTTTTCAGGCGAAGTGAAGCCAATCGGATGTTTTGAAAGGATATTACACAGATTTGTGGCTAAACGTCTTTGGAGACAATCAATCATTGGAAACAATATTAAATTCTTGCATCTAGGGTGAGGGTCTGCCAAAAGGGCAATTAAAGCATGGCCTCCGACAAAGGTTGAAAAGTGGGGGGGGGGGGGCAAGGGAAAATTTAACACCAATAACAAAAGATTTTGAAAAAACTCTATTGTTTTTGCAAAAACGTGGGGGAGGGGGCCATTCGTCGGAGGCCCTGTATAGTTGATCGACTGTGCTGTAAAAAACCCAAAAGCGTTTTCAAGTAGGGTAGGAGTGCCATGGTTTTAGTTTCTACAGGAGGTAGATTCCAGTCTGCAAAGTATGGTGGTATGCCACAGGGATCGTGTCTTTGGCCACTGCTCTTCATAATCTTCAAAAATTGTTTTTGTCTCGAAATGTCATCCCAACATTGGTACACAGATGGCCTCAGTGGGACATTTCCGCGAGAAGATTTTTCAAGTTATGCTATAATATTAGGTTTCCACATTGTCCAACAAAGCAGGCCCAGTCATGAAAACAGAATGCTAGGTAAACATGTTGGTTGGCTTTGAAAAAACAAATATCTTGAAACATGCTTTAGCGTTTTGTCTGACACTCTTCAGACTTTAAAACGTCAGAACATAGTTCGAAATCTCTACGTTAGGAAATATATATACCCAGTTGTAGATCGAAATAGGCCAATCAAAACGCGAGCCCATGACTGTAAAGGTTGCTGAATCACTGCCGCTTGTCTATTGAAAATAGTACCAATAGGGTCCTAAGGTTGAAACGAGTTCCTCCTATCTACAAAATAACGGTTAGCAAAGACAATTCGGTTCTGTGAACGAGCCTGATCTATCTGTCTTCCCCCAACACTGTGCGTGTCCCCTATTCCACTGCACTCAAGCACAACAACCCTTGTTTCGCCCCCATACAGAAAAAAATAATTTTCAATTGAAAAAGTGTTGCTGTGTATAATCAAGATAAAAAAGGTTCTTGGTATCCCAATTTTATCTTGGTATAATGTGGAGCAGAATGTTTTGCAAAAATGAAAACTCAAATCTGCAATCCTTTCTTCAGAAGACTCAAACCCTGACTTTAAATGTAAAACCAAACAAATTTCTGTTGAAAATATCTTCCATTTGGTAGAGGTCAGTGATATTTCTGGGTCATAGCGCCAATTTTGCATGTAAAGCTGTTGTACCTTCAAAACTTTTGACAAAAATATGTGTTTTTTAAACCATGTTTAAACCCTGCACCCAACAAAAATTATCTTTGTGCCTGATACTACAGAATATCGATACTTTTGACTTGCCAAAACAATTTGCTTCTCTATTTTCAAATGCACGTAAAAAATCAGTATCTTTGATTTAAGGTGCTTCCCTTGCCCCTCCCTGAGGGCAGGACAAGTGGCGATTCCCTCATTTCACCCCTCTTGCGGTCACGTGCTTTGAAAAAGATGTTATGAATGGGGTCATACCCCATACATGCTACAAAAATGTCCCGCACTGAAAATTCCACTTCGTTTTCCAATTGACAGATTTTTCCTTCTAAAACCTTTAATTTGAAAGTTGTTTATTACTCTTTCTGTGTAGAATTTTGAAGTTTTTGGTTCAAGAGAATGCGTGAAAACCCTCAAGAAATATGACATTTATAATTGACCAAATCTTGATCGGTTTTTGACAAACGAAAAATCTCCCTGGAAAATATGACATTTATACTTAATGAAGCAAAAATTTACAACAACTTTGTGCTTTCAGCATTCTTAAACATGGCGGTCCCGAATAGCCACGGGAAAGCTCGGTTACTTCCATGTGCGATCGGCAAATGAATTAATTGAAACAGAAGATGCAAAATAGTTTTATTTTGCATCATATGAAGAAGATTTATTTTCACAAAGTCAATTCAAGGTAAGCTTGGTGTGATGTTGTTTTTGCGCTCCGAAAATGGGCCTAACCAACATGCTGATTATTCCGTTCGAAATCTGCTACTTTTTGTAATCACATTGATCCCCTGATGCGATTATTTCTTTATCATTTTGATTCTTAATTACATATTAAATCTTATAGTAATTTATTTGGTTTCTGAAATTGTTTGTCGGTGTCAATAATTTTCATTTAATTATATCATAGTGAACACGGTTAGAGTGTCACGGCCTGCAGACTGACTGTTTTTTCATTTAATATAGCACTGTTCACAATATTTTCCAAGTTTTCTCATATCGAAGGCGAATATGTATCGATAATTTAAGTATCTACATGATTGAGAAGAATTTTGTGTTGTAAATTAAAGATTTCTGACTCATCGCTGGGGCATTATTCGAATTCTAGTTTCTTTGAATTTGCCGACTTTTGGGACCGGCTACAAAAACATGCACCACTTTAGCCCTCATTCCGAGAGATTATTGTCTCCCAGTATTTAGAAAAGTCTTTATTTTACAAGATTTACCCGAAATGATAGTTAGAATGTACGTTAAAGTAAGAAAGACTGGCATATGTGCAACGGAAATCGACTGGAATCCTGCGAAAACTTTTGAAAAGTCTGCCATACTTCGGTATAACAATATCACTTCCTTTCATGCGACTTTAGCGTTAAATATAGCCAATTTTAGATTATTTAATGCCGGAAATTGGATCTGAAGGACGATGTTTTAATTCACTACTACAGATCTTTATTTTTGTTGCAGAATTTGAGTTTATCTTGGCGAAAATTGGCTTTGAGCTAGCGACGAAAAATGTTTGGTTCAGGTAGAACAACATCAAACAGGCCCGTTTCCTGGGTCCTTTCAGGTAAATACTTATTGAACTGCGATTTCATTCTTTAGGATTTCAACCATATCTTGAACTATTTACTTATTTGTTTTATCAATTGGTAAACTATTTAGGCCAGTGGATTTCAAAGAGGCTTGGTGAGAATTTCATGTCGGCGTTATTGAACTGCCATCATGAAACGGTCACGTAAAAACGCTTTGTATAAAATATGACGGCTGGTGTTTCCTCTTTTCGGGCGAAATTCGCTTTATTATTTAAAAGTATTATCCGCTTAAAGACCATCATTGATTCTGAAAAGCATTTTGCGTCGGCGAAAAGGGAGAGATTTAACATTATATGAAAACACAACACTCTGCAAAGGGAGATAGGCTGAGAGAGGGGGCAGCAGGGAGTTCTTAAACAGGGGAAATTGCCTTGATGGCTTGAATATCTCAAAATTAAGATGCAGATGCACTTCAAACTATCATTTATTTTCAAGATAATTGTACAAAACTGGTGAGGGATATATTTTTTAGTCTATAATAACACATACTCTAAAAGGGAATAAGACAGTGCTTCTCTAGAGGGGGCAAGGGGGAACAATATAGGGGAATTAAAGTTATTTTAATGTATAGAAGGCCAGAAGTTTAACTTATCGATCAATTTTGCCTGTTTTTTCAGCTGTAGATACCCATTATTTCACAAAGACAAAGATCAAATATTTCTTATTGTCTTGATGTATAGGGTACCTCAAAATTAAGATAGATCCAATTACAAACTATAATTTATTCTGAAGAGCATTTTACATAAGTAATGGGGGTATGTTTCTCAGTCTGTGAAAAACACTCTAAAAGGGGACTAAGGCCACATATATTCCTTAAGAGACAGGATGTACAGGAGGTCGTAAATGAAGCAAGTTATCATAATTCATAGAAGGCCTATAATTTCTTAAAACAATCCTTTTTTATGGTTCTCAGTTTACATAACTGTACAAGGAGAACAGGGAGCTCAAAGGAGTAAAATGATATGGTGGATGGAAGCCAGAAATATGCCATTATACTGTCTGAATAGAAACCATTATTAACCAACACCTTAGACGACATACATCTAAACAAAAGTAAGACATTTCACCCCAAATTTTCCTCCTTTGTGAAATGCCTTGTGGAAATTATCTCCTGATCTCCAGATAACAGGCACTTAAGTTTCAACAGATCAAAGCTTTGGTATCTGTACTATAAAAGCTACTCTTTTCTTGTTAAGTAAATTCACTAGCTAAATATGTACGTTGCATGTGGTACTTCATCCAGAATTACGATACTATAGGTAGCAAATAAATTGAGTACTAGAATTAAAATATAATAGTTTGATTGTTAAAAACCAACATTTCGAGCATGTACTCGTTATCAAGTGACTTGAATTCTTATTGCTCTTGTGTTGATTTGATAACGAGTACATGCTCATGACGTCGTGTTGTTAATAATCAAACTATAATATTTTCATTCTGGTACTAAATCTATTTGCTAACTATATTACCGTAAATTCACTAGCTATTGTCTAGTGTTTTTTATCATATTGTGTTGTATAACTTTGGTTATGATGATATGGTTTGGATTTTGGTTTAAATTTTGAGTTTTGTTGTATTTGTGGTGGGATATGGTGTGCTTTGCATGGTATGGTGAAAGTTGAGGTTTTAAAGTACGTCACTAGCCAAAGGCTACTCTAGTAATTTTGCACAATACCCCCTGGTCACTATATACTTAGGACCACATACCAGGGTGTAGCCACAGATAGCATTTTTAGCTATGGGCCAGTTACCTAAGAGCAAGGATGGCTCAGTGGTTAGGGTCACTGACCCAAGGGTCCGTGGTTCGAGTCCCTGGCATGACCAAACTTTCACCCAGAGTGGGGAGAGTCGCCAGCTCTATGTAATTCCAGGCGTAGGAATCACGAGGTGTGGTCACATCGAGAGGAAGGACCAGGACACTGCTCGTTATGCATAGCTTCTCAGTGTTCTAAAAAACTACCTTCGGATGCTAGGTAGAAACAAATACAAATACAAAATATCTAATTATGCTCCTAGGTGGATAGAGGCAAAAATTTGAACTAATTCCTTGCCCAAGGGTACTGTCTACAAAAGTAGCAAGTGCTGACTCTGAAACCCACAACCATTATGCCTTAGCCATTACACAACAAAGGCCAATTACCTTATCATATCACCCTATCAGGCCTGGGCATTTCAGGAGAGCCATAGCTCTTGCTCCACTCCAGGCTCTCCTCAAATGCTGAAGGGTAACTACATCTTCTTGAAATCAATTTTCCTTTGTTTCTGTTCTAAATTACCTTCAAACAGCTCACCTGAAAATTACTAGAAAATCTATTTACTGCTCTTCTGCTAAAAGTCTTTTGGCCAGGTTTGTCCTATCATATCATTACAAATGGTGTGATTTGGCATGATATGGTATGATATTGTGTACTTTACAATACAACTCTATATTGTGTACTGTATAATGCATTTCATTGGTAGGTCTGAAGAGGAAACATAATCCTTTATTTTCTCCAATGGCAGCTTCACTTTTTCTTCATAATCATTATCATCATCATCATCATCATCAAAAATACATTTAACGACCCATTGTGGGTTGATACAAATGTATACGCATTTATCGTTTGCTGAAATGGTTTCTACATAGACTGTGAAAGTATTCTCAGTTACACTGATTAACTATGTTATCAGGCAAACTATTCCAAATGGGTATGATAAAAAAAAAGAATGAAATTTTAACAGCATCAACTCTTCCAACTTTTGGCTTAAGCCTTAGCATGTCCAAAAATTCTTCCTGATGTTGTGTATGGGTCTGAAAATTTGTCCACAGGTACCCATTTTTGCCTCTTATGAAAACATCCCTCCCGAATGGGTACATAAGCTTTAAGCTTGATCTTTGTCTCTGCATGTGCCAGAATGTTTGCTAATGTCATTTAATAGGTACACCAAAATGCATTTATCTCCCTTGGAGCCATTGACTTTGAGTTGGAATATCTTGCTCAAAAATGTGTGTCTTGTAAAAACTCTTGGTTAACTTTTCAGAAGTAGCTGTCCACACAGAGATAAATAAATCATCTCTGGAGAGTTCCATGTCCTTGTTCGTTGTTACCCATTCCTAGATAGCGTGCCTTTCTGTGACCCAAGGCAGTTCTATTCTCAGTGCAGAAGTTTTTGCATTTAATATGAACAGATCAGCCATGATTTATGTAGAAGACAGTCAAGATCTGCCCTAATCCTGTTTTTAAGCTTCTAAGTTGACTTTATGATATATGAGAGCCCAACCTTAAACTTTGAGAACTTAAATTGAAAGTGGTAACCGCTTTTAACCACTAGGAAGATCTGATTGAGAGCGGTTTTGTTTTATTTATTTCCTTCAAAGCAGGAAAAGGGGGTTTTTGATAGATAATGTAATCAGGTATATTTGATTTCAACGAAACAAGAGGAAAAAGGAAAATTTGTCAAAAAATGTGAACAAGTTTTCAGCCTTAGGACATGACAGATCACAAAGTGATAACCAATGTATGATGTGGGGATCACCCCTTACCCTCTTAACCCCCTTCCAAATCAAGGCCAGGGAATTGAATCCTGATTTATTTGCTAAATACTTAAGTTTATTTAATTTCAAAATATAAGTTTTTGTCTCTAGATTTCAGTTTTTGGCTTTTATTATATTTGAGTAATGATATAGTATATGATTTTAACAAATACAATGTAATATATGAATATATATTATGTCATATGAAATATAATATGATATAATATGATATGATATGATATAATATGATATAATATAATATAATAAAATATAATATAATATAATATAATATAATATAATATAATATAATATAAATATAATAATATAATATAATATAATATAATCATAATATAATTAATTAATAGATATGAATAAATATATATGAATATGATGATGATATGATAATATATGTATGATATGATATGATATGATATGATATGATATGATATGATATGATATGATATGATATGATATGATATGATATGATATGATATGATATAATGAAATATAATATAATATAATATAATATAATATAATATTATATAATGTAATATGATAAAATACGATACAATATAATATAATATCATACAATATGATATAACTTTGATGATGTTTTTTATTGCTGATACCAAAACGAATTGTTTAAATGCGAATAAGTATAAGATATTAAATTACTTTTCCAATTAGAGGATTAATTCTCGACTTTTATTCACAAAAGTACTTTGGTGTTTGATTTAATAAATTAGATGTCTTGTTTTTCTCGTGATTTAGAAAGAAAATCTATTAAATCTCTGCAGGGAAGGTCTTGCTTCCATTTCATCTGCCAAGACGTCATAAATTTTTAATAAGGCAGTCTGTTGGTATTGTCTTCTGTTTTATTAATTTCTTGGCTGCATGTGCGTAATATTACGCTGTTGAATACGAGTACCGGGGCATCAAGGTGTTTGCATGTAATGGGGCGAGGGAGCAATTGGCCAGATAGTTTCAAGTTAGCGAAAAATCAAGTTGAAATAGAAAAGTTTTTCTCTGCAAAACAGCCTATAACGAATTTTGCTCGAATAAGTCCAATATATGAAGATTTTCACGCATTATTCCTCGTTTTGCAATTGTTTACCCCCTGGATGGATCCAGGTCTCTCTTTTTGAAGAACCAGCTCAAGCCTCGTGCTAACAGCGTGTAAAGGGGGCTGTGTCATGTGATAGACAGTGAGCAGTAAGGGGTGTAGAGCAAGGGGGTCAAGTTGGCCGAGTATCCAACTTACGGGGTTAGAGTGGCTAAGACTGTGGCAGCCCTTATTTGTTTTTTGAGAATTTTTTGCTACCCTTTGAGCATTTTCGCACCTTGGCCTATCTAAATTACATGATAAGGGGATAGGAGTGTCGCAGTAACTCTAAATATCAGGGGCGGACACTTGCTCAAATATTGGGGGCAAGCCTATTGTTTTGAAAAGATGATGTTACATTTTCCCATTGTTTTGGAACAAAAGACTATCGTATTCTAAAATATTGGGGGAGGGGCAACCCTCACCTCGCCCCCGGGTGCCCGCTACTGCTAAATATGTCTTTCAGTCCCTATTTGATTAGCTCTCACCCAGCACCAATGTAATGAACTAAACATCAAGTCCATTCACTTCTGTGAAAAAATTGCAATGGTTTGACGAAAGCTAAAAGATTTACTATTCAAAACTTAGAAAAGCAGCCGTTTATATTTGTAGCCTTTTGCTACCGTTTGTGACCAAGCCTTGCTTTGAAAGTGTGACAATGTGAAAAGTACCTTGTTTACTGCCACGTGTTAGGCCTGAAATATTTTCTCAGTGTTGATGCAAAAAGCCGTTAGTTATCGAAGCTGCTTGTTCCTCTAACATAAACTGACTGAGGTTTCTGAGTATTCTATTAATTCTGAACGTAAACAATCAATTTAATTTGTGGATATAATATTGTATCTAACCCTGTTTACGCGTCGCAGTGGAGTAACGTTTGGCAGCCATTTTTCGCAGCCATCTTTTGCTAATCACAGTATTCCCCCATAATATATTTTTGCTGTGATATTCTTTGATTTACTGTTTGTGACTAGAGGTCTATTACGTTTTGAAGGAATTTTAACGAAATACTTTTCATTTTCAGATGATATTCTAGACCGAAATATCGACCAGTTGGACAGAGAAACACCAAGGTAAAATGACAATCAACATTTCGTGAGAAACCCAATCACTCTTTAGTTTTGTAGCAAATCATAACATGATTTCAACATTTCAATCACAGCCACTAATGTTAGGCGCACGCGAGATTTTAGCTGAGCCTAATGGCACGAGTAACAGCCATTTGCCTCACGTGTGCGGCAGTATTTTTGTGTGAATTTTGCCCAACGTGCCGAATTTTTAGAAATCAAGCCAGTTTGATTTTTTTTGTCGTGGCAGTTTACTCACCGTCTGCGGCGGTCTGAGCATTTGGTGTTACATCACTGTTACGATGTAAAGTTATGATTATTATAATGACTGCAAACCTTATGCAATCTTCTCCAGGTGTAATCTGTCAGAAGAGGAAGAAGAAGAACTTGAGCGAAGCAAACTCGCAATGGAATCCCAAGGGGCTGTTCAAACGCACCAGGTATGGGAAACGCACAACGGATACTTATAGAGAAACCTCTCTGTCATTTCTCGGGTTTTTCAAAGACGTTCGTTACTTTAACCCCCTGATTTATCGACGAAATTGTTGGACTAGAATTTCGAAATTCTAAATGTTTTGGCAAACACTTAAACTTCAGAAAATTTCAACCCACCTTTTAAAAAACCCCCTCTTTATAAAAACCCACATATACACCACGCTACGCTAGTGTATGTCAACTTCTAAGACAATTCGATTTTAAGTTGTTTTTGTGTCGCTTTGACTCTAATTTTCAGTATGTTTATATATGAAATTTAGGTACCAACTTCCTGCATTGGGAACGCCTGGATTCCGGCGGGCAGAGTAAGTGATCCGCCCGGAAACAAACAAGTTCCGGTCACCAACTTCCAGTCGAAAAACCCGACATCGCCTTTCATGAAACGAAGCCAGCGAGAAGCAACCAATCAGGGATCATGTCAGGAACCAGGTGATTTAGCCCATGCTTTACGATTTGTATATATAATTCGGAGTCATTTAGTAATTCCTCGTTTTATAATTCGTCCTTCATCCCTGGGCGGGAAACACATTCCCAAATATAATCCCCCGATTTTCTGTCCTCGTCTGATTTATTCGCTAAACTAATTTAATATGTTATTCTAATTTGAGATATCGTAAAAATATTGTGTGTTCTGTCTTAGAGATTAAAAGGGCACTTGTTTTCTGTATTTGTTTCTGACATGACTTTATCCTGAATATAGCCCCCTGAATAAAGCCACCTCAATATAGCCCCCTTAATAAAGCCCTCTGCAAATTTCTCCGTGAATAACGCCACCTGAATAAAGCTCCTTGATTATAGCCCCCTGGTTATAGCCCCCTGAATATAGTCCCTTGAATATATCCCCATTGAATATTGCTCTCTAAATATATCTCCAGATTTATGCCCCCAAAGGTGGCTTTTGAAATGATTAAGCTTTCCGGATTTCCCTAATATTCTAGTTGTAAATAAATCTATTTACCTTTCTATTACCAGCCTGTCCCTTAGTTTGACATCTTAAATAAACAATTCAATTTCTTTTTAGTATTTCCCAACTCTGGGGCGGCTGTAACTGCCACTGTTTCCGAATCGACAACCATCAAACGTTTGGGGTACACAAGCCCAACACTGGTGCAACAAAGCTGCAAGAATCCAACAATCTCATCTCACAACACGCAACACAATTCGCATTATCAACATAACAACCAAACTGTGGCGCCCAACAATACTCCACATATACCTGCCTCGATTTCAAGACCGTATCCCAGCATGCCTGTTTCTTCACAATCGCCAGTTTTCTCTCAGGCACCTCTGTTCTCACAGGCACCTGTATTCAGTAACGCAACAGCGAATTCCCAAAGCAAGCCAATGGGAATGGTGACACCTCAACTGCCCAAGCAGGCTGGTAAACCCGGGCTACAAAAGGCCATTGTGTCTCCTCAGACTAATTTGAAATATGCCCCACCAAATGCGTCTTCAAGGACTAAAAAGGTACAGAATTTGTATATTCAGCGTAGAGAATTTATATTGAGTTATGTCCTCTGAAAATTGTTAGTCCCTAATGGAATTTTAGTCAAAATTAAACTTTATCTCGAGAAGGCTTAAACAAATCGCTATATACTGAAGTACTTTACATATGGCAAACTTTTTAAGGTTTAAATATCGGGGAATGACAACAGCTAAATGTTTTGTGGAAGCAAATATCGGTCGGGAAATGACTGCAAAGCATGATGGACCCGTTTGATTGGCTTCTCATAAGAATGGCTCAGTGATAAGGGTCTTGGACTGCAAATACAAAAATCTGTGGGTCAAGACCAGAAATGACTAAACTTCTATAAGAGGTAAGGAGAGTTACCAACTCCCTGTTATTACAAGCAGAGGAGTCATAAAGTGTGGACATTTCCTCAATAATTAGGTTTACGGACTATATATCCAATGAACCAGGTTTCGAGTCCTTGACATGATCAAACTTTCAACCAGGGTTAGGGGAGTCACTCTCTGCAATTCCAGGCAGTGGAATCATAAGGTGTAGTAACATTGAGAGGAAAGACCAAGACACTGTTTGATAATCAAAGCTTCTCAGTGTCCTGAAAAGTAAAGCATATATAAATATAGGCCGGAGAGATGGGTTGTAACAAATATATATGAAGGCAAAATCCTTGTTTGACCAATCAACGACTGGTAACCTTGAAAATAGTCCAAGAGTCGAAATGAGAAATTCAATTCTGTTTCAGTTCAGTTTCATGTATTTAACATCATAACCAAAAAGCTAGCTCCTTTTGTCTACACAAATCTGGGTTATTATGTCACATGATTAGTACAGATTGAATGAATGATTAAGTGATTACAATATCATCCTACCTTCCTTTACAGGTTTCGCAATCATCACTCCAAAAACTTCCCCCCACCAAGGCAACAGTTTCACCTCAACAGCAACAACCACCGCAGACACCACAGGCAAAACAACAACAGCAGCCTAAACAACCACAACAATATAAGCAAGTACCGAATTTTCCGGCAAATCCACGTCTGCATATTGCTTATTGCCAAGACAGGCCAGAACACCCTGGATGTCGTGATGCTAAAAACTGGAACGATGACCCAACGAAAAAGGCTCAAATGATACGAAAGGTTGAGGACGAGATTTTGCTGCGATCTCGAGAACTAGATTCGTGTTGGCAAGAGGATGAACTGGATTGTGTTAGGGTAGGTTGAAAAATGAAAACCTTGATACCTGAATCTCAATCGTGTGTATACCTTTCTGATGAAACTTACTGTTTACCGGTCTGTCATAAAGTGCTCTATTGTACAAGCAAAGCTGTATATGCTAGTTCGTGTATAGAACTGAAAGGTTCTATGTTGCTACTCCAAGTTTCATGCTTAATGCGATCATCGGGCATTTTGTATGCTTTTTACTAGACTATTTATGTACAAGGCATATTGACTAATGAAAATTACTGTTTACCGGTCTGTCATAAAGTGCTCGGTACCTTATAAGCAGAGCTGTACGCGTTTTTAGTATATAGAACAGGTTTGTTCTAAGCTGCTACTCCGAGGTACACGTTTAATCTATTTATCTTTCTAAATTATTGAAATGAAATCTCTAAAAGGCCAAAAGGACTTGAGTTTCTGTCCATTGCTAGAAAAATGTCGAGTGTCTGTCCATTGCTGGAAAAATGTCAATTCCTGGACATTGTCGTCATATCAAAATGAAATAAAAAAACCGGGATAGTGTTCACAAAAATACTGCACTTTTACGTATTTTTCAAATGATACACCTGCTTTTTCCGGACAGTGTCCTTAAAAAATATGACATTTTTCGTTTTCACAAACAATGAAGAACTTCTTTAAACAAGCCAGTTTCGGATCTCACCATCTCCTATAAACGTCATGGTTTTCGAGTAGTTTGAGGCTTTGAGATAGCGGAACAAGTGAGTTACGGAGTAAAACAGATACCCTCTATCATAAGCATAAAGCTTGACAGACTGGCCTGTCACCTTAAGGGACCTGGGTTCGTTCTTGTATCATGTTGAAGACTTTTTGGTGCATAGAACTGGGCAAATCTAAGTTGGAAATCCCAGTTTAACGCCCAATGCGATCATCTTGCAACTGTTAAAGATAATTGTTTTCTATTATCCCACTTTTTAGGATTTTACTGACATGGACCGACGAAAAGAAATGACATATGCTGAAACGTCAGAAGAAGGCATTTTCAAAAGGGTGTCCGATGAAATCATTAAGAGGCCGCCAATATGGCACGATGATGAAGTTGATTCGGTTAAGGTTAGTATTGAAGGAGTAGAATATATACAACCTAACTAAGTACAGTGCAGTACAGTGCAGGACAGTACAGTACAGTACAGTACAGTACAGTGCAGTGCAGTGCAGTGCAGTGCAGTGCAGTGCAGTGCAGTGCAGTGCAGTGCAGTGCAGTACAGTACAGTACAGTACAGTATAATTCAATACAGCACAGGGCAGTACTTAAAGGAAGCAACCAGTTTGTATTTCGCTTAATTTTTTTTAATTTCTAATAAATTCCCTTTGCACCATCGTAGGACTTTAGCGATCGCAAATGCCACGAAAGAGACACAAGCAAAGCAGGGTCTGAGGAGAAAGTTTGTTTGTCACCCCCCTGGTATGAAGAGGACGAGGAAGCACTAGCAAGAGAGGTATGCTTGTTTAGTTTGGTACTTGTGATGTATTGGTGCCTTGAAGGCCGGGGGTTCAGGATTGAGGAGGAGGGAGCTTTTTTTAGAAAATGAATAGCTTTTAATCGAAAAGTATGTAGTTGCAGTTTGGTGAATTCTTGAGCTGGAACTCAGGCCAGCTTTTTAATTTCTAACTTGTAGCCGAACTAAAGTTCAGGTTTTTGTAAGATTCCTTAAACGCGGCCGTTTATTCAAGTGATTTATTGGTTTTTTCTCCTTCAGGGCGTTGTCATGGTCCACAGAGGAAAAGCAATGACGTCATCAGCGCCGGATTTGGACCCAGTCTCTTCCGTGTCCGCTACGAATGCGAATGATACGAGTACGGTTTCAGTGACCTTTCCCCGCTATAAGTACTACGAAGAGAAAACTGACTCTGTTAAGGTAATATACCTTTAATTAAGGAGAGTATTTCAATCAATTAATGGCGTTTGTGTAACCAGATTTGTCATAATCATTTTCATATGAAGAGGAATTTGGAAGTAAGTTGAAGATACAAACTGAACCAATTTAACAATGTGCAGCTTTTTGTCTATGTAATGTTTTGGAAAAGTGTCGACCTTTGCCCTTATATTTGACCTTTACCCTTATTATGAAAATGACCTTTGCCCTATTAGCAGACTCTTGCTCTTATCAAACTTTTGCTAAATGCTTTTCAATTGTACCTTTTGTTAAAGGCCCAAGCTAAATAAGTCCATGCTTTTCTTCGATCGTATATATTAATCTAGTATTTTTGCTCTATAGTCTATGAATAAAACAGAATTGAATTGAATTAAATTGAATTTTATCGAGTTTGCCATTGCCTTTAAAGGATTTCTCCAAATATGAAAATGGACAGGAAATTGGATCGAGAATCCCTTCAAGCGAACGAATTCACCTCACGCCACCTTGGACGCCCTCTGTACGTTCTTTACTTATTTTCTCATTGGCCTGAATGCATAATTATAATTTTTTAGCTGTTATTGATAATTATATATTGGTAAGCATTTAAACATATTTAACTTTATTTGCACTTTAAGAGGTATTTTATGGTGTCATTTCATGTTATGTCATCAAAATCCAATTATGTAGAATTGTTTTTATGGCTTCATACTCAAGAACGCTGTATTCCAAAATATGATTCCCCTAAAAGATTTTTCACCTTAATGGCTCCTGATATAGCTGGGATCAGCATGACATAGTTTCTTTTGTCTGCAGGGTTGCCAAACTCCAGCAGAAGGCGTTCCACTGTTGTCCAGTACGGATGACCAACAGGGTGACCAACCGAGTATTGCAGGGAATCGCCCAAAAGTTGCAGTTATTCCGGTAAAGGAAGATACAAATTCTTCCTGTTCTGTCGTGTCAACCTCGACCATAGACACAAGTGGTGTGAAGTTACGCAAGAAATCGAAGAGGAATAAACAAAGCGAGGCTGTGCCATATGTTGTACCTCGGTTTGATGATATGGAAGAAGACAGTGTGAAGGTGAGTTTCGTCACCAATCATTATAATAACAACCGCCATCAGTGAACATGAATCAACATAGATCATTATCATTTATCATCAATCATCGTTTGTCAATCAAGCAATCAATCAACATCAATCATCATCAATCAATCACCATTGAATAATCATCACTAGCCATCAATCAATCATCGTCAATCATCTATCGTCAATCAATCAATCAATCAATCAACCAATCAATCAATCAATCAATCAATCAACATCAATCAACCTTCATCATTAATCATCACCAATCAACATCAATCAATCATTGTCTTCAACCAATCGTTGTCATCAATCAGTCATCCTTAATAAATCATCTCCAATGAATCAGTCAATCAAACTATCAATCGATCACCATTCCATCTACCCTTCCATCATCAGCTTTGTCATTAACTTCTCTTTAACATATACATAACCTATTTTAATGACCACATATTGTTCAATATATCATTATTTTTTTAGGATTTCTCTGCTCCTGAAAGAAAGCTGCAGGGTCTTTCTTCAAAGATTCCATCATATGAATGCATTCCGTTTACTCCACCCTGGATCAGTCACAATAATTCTGTGAGTTTACAGCTATCGAATATTGTTAAGGTTATAGCGTTGTCATCTTTCCTTAATTATTATTCAACCATACATCTACCATCAAAGTTATACTGAAAATAAAATTCAGCTGACGCTTTCAACTATCCATTGAGATAAAACAGTGTTAAAAGCACCTTTCATTGGTTTATCGAAACAGAGAATTGAATTTCTTTTTCAGTGAATTTTAATTTTTTTAACAAAGGAGGTCTCTTGCTTGCTATTGCTCAGTTCAATTAATTTGTCATGCTTCTCAAATTTCGAGGGTATTTGAAATTCAACAAACAAAAACAGCGCAACATACTGCCTTCAAGTCTTTATGTTGACTGACTAAGTTGAAAATCTTTTTCTCTTTTGAATTAAATGAACCAAGCATCGAGAGAATGAAATCTTCAAAAACTTCATAATTTAGCATAGAAATAGTTTTTGTTTCCTTTTTTTGTTGTTTATAGATTTATCTAAAATATTATTGATATTCAAAAAAGCACGAATAATCTTCTTGACAGACCTCTAATTCGCCTTTACTCTGTCTTTTATCCTTTGACCTCTTGATCTTTTGACCATTGACCTTTTGACCATAGTTTCCTCCCGCTGTATGTTACTACATCATAACTGATGACTAAATTGAATACATTTCATAAAGGGTATACAGACACCAAGAGAGTACGCAAGTGACTTCGGTGTTCCTATCATTACCCCGATGACGTCAAACTTGGCCCAGTCTCCTACATCTTCAACACAAGCTGCCAGTGTTTCCATGCAGACACCGACGATTCTCACTCAAGCACCGGCTTCTGATGACACTCAAGGAAGGCTTCCTGTTCTGGACAGCTTCCGGAACACAATGCATTATAATGGGGTTTATGGTGAGGCAAACACAACTGTTGATTCTGTGAAGGTAAGCACCGCAGAACGTAAGAATCTTCGCGCAACCGCAAATATAAGTGTGTTGTGGACCAAAGAGAAGCACTTCCCACCTAGTATACTGTGTAGACGACCTTCGCATTACCCCCAGAACCTAAGAACATAAAGGCTTGTTTGTAACCGCAAAATGTCAGGCCTGCTTGCCAAGTAATGTCTGCCTTTTAAGCCTGGTTCCCACTTCTCGTAATTTGTGTAGGAATCGGGGAAGTCGGCGACTATCTTACTTCTAATGTATTTTACGACAAGTGTGAGCGTGCTCTCATAAGCTGTTCCTGGAGTCAACGACTTCCCTGCGAAATAGAAATCCGTTCTCCAACTGCAACTTAGGCAGCCTTTCCACTAGCCCAGGTTAAAACAAAAATGGGTTAAAAGTTATCTGTTTCTGTGTCGCATTCCCCCTGACCACCTTGAAAAACGGATAAGTTTGAAAACAGACCTCAGAGTTGGTCAGTTTTAACCCGGGTATCTTTTCACCCACCTGCGAGTTAATGGAAACGCCGAAACCCGTGCAACCTGAGAATTTCAGGTTTTTATGCCACGGGAGAATTCGTCCAACCCGTCCAGTTTTGATGCCTGCTAACTACACGCCCTTGCCTTTCAATTATCAACTATTTCCGAAATTTTACCTACAATTCAAAGACCTTTCAAGACCAAAGCAAGTCAAAAGTATTTGGCTGAGAAGATGCAATTTTTATAGCAATTTTCGGCAAGATGTCGTGTTTGAATTTCAGGATCTCTTTTTCGAAATTAAGAATCTCGTTTTCGAAATTAAGAATCTCGTGTTCGAATCTCAGAATGTCATGTTCGAAGTAAAGGATCTCGTTTTCGAAATTAAGAATCTAATATTCGAATTTAGTAATCTCGTGTTCGAATTTCAGAATCTTGTGTTCCAAATTAGGAATCTCGTGTTCGAAAACTAGTAACGTATTTGAATTCTAGAAATTCGCTTCTTTTTCTTTTTGTCCATTTTTGTGGATATCTTCTCACATTGCTCCATTTTTTGCACAAAAATGAAAGATAAATTTCATTTTTGTTGTTTTGAGAGCTCATTTGCATTACTTTGTGCATCTGTTGCTAAATATTTTTCAGCATTTCTCTAATCGTTTTGTAGAATTTTTCTGTTGGCCTAATCGAAGAAACATCGCGAATTCCATCATCAGAGCAACTTTGCTTTACACCCCCGTGGATTGAAAATGAAGATGGAACTATTCCTGAAGATCAGGGGATTGTGAGTGCTCTAACTTCAGTTTATTTTGGATTTGTGGATTTATGTTATTGTTGATTGAGTTCTGTAAACAAACTCTTCGGAGGCGGAAAGAGCCTGGGGCAGAGAGCTGAGATAAATTCCTTGATTACGTCATTAAAATCTTACAGCTCTCTATATAATGGCCAGAGTTGCAAAAATTTAAGATATCTTCTAAGCTGAGTCAAAGCTGGCATCTATTTTAAACAGTTTTAAAAATACTTTTTAGAGATGACAATTTCTTTGTTTTAATCATAAATTCTTATTTTATTTCGTTGTACTTATTTAGATCTTATTGATAGGGTTTCTAATTTAATTTATTTAGGTTAGCAACTTTCAATTTTAATTTGTTACAGATTTTAATTAATGTACTTATCGGAGAGGCCTTTGAATCAGGTTTTGTTGAGGGGCAACCCACCTTCAAAGAATCAAATTTGAAATATATATGAAATGGGAGCTTCAGTTATAGCAACTTGACAGCCACTTGGTAGCAGGGTTGCCTAACTATGAAGAATTTTCAATTTAGTTTAATTGTTTGAAGTGAGAATTTTTGATAAGATATTCTTGTTTGGGTATTAATCAAGAATGCATCTTTTGTTGGGGAATTCAGCCCCCCTTATGCCGTAGAAGTGTCATGACATTTAAGTTTGATGTGCATTTTCACTCCAAAGACGGGAGGCTATGGTTTGGACTCAAGGCTTTGAATGATTGGTTTCTTGTAGGAGGAACCTGACGCAGATAAATCGGCCCAAGAATTGACTCTTGAGGAACAGCGTGCTATTGAAGAAGAAGTTCGCAAAACTGGTGTTGAAGATGCTGAAGCGAAGGCGCAAGAGCAAAGGAAATCACAAAATGAAACGGCGGCTGGTAATAATGGACAGGAGGCTGCAGCTGCGGGCCCACCTGGTAGGGACAGCGGTTTTTGTAGTGAGCAGGACCAGAAGCAGAAACAGCAAGAGCAGCAAGAAGCAGAGGTAAGAACCCCCTGGATAGTTGATTATTGGCAATTGAGTAAGGGAGTATATCGATTGAAATACGGGTGCTTGTTGCTTTGTTTATCATTTGAGACTTCAGAATAAGAATCAGGAGTGTGTTAGGCCCATTGGAAAGGCTGTTAAATGCAATAAATACTCCGATGTTTGCTTAGATCATTGCTCATATATTCTCAAATATGATTTTTAATGTTGTATACTGAAAGTTGAATGGCTGAGAAGCAGGGAAAATGTTCTAAGGAATCGAGACAGTGCAGTAAACTTCTGATAGCTCGAACATCCGGGGGGCCAATTAACGGTTCGAGATAGCGAATGTTTGAGTTATTGGGTTTCAAGTTATCGATTTTATCCTTCATTAAAGGCACTGGCAAAATTCAGGTTTTGCAGGTTTTGCATAAAGAGTTTAATGAGCTGTTTTGAACAAGATTTCATTCTTTTAAATTACTCTGCCAAATCACTATATCAAACCAGATCGTTATCACTACATTGAATCACTCTGTTTATCTATTGGATCAAATCACTACCATCACTGTATCAAACCAGATCTTTTCCACTACATTAAACCACTTTGTTCATCTATTGGATCAAATCACTACCTAATCACTATATCAAACCAGATCGTTATCACTGCATTAAACCGCTTTGTTTATCTATTGGATCAAATCACTACCTAATCACTATATCAAACCAGATCGTTATCGCTACATTGAACCACTCTCTTTATCTATTGGATCAAATCACTACCTAATTACTCGTTATTACTGCATTAAACCACTTTGTTTATTTATTGGATCAAATCACTGCCTAATCTCTGTATCAATCACTTTTGTATCGCTGTATCAGATCACTGCTTTATCACTGTATCAAAAAACCATTATTTTCTATCTAGAATGCATTAGCAGATACAGAAGTCGGAAAATCTGATGCCCACTACCAGGAAGATCACGACCAATGTATCATTGAACAGGACAAAGATGATGATAGCCGATCACCCAATCACTGTTGGTCATCAAAAGAATCATCTGGATCAAATCAAACTGATATATCAACAGTTGTGAACCCAGCTACCTCTGTTCCAATCACTGCACCAGGATCACCTGATCCCGACGGTTCTGAGGCATCTGATGCGGAAATCTCTGAAGCTGAAGGTCATGAGCCAGTTCAGGGTCAAGGGTCAAAGCCCCAGGATATTGGTCCCAAAACAGTTGCCACAGCCCCTGAGCCGGAACCAGTTAAATCAAACGTGATAAATACAAGTTTGAAGAACCCGTACCTCCATCACAATCAACCTTGCAATTACCAACATCCGGGACTGCCTCCAGGTGGGAGCACAAATCTGCCAAGTCAGCAAAGCTTTCCGAGAATGCAGCTAAGTACAAGGCATTTTCATACCGGCTCATTCGACTCTGCTCAGCAAAATTACAATACCTCACAGGTCATGATACACCCCAGGCCAGCTGCACCCTATCAGAATCCACCTCAAAACTTCAATACTGAACAACATCCTCCACGAATACCAGTGCAACCATACGTAGGTCATTACGATGACAAAGGTCAAATGTCAGGTCAATTGCAAGGTCAAATGTCAAGTCAGATGAGAGGTCAAGTAACAAACCAGTTGGACTATGGTCCTCAGATGAATCCAAACTTGCATTACAAAGGACAACCACCCATGATGCGCCAGCCACAGCCATCAGTACCACATCCGGTATCTCACAGGATGCCGCATCCCCACATGCACCCACAGATGGCATATTATAGAGGTCAAAAGCCAATGTACAGTGGAGGTCAAGGGCCGCTTACATACCGTCAGGTTATAGAGCACCAAGGCCAGATGCCAATGAATCACACAAGCAGGCAGCGGCATTTGGATGCCTATTATGGAGGTATGCATGGTATGATGGAAGAGACATATAGCAAGGCAATGCAACAAGGGTTACTGGATATGGTAAACAGAGAAAACTGCATGAATGAAGTGAGTTGTTTTTTGACGGTATGAAGGATGTTAATTTTAATATTATGGGCAAGGTATGTTGGTACGTGTGACGGATGTTTGTAAATTCAATATTGTCTGTATAGTTGGCCCTTGGGTGGGGAGATGTGAGTAGATGAAATACTGGAAGAATAGGGGAAGGAGGGAAGGGATGTTAGTTCGTGTCACCGATGTTTGTAAATTCAATATTGTCTTTAAAGTTGGCCCTTGTGTGAGGAGATGTGAGTAGATGAAATACTGGAAGAATAGGGGCAGGAGGGGAAGGGATGTTAGTTCGTGTCACCGATGTTTGTAAATTCAATATTGTCTTTATAGTTGGCCCTTGTGTGAGGAGATGTGAGTAGAGGAAATACTGGAAGAATAGGGGCAGGAGGGGAAGGGATGTTAGTTCGTGTCACCGATGTTTGGAAATTAGATATTGGCTTTGTAACTAGATGGGGGGGATGGGGTGGTTAGATATCGGCTGTATAGCGGGTTAGGTTGGGGTGTGACGCTCGTAAGTAAAATATTGAACAGAATATGTGGTCAGTGGGTTGGTGTCGTTTATAAGTAACGTAAGGGAGAATCTATCGAAAAGGAGATAATTTAAGTGAACATTGTATACTTTTAAGCAAAAGTGGGGTGGCTTGTATTGAAAACCAATTTTAAGGTGATGGTTTACCACTTTGATAACAAGAAAGTTTGTATTCTGTAATTAGAATTTGTTTTGGAATTCGAGATTTTTCCGATCCGCTGACAACGCATATATTCAGTAATTTACCTCTGACATTAGAGGTAGCAATGACAGAAAAGAGATGACCGACTTAAGTATATGACGTAAGCTTGCCAAGAGATTTATTAATGACGTGAACATTTGAAATTTTAGTTGTTTATTATCTTTATACATTTATTGTCAATCTCCTCAAGATTGCATTTCTAAGGAAGTCTTGAAGCAGACCTTTTAAAACCGAAAGATTTGAGCAATTTAGAAATTTGGTTCTCCTGGCTGTTAACGAATAACGTTGTTAACAATTTTGTTTATCAGGAGAAAATGGTTCCACACAGTCAACCCCAGCCACGTAGCGTCAGCCAATTAAACCTACAGTCAGGCCAAGATCAGCAACAAAAGAACACTGACAATGCCAGTGTTGTGAGCTTCTCAAGTGTCGCTGCGTCGCATCAGAACTTAGACACCAAAGTTGATATGGTTTCTTCCTTACTAAGCATGCTGGGAACACACGACAAAGACGATGTTGCTAGGACACTGCTGGCGATGTCAAGCAGTACAGACTCGTGCAGTGCCATGCGCCAGTCAGGGTGTCTGCCATTACTGATTAAGTTGTTGCATGATCCTGAATACGAGGTTAAAGGAATAAATTGGGAGGCTAGACAAAGAGCAGGTGAGGCCAACATTTTGTGCAAACGTTTGTCAGCTCTTCATATCTTTTGCATACCATTTTGTTGTGGATGCTTCTAGCTGAAAGATAGTCTCAACCATGGGCAGGTTCTTAAAGCAATAGGGATAGCAAAAAACACTCAAATTTAAGTTTAGGCCCTTTCTCGTGTATTCTTCAAAATCTAGTAAAATAATTCTTTATGATCCCCTAGATCTGAACTGTTTGTTTTCATCCCCATTGCTATCTGTCGGGTTAACAACTTTTTAAATATCTAGCAGATTGACAGATGATTATTTCAAAACAATTATCCTAAACATTGTCCTTCATGTTTCAGGCCGGGCCCTTCATAATATCATTAACTCTGGAACTGTTGACCGTAAAGGACGTCGGGAGGTACGAGTGCTGCGTCTGATCGAGATTGTTCGTGCTCATAGTGAGGCTGTTCTCAGTGGTAACATGGAGAAGTATCAATCACATAAAGGTGCTCCTGCACTGCGGGATCATGGTCCAGGCCCCGCAGTTGCAGCTTTGATGAAGCTATCCTTTGAGGAAGAACACAAGAATACGATAACCGAGCTAGGGGGGCTACAGGTTGGTCTTGTCGTTGATAATTTAGGCCCGAATTGGAACGTCCCTCTTCGGTGATTTTACTACCTCTAATATAAAGGGACCATCTTGGCTTAGCTGCTAAATTTATTTTTGATTACATAATGCAAGTTTTGGTTGAAAAGTACAAGTCTGTGCTTGACAAACAAAGAGTAAATTGTTTTTTCTTTAATTTTATCCTCCTTTTAGAAGTTCTCGTTGGTCTAGGAACATGTTATGATGCGAAGTTTGGTTTGATTGTAATTTATAGTTTTTAATCACGATAATACAGTGGAGTATCTAACAGACAAAAAACTCTTATGTGTAAACAAGAAAGTTAAACACTTCATCGTGATTGTAATCTCATAGTTAATGCAAGTTACTTCATGTTACGATAGTCAAAAACCAGTAATTTCTAGTTTATCGCTCTAATACTTTCTTAACAACCCTGACTAACCATGTTTCTGTTAATAGTAGAATTGAATCCAATTGGTCACGATATTCAAAGAATACTACAAATCAACTATGTCTTGCATATTAAAATAAATAAAGGATACATAAAAGAAAAAATTTGTTATCAAATGATCAATAACGAGCCTAAGTTTAAAATACTTAAAATTCGTCTAAGCTTTCAAAAACGCTATTTGGTGTTTAAAACAGGATGACTCTAAGCTGCTACTCCGAGTTTCACACTTACTGCTATCATTAGGGAACTATCCCGACACACTAAAACTGTTCTTTACACATAATAGCGTGTACAGCTTTACTACCTACCCACAATAACTCTTTCTACCCTCAAATTTCCGTGAGCCCACAATAAAGACATTTTTGGACATTTAAAGTATTTACTTCCAACCTTAATTTCCAACACTTTGTTATTCCCAATCTATATTTCAGGTGATTGCAGAACTGCTTCAAGTGGATTTCAAATCGAACGGGCATTGCAAAGATCCTTACAGTATTACCCTGCGCAAGTACGCTGGGATGGCGCTAATTAACCTCACGTATAGTGACAGTCGGAATAAAAATATATTGTTGGAAATGAAGGGGGCTTTGAAAGCTGTTCTTGCGGGGCTGTCGTCGTCTGAGGAGGAGGAGCTGGTTCAGGTTTCTGCGGGAATCCTGCGCAATGTCTCGTGGAAATCCGATGAAAACGGGAAAAGAACATTGGCTGAGGTTAGTTTGGTATAAATACATCGTGAGCGTATTTCTTTGAAAATAAAATCAAGATGTTTTAGTTTAATATTATTTAAATAAAATAAAATCATAAAAATATTTGCTGAAGATCTGATCTGTTATCATATGTTTTTGGATGCACTATTAATTATGTTCGTTTGTTAGCTGCCAAAATGCCATACCGCTGAAGTAGTTAATGGCTTACCTTATTCATTGCGATCTCCCTTCTTTTTAGGTTGGCACTGCCCGGAGCCTCATGACATCTGTGCAGCATATCCGCAGCGAGGCAGCAATTCGCAGTATCCTTAGCGCTGTCTGGAATCTCTCGGCTCACACTCCTGATAACAAAGAAGAAATATGCTCAACCCCCGGCTCATTGAAATTCCTCTGTTATGCATTGAACTATCGTAGCCTGTCACGCAGTCTTGTCATAGCAGAAAATGCCGGAGGGATCATGAGAAATATATCTTCCCACATAGCTGTCAAGCCTGAATACAGACAAATATTGAGAGAGCATGGCTGCTTGAAGGTAATTACCCCCTGTAAAATCACATCATTCGTTCAAATTTTGTAATTATAACATTTTGAACGGGGGATTCGTGTTTTACTTTGGTTATGTTATACATTTCACTTGCAACTACAAAACTGTGAAACATGCTACAGAGTACACTTTGAACAACAAAGACTAGAACTTGTGAAACAAATATCATCGTCTTGGTTTGGTAGAATAGTTTTGATTACGTGAAAAGAGATTGTTGTGTAGTTGTCTGTCATTTTACCAAAATTCAAGGGATTAGCCAACTTGAAAGATATTTTGTTGTCGAAAATAAAATATTCTTTGGTGCCGAACATCGTCAATATTTATATTTCGATCACATCTGTCACCAATAACACGATATTTATCAACGATTTTTCTAATATTTTATGTTTTATTCTGAAACTTTATTAAAAAGTTTTTGTGAGACAGTCAATTTTAAGATTTCTTAATAGTTATCAGATATCAATTTCAATCAATGCTCTATTATTGAGTTCATTACCCATTTTCCTGCAAACCTAAAGCATATGAGATCTAAAATATATCTTTCTATTTTTAACTATACTAACATCTAGTCCCGGAAAATATTTCACTTTAATCATATTTAATTATTAACGGATACCGCTTTATCAATTCTTATCAAGTTTTGAATCCATTCTTATCAAGAATTCACAAAGCGTGGCGATAAATATCCAGCGTCCACTGTTGTATCTTCTTTACGGCAAGTTAAAAAACATAAGCAAGTATAGTGCCTTTGTGCAGCCCTGTCTGCAACCATGTAGTTTTTTGTGAACTCGTGATGAAAATTGTGTGACCAAATCGTCTGTTATTGTCTCTTCAGGTTCTTATATCACATCTCCGATCGCCTAGCACCCGCGTTGTGTCCAATGCTTGCGGGATTCTCTGGAACCTATCCGCACGCTGCATCGAAGATCAAGAGCTTCTTTGGGAGTTGGGCGCTGTATCGATGCTAAAAACATTAGTCCATTCGAAACACAAGTCAATTTCAACCAGCTCTGCCTCTGCCCTTCGTAACCTAATGGCTGTCAAACCCGGAAGTAGCAGCACAGATAACGAGTCACATGCTTCATTCAGCTTCAAAAGGTCAAAAACGCTTCCTGGAAAATCAAGAAATTCTCAGAACAATCTTCGATCGGACCGGAAGTATAAATCGTTCTTTGGTAAGAAACTTGCGGTTAAAGAAACCACAGTTCCAGGAAATGAATCCAGCTCAACAGCGAAAAAGGCGCCAATACGAGGATTGCCGAATGTACCGGAAGATTCTCGGAAGGTGCATCGAAAGGTAAAGCATGGGGAGCCCCATTATTACGCTGATCTATACCAGGATCCTCCGCGAAGGGGAATCACCATGCCACAAGCCAGAGACCCAACAGTGGTTCTGTATTCATCAGAGAATCCCCATAGTGCACATGAAGGAAATCAAGAGGAGTCCCCGGCCCTTTTTAATGGCAGTCGAGTAGATCGATGGAATAATCTCCACAGTGGAAACTCTTGTAATTGCAAGCATGGCTCATTTCAGCATAATCGACCACCACAGGGGGTCGATACATTGCAACAGGGAATGCAAAATATGATCATCAAAGAGGAATCTCCTATAATAACACGGCAAAGACGCGGAAGCTCAAGCTCAAGTTTATCATCCTGCTCACCCCCGTCACAGGTGAGACGGATCACATTTCTTGTAATTTGATATTTCTTCATTTGATTTCTGAGTTTTCATATTATTTTATTTCAACGTCTTTCTAACTTCTAAAAACAATTCCAGATTTAATTTGTTAATTAAAAACAGTCTATACAGGAACGAGTTCTTGGGAGTGGCGAGCCGGGAAACTCTAAAAGGGAGAATCAATAAAAGGGAAAGTCTCTCAGAGGGGAGATCTCTTAAAGGGTGAATCTCGAGAAGGGGAAATCTTTCAAAGGGAAAATCTCTGAAAAAGAAAATCTCTCAAAGAGAAAATTTCTAAAAGAGGGAATCGCTTAATAGGACAACTAAATAAAAAATTAAATGAACAGGTTTTTCATGGGGAGAATCTTCTAAAAATGAGCTACTTTTGTGGCTTCATCAAAAGCTTCCAGGTGGCTGCAATTTGCACGTCTTCGAAAAGCTGTTTACTGAATGTTTTAAAAAGTAGGAAGATTGTTTAATTATTGCGCCTCTGTCCTTTGTAATGTTTTCTTTGAAAATTGATGTAAACTGGGCTGGCTCGAGCAAATAATTCGCCAGAAACCAAGATTTCTCTGATTTTATTGATTATTTAAATCTTTTGTTTTAGCCACCACATCCAGCCAATCAGCAAATGCCACGTGTAGAAACAGAGAACTCACCATTGTCAATATTCAGGGACCGGAAGTCTAATCCGGGTCTTTGTCTGCATAGGCGGTCAATGTCTGATACCATATCTGAGTTCGGTCATCCAAGCCAATTGCCAAACCAGCCTTCTCATGCTGTAACCGACTCAGAGCTTGCAAAACCGGATCATTTTTCATGGCATAATCATGCACACAAGCCTCCGTTGAGCCAGAAAATCAGCTACGGAGGAGAGGCCTACGAAAGGAAGGAAATCGCGCCAAAACCACAGCCCTATTACAACGTTAGGCCTATCGGTCGTTACGACGAGGTTTCCCATTACGAGACCCATTTTCTGTCGCCTTATGACGATTGTCCATTGTCTATCGTAAAAGATTCGGTTAGATTCCCGCATTTTTCGTTGGGTTATCGCCCAAAACAAGACTGTACGCCCCCGAGACAACAGGAACGTCCTTTGGTTCAGGAATCTACTACACCTAAGGTTTTCGTTCAAGAAACCCGTTACGACGTTCGGCAAGCGTATCATCGGCGATCAAACGAAACAATATCAAGTTCGTTGCCAGGTTCGCGTGAAGAACTTCGAAGGAGATGCAAACACAACCATTCTGGAACTAGCGTTTGGCAATGCGATTGTTACGAAACGGGGAACGTTTGGATTCGTAAAGGTCACGAGAAGAGCAAAAAATGTCAAGGAGAGCAGGGTTCAAGTCAAATGCATGCGTGGCCTGAAAGTTCAAAGGTCAATCGATCGGATAGTTTTCGAGCTGCAAGACAAGATGCTCAGAGTTACGTCATGCCGCCCACGTGGCCTAACCCAGCGTACCAAAATAGCACAACAGTCAATCATCCGAGAATTGGATCACGTGCTGGTTTGAGAAGTGATGACGAATTGAGACATTCTAAAGAACTACTTCCTTCACGTGATTGTGATGCGAGGCAATTTCTTGGAAATGAAAACGTTTTTCTTGGAAATGATCAAAGACACCCTTTCCAAGAAAAGATTATATCAAGCCCGCAAGGACAGTATGGGGTGGCCACACCAGTAAAAGACCCGCATCTTGTTTCCGGGCAGGAGATACCAATGCAAGAGATACCAAGTAGAGAACCGAGCATTCCGGACCAGGGCCAAAGCAACGTTCCTGGTAAAGAGAGAACCGGAACTGACAAAAAGGCGGAAGATAATGAAGGGAAAAAGCCGTTAAGGTCGAGTTTGAAAACACCGTCTGATGGATTAAAGAAATTTCGCAAGAAGCATATCACCCAGAAAGTTGTTACTTCTGTTGAAAAGAAGAAATCAAAAGGAAAGGACAATGTCATGGTAACTTCATTGTAGAAGATAAACACGCGTGTAGTTTACCGTGTAAGCGTGATTAGAAATCTCGTCAGCTGCAGTGAAAATAGCCCCTTCAGTACGCGTGCGCGTGTACGTACTATCTTGTCAGAAGGCCCCGTAAGTTTTGATAAATGTGGTCACATCACTTAGCAAACAGACATGCGTGCTAATTATCGTGTAACCGTGCATGAAGGTTCTTATTACTGCGAATATTGCCGCCTTGCTTAACAAATACAACACGCACGCGAATCACCGTGTAATGGTACCTCATTGTTCTTATTACTGATAATATTGCCACATTGGTTAACAAATGCAACACGCGTGCGAATTATCGTGTAAAATACTGACGTTCATGTATCATGTCCCACAAAACTGATGGCCTCTTCGTGCCCGTGTAACATGTTCGTGTAGTTGATAGCTGCTGTAGAAATGAGATACAATCCATAGTGTTAGTTGCGTGGAAAGCAAAGAGAACTCTGCTTCGTGCATATTACATAGACAATGTCAGTTGACACGAATTTACACGAAAGACACGCTTCGTAAGCGCTAGCAACTGTATGCAGACTTTTTTTAGAAGTAATCAATCAGTTTTATTAAGATTCACGATACTTGCTGACTTTTGTAAATAAGCATTCTTCACTGCATTTCGTTCGCTTTCGTTCTGCTGTGGAGGCGCTAATTTATTTTAGCTTATTTTTGCATTGCTTCTCGTAAGCACCCGCCCCCGCCCCCCTTCCTTGATTTTCGTAACCTTGCCATTTAAAAGCAGATTTTTAACTAAATTCTGAAAATAAAATAGAATTGGCTCTCAATCAAAATCGAAGAAAAGATTTGTCTCTGAAATCTTAGGCTAAAAGATTTTTGTTTAAGAAAATCTTCCAATAAACCTTAATTAAATGCGATGATAAAGCTTCAACTAAAAATGTCTCAAGCTCTCATCACACCTTTGTTGATGTACCCTCCACTCTTCTCCGACCCTTCCTTCCGTTTCCAAGCCATTACCAATTTTCTGACCTCTCCAGTCAAATAAAAGCCCTTCCCCCTAGCCCATCTCACGTCCTTCACCCTTTTTGCGACCCCCCAATTCCCTCTTCGATGCTCCTGCTTCCTTCAACCCCTCAAGTCCCCTCATTTCATCTCCTGCCCTCCCCTATATGATCCCCTATCTTTCAAAATTTTCGACCCACATTATATCATTCCTCTTTATTTTCTATTTCAGTTGCCATCTACTCTTAAAAAAAATTGACATTCTAGTAAGTTCAAGTAAACATGACAATTTTCCCACCATATTCTTATCTACTTTGCCCCTGATGCCCCCAACCCCACCTAACTATTCTAGCTTCTCATTGTTTACCCAAAACACATCACCACCCCTCCCACATCAGTTCAAGTTAACAAGACAATTTTCCCACCATGACCCCTGATGCCCCCAAAACCCACCTAACAATTCTAGCTTCTCATTGTTTACCCAAACACATCACCACTCTATACACATCAGTTCAAGTTAACAAGACAATTTTCCCACCATGACCCCCAAATGCCCCCAAACCCACCTTACAATTCTAGCTTCTCATTGTTTACCCAAAACACATCACCACCCCTCCCACATCAGTTCAAGTTAACAAGACAATTTTCCCACCATGACCCCTGATGCCCCCAAACCCACCTTACAATTCTAGCTTCTCATTGTTTACCCAAAACACATCACCACCCCTCCCACATCAGTTCAAGTTAACAAGACAATTTTCCTACCATGACCCCTGATGCCCCCAACCCCACCTTACAATTCTAGCTTCTCATTGTTTACCCAAAACACATCACCACCCTTCCCATATCAGTTAAAGTTAACAAGACAATTTTCCCACCATGGCCCCCCAATGCCCCCAACCCCACCCCACCTTACAATTCTAGCTTCTCATTGTTTACCCAAAACACATCACCACCCTTCCCACATCAGTTAAAGTTAACAAGACAATTTTCCCACCATGGCCCCCCAATGCCCCCAACCCCACCCCACCTTACAATTCTAGCTTCTCATTGTTTACCCAAAACACATCACCACCCTTCCCATATCAGTTCAAGTTAACAAGACAATTTTCCCACCATGGCCCCCCAATGCCCCCAACCCCACCCCACCTTACAATTCTAGCTTCTCATTGTTTTACTCAGAACACTTCAATATCCATTCAATGCACCAATTGAACACACCCGTATATCTTTAATCGATTTAAAACATAAGTTCCTCTTGCTTTTCATTCTTTTGTTCACCGTTTTTCAAGGCCTGGTGACTAATTACGTCATCTTGTTTAGCAGTCGTCATTAAATTATTTAAAACTTTGTTCGTAAACATTAAATTTTTAGAGAATTTTTGTCAGAATTTTAGAAGAAAGGTTCATAATAGATTTAAGTTGCTTTTCGTCTTTTATTTCTTATCTGCTTTTAGGGATACAAGCCAAATGCTGTTGAAGTTCTGGAAATGATGGCTTTGAAAAAAGCAAACATTTAGTGAACTAAAGCTTTTCGTCTGACACTCTTCAGAGTTTAAAACGTCAGAACATAGATCGAAAACTCTACGCTAAGAAATATATATATCCAGTTGTGGATCGAAATAGGCCAATAAGAAACACGAGCACATGACTGTATAGGTTGACCAATCAGTGTCGCTTGCCTATTGAGAGTTCTGGAAGAGAGGTGGAAATTCTTCTTTTCGACGGTTATATATACAATTATTTCTTCTTTAATTAACATAGATGAATACAAAAGGAGTTGTGATTTATCATGTTTTTTTCATGGAAATCAAAAAAATATAATACTTATTCTAAACTAATTTTCTCATAAAAGAAAGCATGTAATGTTAACAGTTTTCTGTTCAAAGGATGACTACTGCAGGGGGAGGGGGCTCAACCCTCTTGTTGATATTAAGAGAGATTTTCTTTGAGGGTGGGAGGTTTCAGACCTCATTAACAAACCAGTCTTTGTCGGTTTGGCGAATTCCTTAATGGCAAGGTGAATTAACCCTTTATTATGCTATTGCTGTTCGATGAATGAGCAAGTTCTCTTGGCCTTTAGAGAATTGTTGAATCAATTCGTAGACACAGAATCTTTAACACAAATACAGTGGAATCTCGATATAACGAGCTCTGAAAGGAACCCAAAAATAGTTCGTTATATCGGGAGTTCGTTAAACCGAATAAAATTTTGTTGGAGTTCTTTTCGCAGTACACGTGTCAAAAACCCCAACTTCTGTGCACATTATACCCAAAACAAACAAGCTGGATTCAAACACTATAATGATGAAACATGAAAATCTTTTTTATCACACGTTATAATTGGGCTTTCTGTGTGTTGGCTATTTTCACTGAAATAATGCAAAGCCTTAAAAAGGTGTTAACTTTTTCACGCATCTTCATGTTCATTTTGAGCATCGCAAAGAGTGCATGTTTGCCGATTTATGTTTTACCGGTGGCAAAAGCGATTTCTCCTAAGAAAAAGTGATAAACGAACAAAATCAAATAACAGATGAAAAAATTTAGATACATCGTTACATCGAGAGTAATTAAGATAGAAGGACCTAAAATTTTGTTCGCAATAACGAGAGTTCGTTGAATAAGACGTTCGTTGTACCAGAAATTTTTTAGGAGTTTATTAGAACGGCATCCCTGGTTGCAGCTATTTTAGGGACAATCTGTTTAGCAAATCGAGCTTGGTCATCTATATTTCGCCAGACATTTTATGACGTCGACGATAAAAAGGCCCGTAGACACTAGGGGCAGGGGGGCAATGCCCCTGAATAATTTGCGAGAATTGTGTTTGAAGATCTTACAAGCGCAGCTTGATCTGACAAAATTTCGCAAGGCAGGTATAGAAAAAGCTATATTTCTATCCATACCCCAATCCAAGAACAAGATTGCTCCGTTGGCTTGGAACTTACAAGGGATAGAAACATACCTCCCACATCTAAATACAGCATCGGAACGGAAGCAAATCTCTTGACGTGATTAAAAAAGGTCACTTAGAAGCTTGGAACTTAGAAGTGATAAAAGCATATCTCCCACATCTAAATAAAGCATCGAAACGGAAGCGAATCTCTTGATGTGATAAGAAAGGTCACGAACATTTCATAACATCATTCATGACATCATAATAAAGAAACTCTTAAGAAACAATGAGTATTGAAATTTCCAGAATATTAAAAAACTGGAGTACTCAACATCGACCTTTGTTTCTTATATAAAAATGAGTGTACTCCATGAATTGATACCTGCGACATTTCCTGACATTAGGAGGGAATTGATAAAAGTTTGAGCTGAACCCCAAGGTTTCTGTTAGGATGAAAATATTGTTGGACTAAATGATTAATGACACTGAAGAGTAAGTACATCGAAATGACTATATAGGTAGGATTGAAGTGATCTTTCTTTAAAGCTTTCAAAACATTGTCAAACATATCAAGTATTGATTCTCTTATAATGTTAACAGTCTCCAGGACCCTTGTAACCGCGTAGTTCATCATTAATGTCAAAGGACATTTTTCCATTATTCTGGAGAATAATGAATTCAAGTTGACATGATCACTAACAACAAACTACAGATAGAAAAATTAATATGTATATTTAGGGCAACGTCTTAAACTTAGGAGAAAATTGTGAAATAGCTTTTCAAATAAAAGTTAGGCAAAATAAGATCTGATGTTGGATAAAGCAAAGATCATATTTAATGCATCCACGATTTTTCCTGACACGTGGAGGGATTTTATTAAAAGTTCGAGTTGAGTCCAAATGGAAAGTTGAGCTACAATCTCTGCCAAAACTCCTTAGAACACCTACATATTATGCTAAATTTTTGCTTTTTTCGTATGTTTCCCGTGTTTCCAATAGACTAACCCCCCTCCCCCTAAAACAATGTTGCTTAAGATGCAGTATATCACATCAATCGGTAGAAAAAGGTTTGCCACAAAAGAATTTATTAACTTTGCTGTGAGACAACATTGTTTGAAGGTGGAGGGAAACGGAGGCATGCAAATGTTGAAAATATCACAAGTGTTCCAAGAGTTTTGGCAGCGATTGTAGGTTTCCTGTTAAGCTCAATTTCTTCGTGCAAAGCAGTGACTGTTTACAAATATCACAATTTAATGGAAGAGCACAATTTAAGGGCACTCAAAACACTTCATATAAGAGAAAGAGTCGCATTTTCATTGAATTTACTTTGTATTTTTGTAACAATAACAAGGATAATTAAAATATGAAGATAATACTGAAACAATGGGTTAACGCTGAACATCTTAAATTGCACGGCGTTGTAACAATGACAAACATATATTCTGGGTTGTATTTGCTAACCAACTAACTATTAAACCACCAAATTGATTCATTCTTCAAGTCTCCTTATTTCGTAATAGGGCAGGGACGCCGTGGGAGATGTTATATGCTAAAGCTCGAATTTTCCTAAAAAATTCAGACCAAGTAACAAAATTTCTAAACTTTTGTGCAAAATTTGAAGCTTTTGTCGGCTATGCCCATCCCACCCAACAAACTGTGCCTTCTGTGACAGGATATGACAAGATTTTCTCGAACATAAATATGAGTATGAAAAAATTTGTTGCACATTTAGCTGCAACTGAAGACATAATTAGCGGCCGGTGAGACGAGAACAGAACGCCGCCCCCTAACGACGCCCTACTTTCTTGACAAACGAGAAACCCTTAGACTGTAGAAAAAGTATTTACGTATTTCTTTATGTATTTAAATGACAAATAACCAATTAAAAGAGACCAGGACAATCTCATTCTCTTCAAAGAGTGCGTTCTGGGTTGGAAAAAATTTAAGTCGAGTCGAGCCAAAACAAACAAACTGTAAACAAACTTCAAAAGTTTAGGGGTTATAACAACCTGTTAAAGGTTGAGTAAAGCTCTTGTCATGACAAAAGATAAAAAAGAAAGACACGGACGAGCAGTATTGTGCTTGTAACTGTAAATGCATCATATAAGGCAAATATTACTCACCACAACATGCTTTCTTTGGAAGATTCGCCATTTTTATTTCTGCACATGAGCAAGATTCCATTATGGTTTTAAAATGAGGCTGCTTCAATATGGCAGTTATGAAAACATTGTATTAGGTAAAGGAGGACTGGTGGAAACTGGAAGGGTGGGAACTGGAAGGGCTAGAATTAGGTCAATTAGCACTTTTTCGGAAGATGTTTTGGTATTTGAGTTTTTCGACAGAAAAGAGAGGAATTTCCAGACGGGAAGTTGTACCTTAGATTGTTGCTCTTTGCCGAAGAAATCCTTAAAAGATTGTTGCTATTTGCCGAAGAAATCCTTAAAAAAATTGCATATGACTATAGGCTAAAACATGCGTTTTAATAGATACAAGTAGGAGATGCTCTAAAATGCTTATGATCATGGCACCAATTACATGGCTGAAACAAGAGGTATGGGCAAGAAAAACAACATTGTGACGTCATGGTTTAATAATTTCACGGTATTGCTAACAAAGCATTTGACTTGCAGTTTGTTGCTGAATAAATTCCAATGACAAGATTCGGTAAATTATACATTTAAAATACAAGAGTCAAAATTAACGAGGATTTTGTTCGTATCTAAAGTTGGCGAGGCAAAAAATAAGGCTATATGTTAAAGATCATCGGATTATAAAGCCCTGCAAGGAAAAGAATTTGAATATGAGAGCTAAGGGATTGTTCTTTTTGGTTTAGCAGTTTGAGTTTAAGAATTATTTTGTGATGTATCATTGAGTTTCTATCCGAAACTGCGTCATTCTGTCAATAACTTGTGAAAGCAAGACGCCCTTGTTTCCTGGCATCAAAATGCAGTAAGGAACCTAATCCCAGATCTCCTGAGACATGCACACAATACCAGACACTCTTTCAGTGCTCAACCTTTCCAAGTCTTTCTCCAAAACGCACGAACTCAATCACACAACTCTTCTTCCTTCCTCTTGCTAACTTTGAAATGCTCTACCCCCTTCCTGTCTCCCAGACTCTTACAACCTATCTTTATTCATAACAAAAATAGATTCAATCTTTCCTCTCTCTCTTCCTAATCCCCCTCCCTTTTCCTTGTCAGGGCTTAGTTACAGACACTTGAGCTTTTGTCTAGCATCACCAACCAAAAAAACGATTCTTTGATTCTGCTACTCCAACATGCACGTTGCTCAAAAGAAGACAAAGAATAATCTGGATCTTGAAAATGGGTTTCTCTTTGCGACAGAGGTGGCGCCAGAAATCTTCCGAAAGAGGGGTTGGAGCTTCCGACAGGGGGGCTAAAATGACTAAAATAAGCAGTTTTCGTGCGTTATTTTGTCAAATTTGCTCCGACAATAACCTAAAATTTTCTCTGATGGGGGGGGGGGGCTAGATGCTTCCGACAGAGGGGCTGTAGCCCCCCCTAGCCCTCCCCTGGCGCCACCACTGCTTTGCGATGATAAACTAAGTTAAAAGATGAAAGCAAGCTGTATGGGGCTCAAGCTGTTGGGGGACACCCGTAAGTGATAATAATTGTAGCACAGTTTTTGTTTAAATATTAATATGAATGAAGAAAACATGAAATACGTCAGAACCTGCATCCATGGGACACGCAATGAGAAGAATCAACGGAGATGCTAGATTTCAAACAAAATTGCAGAAAGCTGTTCTGAGATCGGAAAAATGAGAATGTTGACATAAAATTGGGATGGCTAGCTCCAAAATTTTATAAACAAAAAGGGGGGCTAATAAACAAGAAAGTGAAATCGACATATATATAATAAATGGAAGGGGGGAATCGACAATTTATAAAGTTGAAACTATTGTTGAGATATGTTTGCAAGGATACTGCAAGTTTCGAATCTTTATTCGAAAGTTTTCAACAATGAGCATGGAGCGTCAAGAATGATTTATAATTACAAGTTACGATTTTAGACTTACGGTTATGATATTAATTTTAGTTAGCATTTATCGACTATGAAAGATATAATTTGAAATTTGAAATACGGGAAAGTTTCTAATATGTCCATTAAAATTTCCGGACATTTTCAGAAATGGGGGAAAACTGTTTTGCATTTTGAAAGCTATAACCGAGTTCTTTTCTGTTAATAGCAAGAATTGAAAAAATTTCTTTTATAATTGAATTTCCTTTGATATTGTGCTAAAATTCTACTGTTGTGATTTATGATAATCTATGCGAATAACTTACGAGCCATGTGTGCATAAATAACAATGAATAAATAATGTATTGCATAATTAACCTCACATGAACAATAATAGCATAATTTCTTGCAATTCAAATGAACATATTTACAGAAAGAAAATTTACAACTTATATATCGCAACAGAATAAAAAGCCTGAGTTGAAGTTAAAAATAACTAAGATTTTTACATATTGTTCCAGAAAATACAAAGTACTTTTAACTGCATAACGATAAACTTAAGATAAATCATTTTGTTTCTTAAAAACTGAAGGATTCTGATAACTTAAAATTGTTCAGCCGCGCACTAAGGCAATTTAATTTACGATAAACAACGACATCGAACTTACGACATGTCGAAACTACTCACTCGCTTTACGCCCGCGTCGAAGCATAATGGCCAAATGGTTTTTATGGTAAAAGAGTTCAGGAGACAAGTCAAAGGTCAATTGTAACCGGCATTGTACTGGATTCAACGGTCATAAGACAGGCTCTAGAGGTCACAGCAAAGGTTTCAGAGGTCATATGAAAGGATCAAAGGCCAACATATGGATTAGCTTGTTGGTAGTTCTGCCGATTGAAGGACATTTCTCTCTTGACCAACAATAGAATCTCATTTGGGCTTGAGCGCAACAAACCAACGACTTCTCTTGAGCTAAGTTTCTCTACTGACACTCCATTGACCTATGACCCCAAACAGAATAAAGTTACTTTTGAAAAAAATTTCTAATGAGCTATTTGTTAACTGGTCTGTTCATAGTACTCGATGCAGCGTTGACAGAACTGTGCATGTTTTAATTTGTAGAACTGACGCAACTATTTGCAACTCCGAGTTTTAGCTTAATGCGATCAGCAGGAAACTGAAAAATCATCCATTGCTTTCATTGTTTTTACCAAAGCGCTCATTATTTAAGTTGAAAAGCGTTCTCATCTTGTACAACATTGTAAAAAAGTAAAAAATGACGTCTTTATGACGTCATACATTTAAAGTGTAATTTGTATAAGTTTTGGCCTATTTTTGTTCTCCTCCAAACTTTGTTCTTCTCAACTTTTTCATCCCCAAGCGCCCTAAAACTTAACTCTCACTTTTGTGTGATACTTAATCTCAAATTTAGCTGCAAATATACCAAATTCGTTGGTAACCAGGAATAACATGAATTAATGACACTAAAAAGTTTCAGAGACAAATAATGAATGCATCAAAGAAAACACTTTCTTCAAAGCTCCAAATTCATGAAGATCAAAGATAAAGGTGACTGGAAAAGGTCAAAGGAAAGGTCAAAATTAAAGGTCACCGGTAAAGATCGAAGACAAGGGCAAACAATGATGAATTTAAGATATAATACCTCAAGTATGATATCACCAACTTGAAGCTGTCCACACTCGTCAGCAGCGGAGCCTTTTGCAATCCTCTTTACTCTGATTGGGCCTAAAATAAGGAGAGGAAAGTATGACGGATCGATAAAGCCATAGGCAACCTTTATTGAAGAATTCTTCTTGCGAGCGGAGCCCTCTCTACCCATCCCTAGTCCTTGCAGTAAAGAGGCAAGTGCAATAGAACTTGTTTCTCAATGGGAGGCAGTATGGCTTAGTACTTAAAAGGAAGAGGGACTGCTTAGTGCTTAAAAAGAAGAAGGAATGCTTCTTACTTAGAAGGAAGGGGGATTACTTATTCCTTATAAGGAAGGGGATTGCTTATTCTTTAGATAAAGGGGGACTCCTAGTTCTTTTGATTGAAGGTAATTGCCTTTTTGTTATAATGAAGGGGAATCTTGCTGAAAATGATAAACTCACCTTCATTTGCACCTCCGGTTAAATTCATCCCTAGTCCAACTGGTCCTTTGTAGAGAACGACTTCAAATACATGATCACCTGCAACAAGAAAGTGAAGTAAAAATTATAATGAATAGGTCAGCTGTTGTTACTGCTGGAAACAGATAATTTGTCATAAAGAATCAAGAAGGATGAAAATTGTAACATTAAAATACAACATTTGCCAAATATCCTTGACCAAAACTAAGCCTGTTTGGCCACTTAGTGCATTTAGTAAGCACTAATGAGTGCTTACTAAATGGCTTCTCAAAATCATTAGTTGATTAGTTGGAAAGTTCTATGTTTAATCTAACCAAGAGAATAATTAAGCATCGCTCAATCAGCAAGTTGTGATTAGGGAGAGGGAGTAGAAAGATGGCTCCTTCTCATGGATGTTTTCTAATCTTTTGCGATTGTGTGTGAAGCCTAATATACGAAGGGCTTTTGATTGCAATAAAAGGGCTTTGAACAGTTTTATTAGAAAGAAGCAGGGGTGCTCAAAATGCTAGGAAAAGATACGAATTAACTTGGTACTAAATGACTTCTGCCCGGGATTTCAAGATCATAAACGAAGAGAATATTGTTCAAATCTTGACTAAAACAAATCAAGATTAATATACTTATTTGATTTAGCCAAGAAATTCTATTAAAAACATAAACTTTTCAAGATCACAAGATAAGGGGGCCTACATTTTAGATTACGAATCAGCACGGGGGGGGGGCTTATTTGACTGCGGAGGTTCTAGAGAGGGCTTAAAAGAGGGGAAATTAATTGTGGAGGAGAGGTTATAACAAAGAGAGAAATGTGATAACTTTCAGTCTAGAAATATCTCCACAGTTATCAAGAGGAGATGGAGGAATTATAGGGAAGAGGGCAAATTGAAGATTTTGCTGTATCATCACTAGTAATTTACTCACTACCTAAGCCATGGAAGCCTGACGACCCCCGTCTGACAACTGCCGGCTTTCCAGAATTTTGGTAGATTTCTCCATTTTGATGTGTCGTCTTCGTTGTGACGTCATTTTCGTTTATATCAGAGGCCATTGCTTGCATTGAAGGACGGGGGTACTGCCTTGCAAATGGATTCGTCAATGTATCAACAATGTTTGTTTGGTGTTGTTCCGGTTGTGATGTTTTCAGAAGGCCCTGGTTCGGCGCTGATGACATCACTGGCTTTGCGGTGACGTCACCAGTATTGACATAGGGTGCGGAAGAATGCGAGGCAGTCCTGGGTGTGTTGCCATATAGGCTGCCTAGAACTTTGGCAGAAGCAGTACTTGCTTGGCTCTGATTGGTCGAGACAGAACTAAGGATGTTGTTGATCCCCTGCGGATTATGGCCTATTCCAATGACACTTCTGGCGCTCTGGAGAATTGCATTGTGGGAATCAGCAACAAATGTGCTCTGCTCAGAATCCTCTGAGGATATATCTGATAGACCTTATAAATAGAAGAATAAAATAAATAAAGAAATATCATATACAAGAAATAGCGTTGAAGTGATTATGATATGATAATGCTTGTCCTAAAAATTGCAACTGTGGCTGCATAATGTTGTACAGAACTTGATACAAAAAAATTTATGATAATTTAGTAAGACACAAACCCTAAATAATGCTTTAGCGTACAATTTAAGATCGCCACCAATATTGGACACCGTATTGAAAATGAATTATAGAACATTCATAAGTAATATGCTAAAGACATTTTTGTTCCAGATAGTTTGTCATTTCCTGCCATGTTAAAGATGGTACTCCTTAGCTTTCATCATCAGATACCCGTTGATATTTAGACAAGGTTGCAAGGAACCCAAAACCTCGAGCATCGCATTTTTGAGAACCCAGAAAATAACAGTTCTACGATCATAAACTAAATATATTTTACATTCAAAGGCCCTGAATATTGAATTTAAGAATTTTGCAATTCAGACTGCAAATTGCTTGTATTACAGTGTTCAGAATCTCAAAGCATCAAAATATGGATGCGCATAAAAAATTGGGAATAGAACACATCCATTAGGTGTGGAAACTAAGCGCACATATAAGTCTAAAATTCAGAAAATTATAGAAAGTAGAAGACGCAACTTCTCTAGATTGCAAAGCACTACAAAGCTAGCATACATAAATTATGATAATATATCTAATCTATTATAATATATATAATGTAGGATAAATTTATAATGAATGATAATTTTTGTAAATTTACAAATCAATGAATCGTGTTAAGCGGAATTTTTACATTACCTTGACCTAAACTACTGTCAAACGAGCTTTGACCTTTGACCTTGTCCAATGAGTAGATGTTTTGACCTACGACACGTTTCGGCTCATACACACTGCGACTTTCGACATCAGTCGAACTTTGACTCGACAGACTGCTCATGACAGCACCTAAAGCTGACCTCTGCTGCGTCGCTGCGTAAATTGAGCTATGCAGCGATGCGAAATCGTTCGATTTGATTGACGTCACACTAGCTGTTTGCGTCTTGCTGACGGAGTATACTGAAGATAAAATGCTTTTTGATTCAGACGAGGTCGAGTGGCTGTAAATGCTGGTTTCGGGTTTATCTAGTGATGACGTATGACCAAGGGGTCCCTTTGAAAATCCAAGGCTGTTTATGTCACGAAGACTGCTTGTCCTGGGTGCTGGCTGAGGCTTTGAATTTGGCGGGCGATTAGTCAGCGAGGAGAACAGGCTCACAGTTGATGAAGAAAGAGTGTTGCTAAAATATCAAAGAGTTTGCCAGTTTAGATGTTGAAATTAATGCCTGATCTATGCACATCTGTTTGTTAATACACCCAGATCTCTTATAAATTAGATCTTTCTTTAGTTGAAAGATCCTAATGTCTGGAATCGGAAGTTTCTTTTAGTTGCTTAGACTGATCACTGATTTAGCGGTAATGCATTTTTTTAGTAGTTCGCAAAAAACACGTAGTTAGGTCACACAGTGGCTAGTAGACACTGAGAAGGAGTAGCGAAGAGAGAACAGAGCGGAGGACAAAGGACAGATGCCATAGGATAGAGGGCATAGGATAAAGGACAGAGTTTACGTGACCTAAGTAGACCTTCTTTTTTCACAACGCTAGATCATTTTTTTTTCTACTATCTCTTGAACAACTACTTCTGTAAGTCAATATATCCGGGCCTCTGACGAAGGGGGGGCCGGGGGGCCATGGCCCCCTCACTTTTTTGCAAAACAATAGAGCTTTTTTAAAAAAACTTTTGTTATGATTGTTATACTTTCTCTTGGCCCCTTCACTTTCCAACCTGCGTCGGAGCCCATGTATATCATATGTACAGGTCAAAGTTCAAAAGATACTGACCTTTTTGGTGCGTATACGCTTGGCGTTGAACCATATGATGATCCAACAAGATCCTTTGATGCTCCGAATCCTCGTGGGAGAGTATTTGACAGCGTTGAACTGACATTTTGCCCAGTTAAGTAAACTGATTGTGCTTTACTTGTTTCACTCACTCTGGCGGAAGTGACATTGACAAGGCCCGTTCTCCCAGTCCCGGATGAGGAAGTAGTATTATATGGAATGCTAGCACCAGGGATTTTGTTGTCTAAAGGTTTGACTTGGCCAGAAGATGGACCATCAACTCTATCCCGCTTTCCTGCTTCACCCCCTAATGGTAACCATTGGAGACCAGATTGCTTGGCTGGTGTTGTTGGTGCTGTTCGTATACCGTTGTGAGGGACCACGGGTACATCACTGCCTCGTTGCAAAGAGCTGAGCCTCGTTAGACTGCCTGTAATGAAAGCAGAGCAGTGGTTAATGACAAAAGCAGTAAGCAGTGAAACGATAAATGAGTTTCGCTTTCAACAAGAAAAGAAAGGTAAATTCTGTTTTATCAATACGAGGAAAAATTTTCAAAAACACCTTTTTTCTTATTTTTCATTGACGGGTTAATATGTTGCTCTTTATTTTTGGACAAATCGATCTTCGGTGCTCTTATGAAATATGTTCTAATAAACAAAGAGTGCGAATGTGTCAAAAATTGGTTTATCTAAGTCAACAATGATTCCTTAATCCTCAACCTGCATTATCTGCCTCCATTTTGGGACAGACTTGTAGTTTAAACAGTTAATGGCCACAGGGTTGTGATGCACTTTCATGCTCCCTGTGTTATCGTTTCGTATGTTATGTTTGCTGTAAGTTGTTATGAGCATAGATAAAAAATGATTCCTGAAATGATTCCATAAAGCCTACAATGTGTTTCCAAAACTTTCTTGGCATCATTTTACCTTCAATAATCGAATATAGACGGATGAAGCATTTCAAAATGGTAGCAGAAAAGTAGGATGAAAGGGTAACCTACGTTAGCTGTAAATAATTAAAATGAGTACAGTTTAGGCCTTTAGGAAAAACACGTTTACGTTTACGAAAGTCAAACACGTTTACGTTCACGGAAGTCAAACATGTTTACGTTCACAGAAGTCAAATACGTTTACGTTAACGGAAGTCAAACACGTTTACGTTCACAGAAGTCAAATACGTTTACGTTCACGGAAATCAAACACGTTTACGTTTATGGAAATCAAACCTGAGCTGGTAATAGTCGGACCAGATGATGTGAGAGCTTTGACCTGTTGGTCTTGAGAATTTGGAATCTCGTTTCTTGTTGAATATATAGAAGATACAGCCTGAGTGACTGTGCTACCCATGGTGGATGTGATCTGAGATCTGAAAAACGACATTGATGATTTGAAAATGGCAGGACACAGAGGTGGGATAAGAAAATTTAATGAGATAATAATTCAATATAAATCATCTCACAAACAGAAGAAACCGAAATACAGAATTTTCAACCTATCTTTTAGTAATCATCAAATATTTCTTATTTCATAATGTTTCCGCACAATTATAAGCATGGAATATTTTTCTCGGAATATAATTTTACATGCAAAAATTTACCGGGGTTACCTTAGACACAATTCAAAAATCAACAGAAAATAAGTATTTTTGTATCTTAAGTGCAAAAGGAAATTGTTGGTTTTATAGTCTCTCATTAGCCAAAGGCTACTCTAGCGACTTTTCACAATACCCCCTGATTTCTATGCTCATGACCAAATAGCAGGGTGTAGTCACAGCAAGAACTTCGCAGGCTCCTAGCTACAGAACAGGTACCCAATACTCCTTAGATGGAGGGAAACACAATCCTGACAACTTTCCTAATTTTGTTGCACCTAGAGGTAGCAAGCTCGAAACCACAACCCTTGGATCGTGAGTTCTGCGCTTTGGCCACTATAACACGGAGGTACACTAAATGGATGTACAAACCTAGGCCCTTGCATTCTAGCTGCTTCCAAATCATTGCGTGATATCTGACCCGCGTGCATACTCGCGGGAACTCCACTCATTGCCCTTTCAACTTTTGGCGTATTTGGAGCACTTTTAGCCACGGGATGAAACGCAGAAGCTCCCGCACTCTGTCCAATTGTCTGTCTTGGCAAGGTACAGTATGAAGGTATCTGTGTCGTGTGATACGATTGGTTGGATTCAGAGCCTAAGCTGTGAATACTTGTACGTGATTGGCTAAGGCTTTGTTGTGAAAAGCTTGAAGACATTGAGCCCTGTCGAGTCCCATTCTGCAGAAAGACAAACAAAACAGCGAATTAATACTTATTTAAGCATTCATTTTAAGAGCAAATACCTATTGAAAGTGATGTCCTTGTTTGAAAGACCTCATGAATAGTGAAACTTTATGTAGGAATTTAAGACACTCCAGTTTTACATAATAGTAAGTATTGTCTCTACAGAAATAAGCAATTAATTCTTCGATAACACTCTTCTGCTTAACTTTACTTGCATTTAACAAGACTCTTCATGTTCTAAAATCTTTGATAAATATTTTAAGATCCTAATTTCGTATGATTAATTACCAGTCTTCTTGGTGATGTTCGATATCTTTCCAAGATAAACGTTGATGTTTGGGGACAGTTCTTCAGAATCTCAATGGCCTAAAAGCAGATAAAACAGTTAAAGATACATAACCTCTATATTATAATAAATAAACAGAAAAGGCACAAGAAAAGAGCCTTGTATGACATTAAACGAGATAAAAAATTGAGAATGCCAGGTTATTACCTGTATTTTCGTGCAAGCGTCAAGACTTATTCCATTGATTTCTGTAATTTTGTCACCTAAAGCAAAACAAAATAATTCAATATTAATGTCAATTTCAGAAGCATAATTATATTCCAATAGTTTGTAAAGCAACTGTTTATATAGAGGTTAGGGCAATATTGGCCGAAGTAACACCAGACTGGCATCTTATGGTATGAATAACAACCAAGTAAGTGGTAAATGGACGTGACAAACAAAGCTTAATATTAAGCTATAATAATATTTAATAATTATATAATATATTAAGTAATAATACAGCAAAATACAGTAAAGACACTATCCATGAAAATGTGATTCTTGGCTATCTATAAATTATATTATGAATGAATTATATATGGTAATGAAACAGTTTACAAGGAGTATACAACAGAATACTAACCAATCTGAACTCTTCCATCGATTTCAGCAGATCCGTTTGGCATCATTGCCCTTACAAAAATCCCACCTGATTCAGGGCCGCCCTAAAAAGTTGATATAGATCAAAGATCAAAGGTCAAAGTTGAAGGTCAAAGTTAAAGGTCAAAGTTGAAGGTCAATGTTAAAAGTCAAAGGTGATTTTTTCACATTGCTCAAAATGTTGGTTTCCTTGTTTTTCACACAAAAATTTTTGTGCTTGAATGTGATCTTGAATGCAAATCTAAAGAATTTCAAGCAATGATATTATATATTGATATATAATCATTAAAGTAGCTGTGTTTGGCTAAGAGTTTAGTTTGAAACGAGCAACTAATAACAACAACATTTTATGTGTACAAACCATTAGACTCAGACCAAAACTTCCAGCTGCTTTTGTTAGTTCGACGACAGTCAATACCTTGAAAATGATTAAATGATAAGTGACTGAATGGAAATATAATAAGATATATTACTAAAAGCAATATTTTTTACTTGTCATCTCAAAACAATAGGATGAAAACAATATTATAATACACAATACCATGCAAAAAATCACAACACAATGAACTGCAATCTCAATAAATTACACTACAACACGACCTCAGTGGCAATAGAATATAGTGTTACTACAATACAAGGCCAATAAAAACAATGTTGATACAATGTCAATACAATGCAATACAGTACAGTACAATACAGCACAATACAATACAATACAATACAAGTGAATACAATGCACTTTAATACAATACAATACTATAAAATTACAATAAACTGTCAATATCATATATGATATAATGAAATACAATACAAAATACAATATATTCAACAATCTGAAGTTGATACCGTATCTAAAGGAGGTACGTCACTTCCAACCGTACATCTTTCAAGATACAAAATAACTTTGTTGAGAGAGCCCTTTAAGATTTCGTATGCCTGCAAAGAGAAATAGTATCAAAATTTTATCAAAATAGACAAATGATGGATGAATCAATGTATGTGATATGGAGGAATTGCAGTGTTGGGCTGGAATTCGACACACAGTTTCGTAAAAAGTGAAGAATCGTGGATAGGCACGATTGTTTGAAACAATATGAAAAAGGAAACATACCTGCTGACGGGTCATTCCATCGATGATCTGTCCATTTATGGCGAGAATTCTATCTCCTGTTAAAAGAAAGACAATATACAAAAAAATTTCTCTATTGAATCAATAATAGTGTTCTAGATTCTAAGTGTTCCATCATTTAAAATCGAGAGTCTCAATTTAAAACAGAAAATCACTCGTAATAATATCAATAATATATTATTTATACAGGGTGATTCAATCAGCATTCATGCTGCTACCAAGAAAAGCCCTGTCTAAATTTAATAAAATATAAAAGGGGAAGCTACAACTAAGTAATAAAAAAGCGTTAAAATATATACAATGTCCTATATAAGTTATACAATTATTATACAATTTTAATCTTTAAAATGTTCCTTCAAAGCGTTCTTGAATTTAATATAATAGTTTTCTGTTGTGATACAAAGTGGCGGTGAGTTGAATATTTTCACTCCACTTGAGAAGATCCCTCTCTATCACTCGTCCATAATACTATAATACATCATTTTCCATTCGGCAGATAAACATTCTGCATTCAGAGAAATCTGCAGAACAACAAACCTTTCTGCAGCCTTGCATCATCTGCTGCTGCTCCTCCTGTTTGCAATGACTTAATAAAAACACCACCAATTTCAGGACCACCCTAAAACGAAATGTTGATGTCTTTATCAAACGATGCTCACTGAATGTTACTTTAGTTGCCCTATGGCATTTTAATACCATGATCTTTGACCTTGTGTTTCGCGAATCCAAAGCTGCACAAACATAGTAAGTTACATACCGCAAGTGTTATTCCAAAGCTGTTGTTCTTTTTCGCCAAATCAACACTGAAGAAGTCCTAGAAAAAAAATTTGCTCAGTACTGATGGATTGTGATCTACTGTACTGCATTGTACTGTACTGTTCTGTACTGTTCTGTACCGTACTGTTCTGTACCGTACTGTACTGTACTGAACTGTACTGTACTGTACTGTACTGTACTGTACTGTACTGTACTGTACTGTACTGTACTGTACTGTACTGTACTGTACTGTACTGTACTGTACTGTACTGTACTGTACTGTAATGTACTGTACTGTACTGTACTGTACTGTACTGTACTGTACTGTACTGTACTGTACTGTACTGTACTGTACTGTACTGTACTGTACTGTACTGTACTGTACTGTACTGTACAGTACTGTACTGTACTGTACTGTACTGTACTGTACTGTACTGTACTGTACTGTACTGTACTGTACTGTACTGTACTGTAATGTACTGTAATGTACTGTACTGTACTGTACTTTACTGTACTGTACTGTTACTTGTACTGTACCGTGACTGTGCACTGACTGCTCAACTGTACTCGTACTGCATTGTACGTACTGTTCTGTACCGTTACTGTTCTTTGTACTGTACTGTAACTGTACTGTACTGGTACTGCACTGCACTGCATGTTACTGATCTGTACTGTACTGTTACTGTACTGTCTGTACTGTACTGTAACTGTAGACTGTACTGTACTTACTGTTAACTGTACTGTACTTGTACTGTACTGTACTGTACTGTACTGTACTGTACTGTACTGTATGCTGTACTGTACTGTACTTGTACTGACTGTCACTGCATTGCTATGTAACGACTGTACTGATTACTGTACTACGTTATGTACCGTCTGTTCTCGTTACTGTACTGTAACTGTAACTGTACTGTACTGACTGCACCTGTTTAGTGTTTACTGTACTAGTACTGTACTGTACGTCTGTACTGTACTGTACTGTTACTGTAACTGTCTGTACTGTTACTGTTCTTGTACTGTACTGTAATGTTAACTGTTTACTTGTACTGTACTAGTAAAAAAACAACAACTGTACTGAAAACATAAGCTGATACTGTACTGTACTGCACTGCACTCACTGCAACTGCGCACTGTACTGTACGTGCATTGTACTGTACTGTTCTGTACCGTACTGTTCTGTACTGTAACGTTGTACTGTACTGTACTGTACTGTTTACTGTATATGCAACTGGCACTTGCACTGTACTGCTACTGTACTTGTACTTAAACTAGTACGTACTGTACATGTTAGCTGTACTGTACTGTACGTCTTACTGTACTTGTACTGGTTAATATAACGTTTGGTACTGTACTGTACTAGCTACTGTACGTAAGCTGAGTACTGTACTGTACTGGCACTGCTACTGCAGCTACTGTACTGTAGACTGCATTGTACTGTTACTGTTCTGTAAACCGTAACTGTTCTGTACTGTACTGTATGTACTGTACTGGTACCTGCACTGCACTGCACTGTATCTGTATCTGTACTGTACTGTACGGCACTGGCACTCACTGCACTGACTGTATGTCACTGTACTGTACGTACTGTACACTGGTACTGTACTGGTTACTGCAGTACTGTATACGTGTCTACTCGTACAGTAACAATATTGTTCTTATATTCACTGACAGACTAAATTCTTGTCTACTGTATCAATTATTCAATTTTTGCTGACCGTGAATCACCCATGGGGTCCACTAGGCCTTCAGCGAACATAATTATAGACTCACTGCACGTGCACTGCACAACTGGTCACTGCCTACTGCCTGTACTGAACGTCTGTACTGTTACTGTTGTACTGTACTGCACTGACACTACTGTACCTGTACGCTGATGCACGCATACTGATCCTGCTTCTAATTACTGACTACTGTAACTGTACTGATACTGTCTGACTGAGCTACTGCACTCCCACTGATGCACTGAACGGTGATGTACATGTACTGTCTGTACTGTACTGTACTGCATGACTGTCACGTATCCACTGCAACTGCACTGCCTATCCCTGCACTGCACTGCACCACTGTACTTGATACTGACTGTGTACTGTAGTACGTATGTAGCTTGTTGACTGTACGTGTTACTGTATCTAGTTACTGTACTGTACTGTTACTGTACTGGACGTACTGCCTGTTTACTGTACTGTACTGCACTGCACTGCACTGCACATGTACTGCTACTGCACTGCACTTGGCACTGTACAGGTACTTGCTACTTACTGTATACTGTACTGTACTGTACTGTACTGTACTGTACTGTACTGTACTGCACTGTACTGTACTGTACTGTACTGTACTGTACTGTACTGCGGTGTGTTGATACATACCGACTCTGGTACTATGATGTTATCGTATGTTGCATTTCTTTCAAAGAGAATGTTGATGACGTTTGCTCTTTTAAAAAGGTCTGCGGCCTAAAGAGAAGACAAAAAATTTTAATGAAGCATATCAGACAATAAATACTGAAACATCCGATGTATGAAATACCATAACAACAGATATGAAAAGAGCTAATACTAAACCTGATGTTTTGTGAGTCCATCCACCGAAACCCCATTGATTTCCACAATTCTGTCCCCTAAAGGTCAAATATTTAAGTTTAATGTCATTGCCAATGTTGTTGCTTAAAGAAAACTTTAATTGATTAAATTTTACAAGAACGACTTTGCAGTGCTTGAACTTTTAATGTGCCTCTTGTGACTGTAATGTTCTCTTGTGAATGGGGATGACAATGGAAATTTAAGAGTTATTTTACGAAAGAACTTTGCGACAGATTTGATAAGAATTACTGTTTTACAGTCATGATTCAGTGGAAAACCAGTTTTATCTATCTGTCATACTGTTAAGCCGAGCTGTACCGACAGACATGAATAAAGGCAGACTTAATTGCAGACTTAAGAAATTATTAAATCGGAAGTGTCATCAAGCACAAGTAGATGATGCAAAGATCGCATCTGGACAAAAATCAGTGATCTTTGGCTTTTGCTCTTGGAAACATATGACATATTTACCTCGCCTGATTTTTTCACAATGCTCAGCTGGACTCTCTGGCAGTATTCCTTTCACGTATATTCCGCCTTTTTCTATTCCACCCTAAAAGCGAGAGAGCCATGACACTGTAATGATCAACTCTAAACGTACCGATCGAAACGTTAAAATTCGTAATCATGGCCGTGGTTATACTTTACGTTAGGCTTGCCAGCTTTTACACCTTATTGTCATTGCAGTCAAGCGTCCGTAGAAGACTCAATATTAGGTTAGGTTAGGTTAGGTTAGGTTAGGTTAGGTTAGGTTAGGTTAGGTTAGGTTAGGTTAGGTTAGGTTAGGTTAGGTTAGGTTAGGTTAGGTTAGGTTAGGTTAGGCTAGGTTAGGTTAGGTTAGGTTAGGTTAGTTGGGTTGGGTTGGGTTGGATTGACTTGAGTTGGCTCGATTAACTTGGCTTTGTTTGGGCTAGATTGGTTTGGATTGTTTGGGTTGGATTTGTTTGGGTTGGATTGGTTTGGGTTTGGTTGGATTGGTTTGAGTTGGTTAGGGTCGGATTGTCTTGGGTTGGTTTCGATTAGCTTGGCCGGGATTACTCTAGCAATATTCGTACAGTAAATCTTCGAATTTTTTCGCCCTCTCGTACAAGTCCTTTCAAATAGCCCCGCTAAACTGGCTTAAGTAGTTAATTTAAAAAAGTAAAAAAAAGTTGGGAAACGCAGGGGTTCCAGATACGTTTAATTCCCTTAAGCCTACCTCCCCACACCAACCACAGATAAAAAGCTTCAATACCATAATAAAAAAAAAACTAAATCTTGTTGTTTCTGCTTACCGTTAATGTTAAGCCAAGTCCCAACTCTACACGTCTCAGCTCCACGCTGAAGAGATCCTGAAAAATCATTAATGGAACATAACTACAAGACACGTTCACACAAACAATTTCTTGCAGGGAATGCTGGGATACCCCGCAACAAACTCCTCTGTTGGTTGGCTAATCGTCGTATGACTGATGCATGTTGAAAAGTTTGAAGAACTAAAAGATTTCCGTAGTACACATGCGTGGCAATATGCCCAGTGAAATCTTTTATATGCCCAGTACCAGATTTCTGATTGGATTATGGTTGATTGACAAGGTCTATTTGACCAATCAGAATGACAGAAAGAATTTTTAAGGCACATAGTTTTGACAAATGTTGCGGGTTTCTGATAGGTTTCTATTTGATTGACAGGGTCATATGGACCAATAAGACAAACTGGAAGATTTATTTCAGTGGACACGTGTCACAATAAAAAATAGGCTGTTACAGAAGGTGAATCCAAAGGTCAAAAAATGATTAAAGGTCAAAGGTGGATGAATAAGGTCGAGCATAAGCCTAGGGTTTACTCACCCCATCCAAAAGCGGAATTTCATCAGCAATTTTGAACCGTTCTACCATAATCGTTATTGTGTTAGGAGCCTTCTTTAGAATTTCATCACACTAAAAATTCAATATTATAGACAATGATCAAAATTCAACTTTAAAATGAAGTAAAGAAGCAGAAAAGCTTTTCAAACTAAATAAGCGACATTGATGAAGTCATTTTTGTGGTTGGTTTCTTGCGATTGGTTCTTTTTTTAATTCAAACAGACATTTTAAAGGACAGAGAGAGAGATAGACAAACAGAGAGACATGTAATGTGACTTACCTGAAATTTTAAGAATCCATCCATAGCTATGCCGCTTATTTCAACAATACGATCACCTAAGGTAGTGAAGAATTGAATTATTTCAAAGTTCGCTAATTCTCAAGGAAAAAATAGAGAATGCTCTACTGCATTTGAGACTATGTTGTATTTTAATGTATTGTATAGCACAATATTGTATTGTATAGCACAATATTGTATTGTATTGTATTGCATTGTATTGTATTGTATTGTATTGTATTGTATTGTATTGTATTGTATTGTATTGTATTGTATTGTATTGTCTATCATATAATAATGTATCAAATCTTATTGTATTATATCTTATTGTACCATATTCAATTGTATTTTATTGTATTGAGATTTGTCTCCACCCTCCTAAGCATGTGAATAAGCAACAACAAAGAAAAGAAAGTCTCATTTTGATATTAAATTTCTTTTATGCTTACCTTTGGCAATTTTTCCATCAGATGCTCCAGCAGGCAAAACACTCTTGACATATATTCCCCCCATCTCCGGACCACCCTGATGTGAAAAATGACCAAGAAAATACGGAATAAGTACAAGATACGGATCTGGTTTCACAAGGCATTAGCAGGTTTAAGATATAAACTGTTATTATTTCTCAAGGGACTGAATTCACAGTTCATGCAAAAGTCATGCGTTGTAATTTTAAATGCTTAAAATATATGCTCCTGACTGGACGGGGGATGAGTCAATCACTACGGTTCCAAACTTGCAAGGGACGGTTGAACGGAGTTAGAATTGAGGCGGCATTGAAACAAAAGACGGACATTGACGAAAATCAATAAAAAATTATTTACACACCAACAATATTGGCTCATACTAATAGAATTTATATCTTAATATTGATTGGCCTAATAAGAAAATTTCAACATGAAATATCAAAATATTTCACAAACCGTTAAACATAGCCCAAAGCTGCCTCTTTTCTTTTGAAGTTCTATGGGAACGCAGTCCTGGAAACGAATGACGTCATGTTTATATTAAAGCACTGTTCATACTTCTTACAGGACTCGAGTCACAATATTACATAATGACAATTTCAATAGTTGATTTCGGTATCTTTGGCATTAACAGTATATGCTCTCATTTAAGTTGCTATATCTGCAATATCAGTTAAAAATTGAATAAGATAAGAACAAATGAATAAATATGGGCTCATTTCAATTCATACCATTGAAATTTGATCAACCATGTCTAAATTTATCAAGCAAGAAATCCACTAAGAACATAACCAAAGTTATTCAATGGTCATACCTTGGCTAATTCGAAATATACCTTACTCGTTCGGAAATTTAAGTAGTATTTTATGTCATTTTAGGTGTTCTTTTAGGCTGTAGGGTCAAAATTCAAAAGTCCTAGAGGTATGCTTAATGACGTCATCATTTTCTCACATGATGTAACATCAGATCAATTGACGTCAATATCAGACATACTTACCCCATCAAAACTTGACAACTGAGACGAAAACTGACGCGGTTGAAGCTGATAACCATAGCGTTCGAAAATAAGTGTTGCCATGCCGACAGAAGACTTTAGCATCTCAATGGCCTAAAAGGTAACGCAGAATAAACTCTTTGATCGGCACAATTACTTTGAGATGGAATATAGGGATTCTGCATTCTTTAGAATGAATGAAGGGATTCTGCATTCTCTGTCATCCGCCCATAATATGATTGGCCAAAAGCTGCCGAAAACTGGGAACCGATGGGGCAGATAGAGTCTCGGCTTGGTACAAGACTCAATCATTGTTCCACTAAACTTATTGATTCCAACCGTCCATTGAAGACGGTCCTTATGAAATCCGTACTTCTTGAGATGCTACGGATAACAACAAGCTTCTGTCCTTAAAACAACAGACAATTTAGAAAACATTGCTTTCAACCACTAGAAATATATGTCAGTTATAGCCAATATATAGCAGAGTGATATGAATATCGAGGCTATCCGGCTCGGTGGACCATGCAATGCAAAATCAGTGACCACCGAGCTGCTTACATCATTTTTGCTGTATCCATCCATCCTTCTGCCATTTATCTCAACAAGTCGGTCACCTGCATAAGAAAATTAACATTTACTCATTCAATTCAATCATTCAATTCAATTCATTTAGCCAGTCGATTCAATCCTGTTTGAAACATTAGGGACCGTTTCATATCATGGCTTCGTTTTGCAACTACATGAAGATAAAGAGTGTAATCAAAATAGTAACAAATAAACGGTATAGTCAATAAAAACGAGCTTAAAGGTAATGTGTCCATATAAAAGGACTGCGTATACCCAACTTGTCAAGCCACCCATCAAAATAACGGCTTGTGATTGGTTAGTATTCTTGCGATGCAAAACTGCTCACATGAAAAGCTAACCTCCCAGCAGGGTAGATAAACAGAACGACTGTAATGGATGGGACGATGACATGAAAAATCACATGTTTCTAAAAGCCCCCACAGAGTCGCTTGCTTAAGCTGGACACATTACCTTTAAAATTGCCTGAATGATATGACTCTGTAGCCTGAATGCTCCAATGTGAAAGAGAAGTTGGTGCATAACGAATACATCACTGGTATTTGCAACTTGGACCAGCAGCCCAGCACCACCCTCTTTAAACTCTTAAATGAATTGCCAAACAAACCCTTGTTGAAAATTATGAAGATATAGAAATGGAAGATATATTTGCTGTTAACGCAATGTAAGCCCGATAACCTTTGACCCTTAACCTTTGAGGGTCAGAAAATGGTGCCTTCAACAATAAACTTTTGCTTGTTAGAAATGAGGGCAGAGTCGCGAAGTGAAGTGCAATAGACGAAATGTCCTTTGCTTTTAATATTCTAAGGTTTTCCAAATAGATAGTGGAAAATAGAGTTCAACAAAATGAAAAGCATAGACGGTGTAAAGTTTGACGTGAAAACCTTTAACTATTCTTCCATCTCGATCAGCGGCACCACCTGGCTGCAGTGCTTTGACAAAAATACCAGCAACTTCCGGTCCACCCTGCAAGAAAGCAAATGTTTACTTCCTTGTTAATTTCTTAGAAAAGATTTGAAGATATCTGATTTCTAAGAATTCCTGTTAGTGGTTATTGATTTGCAGTGCGCAAAACGAACAGATATCTGTATTGATTATAGTAAAAAATTTTATGGAGCAAAAAGTAAAATCTTTATGAATTTACCATGATAAAAGCAACTCTACTTAAAGTGTTATTTTCTGTAACCTTATCAGCAAGACACAATTTTAGACGCTTTACGTAAACTTAGAGTAAGATCTCCACAACCGATATATTTCTAGGTGGTATGTTAGACTTACCGTGAGTCCAAGTCCAAAACTGCCATTCACTTTCGGTAAATCAACGACAAAAACTTCAGGCTGTGTAAAAGATATTCAGAATAAGGATCCAATGCGCTAATCAACAGAAAAGGTTTTCGACAAAAACTAATAGCAGAAGATAAAAATATTTCAAGATGTGGACATGTATACAAAAGCAAAGCTGTATAAAAAAAGACTGGAGCAAAAAGACAAAATATCGACAAAAGATATGAAAAAGCAACAAAAAAACAAAAACAATGGGATTCTAACATGTAAACATTCGTTTATTTATCACTAATTCAAATATAAAGATATAAAGTCGAAGCAATACGAGACTAAGGCATAACGCAATGAAAACAAAAGTATTGCAAAAGAAAGACAAAAGTATTCTTAGATAAGGCAAAAAGTTGCAAAAGAATACAAAACATTTTAAGTGGCATGGATGAAAGATGAAAATGTTAGAGCATTCTATGGATGATGCTATGACTCTACAACGTTAAAAAAACATCACACGTGAAAAATGAAATTTCTCTACAAATTGGATTTCACTCCATCATTCGGCGTGAAGCGCCCTTTGTCAATTTTCCCTAAGTATGCGTTACATTCAATCTGTACAACACAATGATCTGTAAAAAAGACTGGATCGAGCTTCCTATTGTCTTGAAACACCAAAGTTTGAAGCCCGCTCAATTTCAAAAGGGAAAGGGCCCTAAACAAAGTGGAAAGCCATTCCTCAAAAACAATACTTGAACGATATGGATACGCGAGAGCAGCAATTTTGTGTGTATGATTGCTGAAAAAGAACAAGGCCAGAGCAGCTGAAAACGTTGCTAGGGGTGACAGAGAAGGCCGTCTCCTTGCATGGGCTGTTCTGGGGCCCTCTTCTCGGTTGGCGACACTCTGGTCACATTAGAAGCTCCATCCAGCCTTTTTTATCGATCAGTGGTTTAAAATTAGACATGACATTGTTTGGCAAAAGCTTAACCAACTTTTGTTTGACAAAGTTAAACACCCTTATTTCAAAAAAAAGCTTCTAATCGGTCATCACAAAGCCAAACAAATACTTACTAACAAGCATTAATACTTATAAATATATTATAGTTTACAAGCATCATTGTATAATGATTCGCATTCTCACCAGCATTGACTTTCTGATTACGTTTGTCCCCTCATTTCCATAGTTTCCACCATCTTGTTGGTTATACATTTGACCCCCGTCATTTTGCTGAGGTGGGAATGGCTGCTGCTGTTGTTGCTGCTGTTGTTGCTGCTGATGTAGCAGCATCTGTTGCTGTTGCTGTGGTGCCATTTGTTGTCGTCCATCTGTTCTGTCAAAATCATATGGCAACATTGTCGATGTTTTCAAACTGACTCCTGGAATGTCTTGCACTGACAATGCCAGGCCACGGAATTTCACAGGCAACCTAGAACTAAAGAGTTCTTAATTTGAAGAATGTGAATAGAAAAGGCTAAACTCAACTAGAGATGGTCTTCAGCAAGTACTGCGAAGGCAATTCAAGTCTGGCAAGAACTCTTGAGAAGTAATGATACATTATCACAAGATTTCATTCAAAATAAGATCTTTGGTCTAACGCTTTTAGCCTATGACCTTTGGCCTTTAGTCTTCTGATTCATGACTTGCGACCTTTGACCTTTGTTCTGAACATCAGATTAATTTTACTTGTGAATTTCATATTCGTATAATAGGCAGTTGAAACTTAGATTTGATGTGCTAAACTTTAAAATAGTCTCATTTTTTGTAAACCTGTTGATTATATTTCATTCATACGACAAAAAATCCATCTTTGTCAAACTACTTTAAAAATAACTTTGACAAGTACTAGAATAAAATTCTTAGGTTACGATTAAGTGATCAAGTGATCAAGTGATCAATGAACAGCCAATACAAATAGCTTAACAAAACCTCGATAATTCGATCATCACTATTCTCTGATTCAATGATTGCCTTTTGACTCTTGGTGCAAAAACAAAAAAAGACTGATTGTTTTACGCGTATCGAGTCAATGGATCAAATGATTATCTGAACGATTACATGATTAAACTACATTATACTTGTCATTCTTTGAGTATCCTGTTGGCAATGATTTGATTGAATCGGATCGGCGAATCATTGTCTCCTCATCCATTGGCATTGATGATGGATCTCGATTTTCTGGCGGCATGCACTTCTCGATGATTAATCGGACAGGCGATGCAGCAGTGCGAATGACCTCCAATGCCTGAAAGACCAAAGGTCAAAGTGATAATATGCTGAAAGTTAAAAAGTGCAAAGGTCAAAATAAAAATAAAAGATATCCAGTGCAAAGGACAGAGTGTATAAGTTACTTGAATCACCTTTTTACACGCATTTTTCAAACTTTTTGGAAGCTGGACCTTGATAGAAGAACAACTAAACTTTTACGCAACAAGATAAGCCCTACCTTTGGTCTTGTCGCTGTTTCCAGACTGATATTGTTGATCGCAACGATGCGATCGCCTGTGGATTAAAAAACAAATGATTTGTCAGCCATTTCGTATGTGACTCTTATTGGGTAAGAGGTATCGCGGACTAATCTCGGCTCCATACTGGCAAGTCTAATGGAAACATTCTGGACCAAACGTTAATGAGCGTCACAAGTTTCTAACCACACATTGATAAACACAAGCTACAGCAACCTTGTGTCTAACAGCATTGTAAAAGTCCAACAAGCATCCTCTTTGACCTCTATCTTTTTGACCTAAATAAATCTCAGTTCAATATGGGCGAGAATAATGGAAACACTTTGGACAAAATGTCAATAGGCATCACAGGTATAAAGTGATAGGCGCAAGTAACAGCACTGTAGTAGTCCTACTAGCATCCTCTTTGACCTCTATCGTTTTGGAACTAGCGCAAGATCGCAATGAGTATTTAGGATATGAATAGAGAAAATCTTACCGACTTCGAGCCTACGGTCCATCGCCGCTGGTCCATTCATGTTCAATGATTTTATAAATATTCCGCCCAACTCATGACCGCCCTGTCAAAGACAATCGCATACAGAATAAGGTTACAGAAAACATGGAACATCTCAAAAATAAGCCTACTGTACCGTGGAGGGAGCTCAGGGGCCTCAGCTCCCTTGTTTAAATTCAGAGATATTTTTTTAGGGGGGGCTTAGCCCCCCTTAAAAAGTGAATTCAGATTTGGTTGGACGAATTTTGTGTTGGCAACCCTCTATTATAATGTAGATTTCTGATAAATGAGCAATTTATTAACAGTCTGCTTGTGTCATTGAATAGTTTGAATGATTTCTACACACAACAGAGAGTCAATAACACAAATGCAAGTATACTGGGTGTTATACGGGTGTGGTAATGGGCGTGGCATCTCAAAGTTGCCTGCAGAACAGCCCCCTTTCCTAACTTTTTTAGGACGGCAACCCTGCGTACAAACACTAGTATCCTGTATCACAACTGTGTACAATTCTAAACATAAGTGCCTTATAAACAGGCCCCAAGTTATTGATTTTTCAATTTTTCTTAATCTCCCCGGTCCCTCCTCTTATTTATTGTTTTGGTCATTGACCTCTAAAGTGTTTTCCCAGGTGCCACAAATGGGTTTATATAGCTTTTTACCGTTATACTGAAACCCAGGCTTTCATTCTTCTTCACCAACGAAACTGAGAAGTAACTCTGAAAAATAAGAAGAAAATTAGACTACATAAGGCTTACTATATAAGGTACAATTCAAAGGTCACAAGGTCAAAGTACAAAGAAGACACAATGCTAAGATCACAGTGCACTGGGCAGATTGAGGCTTGCGATCGTGATATTGAAATTGTAGATTAGAAACAATGCTTCCTGTATAAGCAATTCCGAGAAACAAGAATGAAGTTATAGTACATTGGTTACCATGGCAAGGTCACAAGTCCAACAAAAATCTACATATTGGCAAAAATTTCAGCATAAAAACCAAAGTGCAAAGATCACCATACAAAGGTGAAAAATAAGGTTCTACGAAATACATACTAATGAAAGAAATTTGCCCTAAATTGGCAAGATATCCCTCATTAGAAATAAGCATCCCTTAAGAAGCCCGCTACGCGGGCTTGCCAGTGGCCCTACGGTAGGGTACATAGATTAACCTCGGAAAAGACAAGAATTCTCTTAAAACCCCAATGAATTATAGTAAAATTAGCCTTGGCAAATACAAGAATTCTGTCGAAGCCCCCAATGAATTCTAGGAAAATTAGCCTGGGTAAAGACAAGATAAAAATGTCTAGCCTCTATCTCAAATTGAATAGACACGCCCCATAGGGGTCACGTGATAATTGGTAAAGATTTCACTCGCACTCCTGTGACTATCGCTAGGAAGGGGGTCGCATCTTGTTTTATTTTCATCAAAACCAAGTTTCATCAATAGAGATCAAGCTCGTCCTTACAGACCAGCAAAACATAATCTACCTGGTTGGAAGCAAGAACCCTTTCTGGGTCAATGTAGTGCATGACGTCATTCATGGGAATCTTCTTGTATCTTTCCAAGACCAAAGTAACTACGTTAGAGGATGTTCGTAGCATGTCTTGGACCTAAATAAACATTATAAATTGGCTTGTAACGGCTACAAAGATCATAAACAGCTCTGTTTATAAAGCATCGTGTACAATAAAAACAGGCCAGTTAACAGCAATCGTCAATTTGCCTTGTCCATGAATAAAACATACTTATTGCTTGATAATACTTAGCTTAGTGTGAAACCTAGAATCCACTTAAAATCGTTCTATTCTATACACCAGTTAACATTAATCATTTTTCAGTCAATAAAAAGCATACAAAATGCCTTGTTTACTAATTAGCAGCGAAATGCAAAGTGATATTATGCTCATGTGTAGTAGTTCGGCTTTTAATTTCTCTTAAGTGTAGCAGAAAATTAGCCTGTTCCAGTACACCTATATTATGCCAGTGGCCAAACTGTGAAAGCTACAAACTCCTGTAGACTTGTATAAACCACAAAAGCAGCTAGTCTTTCTCTAGAACCATATAAAAAAGGTTCCATATCAAAGGATACCATGGAAAGGATACGCAAGTTACAGCACTGTAGTAGTCCTACCAGCATCCTCTTTGACATCTATCTTTTTGGAACTAGTTCCGATGATAAGTTCAATGTCTGATAACATATCAAGGGGCAATTTTTAACAATATTAAATTTATGTTATCGCTTAAAATTAGTTCGAAATATGATAGCAATATCTAGTAAACATGATAGTAAATCGGTTTCAAATGACTGGTGCTAAACTGTAATGGAAAGAATGCAATGTAAAAGTTTAATGGGTAGGGTTAAAGCCGTACTTGTTTTCGTGTGAATGTCTCCACGTTGGTATTTCCAATTTCTACCAGTCGATCACCTGTATGATAATAGTGTTAAGCTATTACAATGTTCTAGATAACCGTCTTTGGATAAAAATCATCCTTCGTGTCGATAGATCAACACAAATCTATCAAAAATGATTTCAAAGGCCATATACAAAAGCTAAGTTGAATATTTTCAAGAATCGATTCAAGGTTTTACTCAGCTGTGAAGAACAGGTTAAGCGATAAAAGGCCATCTTATTTACCAATGGCTATCCGTCCATTTGCCTCTGCGGAGCCCCCCGGTAAGAATGATTTTATGTAGATGCCGCCAAGCTCTGGGCCTCCCTGAAATAAAATTACAAAATTACCTAATTACAAAAACAAGCAAACTACAGCAAAAAAGCATATTAAAAAAACAACAGAATCGCAAAAACACATTAGCTACAAAAACGAAAAAAAATTACAAAACTACTTAAATTCATAAACAAGCATATTACAAAACAACAAAATTACAAAAACAGAATCGCAAAAACATATTAGCTACAAAAACGAAAAAAATTACAAAACTACAAAACAAAGCAACAATATTACAAAAACAAATGAAATTATGAAAACAACCAAATCACACAACTTATTACAAATAGGGAAGAAAACTGGAGGGAAACAAGCCACTGGAAAGATAAAGAAAAGAAATAGATTTTGAAAGAAATGATTTAATAACGAACACATTTATTGCAAAGAAGGATGAAAAAATAGTAAAAAGGCAAATAAAAAAGAACACAAAGGCAAAGAAAGAAAAGCAAGGGAAATTTTACTAACCTGGACTGGAAATAAGCTCAAAGTTTGATACCAAAACGCCTTGTAAAATACTGCAGAAATGTACAATAGGTATTTATAGAATTTTGAAATGTAAAATACATAATGAGAGAAACAAACCGTAAAGCCAATGCCAAAATTGCCATCCTTCTTGGGCAGCTCAACTCGAACAAGTTCCTATAAAAGAGTATTAGTAGTGCATAAAGACGGATAACCACGGACAATGACATATCACAAACCGGATGGTGAAAGACAAATGAAGACAAAAATTAAGGCCAAAGTTAAAGGTCGAGGTTAAAGGTCAAACGCCAAAGTTCGTCAATTTTCCTTAGGCCGAAAATATTTACTTTTATTAGAATAATGGTTACCATACAATTTGTGAGATTGATACATAAATTTTGAGGAATTGCCGGAAATTTTATACAACATGATTCGTGCTCTTTTACTTTCAACTGATTGTTGAGGGTTGGAACGAAAAGAAGGAAAGCAACTAAGGCTGGACACGAGCTAAGAGTAGCGTAATGCCGGAGAAAAGATGAAATGACTTGTGGCTCATATCTGGTAGACCTACCGACTCTCTCTCAGCCCCAAGTGGAGGCACATTGTTGTTTCCAAGTGTTGCTATTGACGACGCTGAAAGTGTCAGGGGGGTTAGGATCGATGGATCAGCTTCAAGCAGCATTGTCTGTCCAAAAGTTTCAAAGGTGAATTTTGATCGATCGGTTGCATTTCTTAACGTGTTAATGGCCTACAAAAAAGAAGATGTAGAAAGATTTCGAAAAAGTGATCAGCAAAAGGGATATATGATATAAAATAAAGTAGAATTTAGGTGAAAATTGGACAATAAGCTAAAAAATAAAGCAAACGTCCGAACAGGTTTTGTCAACATTTCAAAACCATCTAGCCACAAACTGCAAATGACGAATTCACACTCACATTAAGGTTAAAAATATCGCTTCGAACAATTTCTTTCATTTTCTATATATTTTTAGTTAACTTCTTAGAGTATAATTTATGCACAATTTTTGATCGAGAATCAGAATAGAAGCATTTAAACTATAAAATAGGTTAGAAAATCATTATTTTGCACTGGGCTTTCTGTATCCATTTCATTGGTCGAGAACGTTGAAATCAGGAGTGAAATTCTAAGAAATAACATCACTTCTCAGAATTGAAAACATGATAGAAACATTTACTTCCTGATTTATAAAATGCAAAGTGTTGGAGATAAAGACAAACCTCTCGTCTTGTGACGTTTTCAAAATTTACTTTGTTCACCTGGACAATACGATCACCTTTGTGGAGAAGAAAAAGCAAATGTTACTTTTCGTATAAAAGCTTACAAAAACAATCTAGGTTGACATGCAGAGGAAGAGGCAGATAAAAGTCCACATATGTTAACAGTAAATTAGAAAGCATTGTTGTGGAGAAATTAGGGTCAAGTATGCAAAACAGTGAGAAAACCTCCTAATTTTGCGTTTCATTCTTTGCTTTTAATTGTTTTTCTTTATTTGTTTTTATTATTTGTTTATCTAATCAATAATTCAGTTCTTTATTCAGTCAGCTCTGGTGAAATCTTTTTTCTTCTTTTCATTTTTCCCAATATCTTGTTTCCCTCCATTTTCCAATTTGTTGCTGTAATTATGTTCTTTTTGTAATTTGGTTTTTTATGTTATTTGTTTTTTATAATTTTTTGTAACCTCGGTGAGACTGTTTTAAGTCCCTACTGACAACGGTTTCCGATGCTCACTGCCTGTGTTCCGGGCTTCTTCAGAGCTGCATCTTATATCGTACAGGCTGTGACATGGTTTCGGTCAACTTCGGCTCTTTAAGCCTATATAAACAGTACTTTATAAAATTTAGAGTAAAATATGTTTTAGACTCACCAGCACTTATTTGTCCACTTGAGGCCGCCGGTCCACCGATAGTCAATTCTTTGACAAATATTCCACCAAGCTCAATGCCTCCCTGGAGGAGCAAACCGTAAGATCAGTTGCATGAAATTGCCTAGCTATAGGCCAGTTAGTAATTAGCGGCAGTTATGGTGTCATATTTTAGGACACGATTCAGCAAGGCAAACGATAGGGGTGCAAAAAATTTATCGATAGTAGTGTTTAGTTTCTGGGGTCAAATGGGAGAAAAGCTCTGCAACTCAGGACGTTTAAATCTTACTGTGGGACCCGATCTCTGTTCTTAACTGCAATAACTTGAAAACAAGAAAAGCCCACGAACATGTTATTTCGAACCCCTACCCGTTCAACGTTGCTGTGAATACATTGTTTATAGTAGCAAGATGTCTTAAGAACAAGGGATGCAAAATCTCAGAAAAAAGACTGGATCGAGTGACGTCATACACTAACGCATTTGAGAAGTATTACAGGCAAATGTAAGATCGGTTGAACAATAACTTGATAAATATATATATATAAAATACCATACAATAAAGTTAATTCTGTAAAACATATAATAATAATGAAAATATAGCCACGAAAATAGTGCTATCTATAGAACATTTTAATAATTTAGTGTAATTACCACGATACTGAAGCCAAAACTGTTGTCAACTTTCACAAGATCAACTGTGTATTGCTTGGCCTAAAAGTAAACAAGATGAGAGTTAGAAAAAGTACATCAACTGGGGTTTTCATCAAGAAGCAAACATCATACAAGTCAAGATTTCTCTAACAGCTTAAAAAATCCTTCTCGAATACAACCAATAACTTGCTTTAAATTTAATAATATTGACATCGCTTTACATAAGCACGGACGTCCTAAAATTTGAAGCTGGGAATCTCCGAGTTTCAACTTAGAACCATACTGTTCCAAAAACCAAAGAGCTTATAGCTCTGTCTAAACGGTATAGCATAGAGTCTTATAAAACAGGCCAGCTAGCAATTAAAATTATTTGTAACAATTTCCGTAATAATATTGAAATTTCAAAAATTATTGTGGTGTTTGAAACTTTAAGGAGGTTTTACAAACTTTATCCGTGGTGTTGAATTCGATTTCTCAGGAGGGCTCAAATTCTCCTTTCCGTTACAAGGCCTTATTTTAAAGCAAACTTTGTGAAGTTTTATCATATTCTATTAGCTTAACATCTAGCCTAAACTTTCTGTTGCCTGATGATCGCATTAAGCGTGAAACACGGAGTAGCAATTTAAAACCGTCCAGTTTTATACACCAAATAGCTTACCCTAAACTTTCTGTAGTTTTAATAAATCATGTCTACATCGGATGTCAGTAGTGTAGCTCTTTCAAAAACTAAAGCCACAACGTCCTTTTAAAGAAGTAAATTACACATTCTTCATCTCATGCGAGATTGCCATACCTGGGGCTTTGGCTTCTGTTTTGACAATTCTTTCGATTGGTCCTTCATCGAAGAAGCTCTTTTTCTCTCCGGTTCCCTTTCTGAGAACGTCCGACGTCCATCCGCAACATCCGGCATTCCATCCGGATCAATACGAACGGTCGGTATCGTGGATGATATTCGGGGTGGTTCTAGGTGATACAAAGAGAGAATTATCTAAAATAACAGTCTTTAAGGGCCCAAGCGCACTTGTGTCGAAGTTAAATGGAATAATCTGAAAATCAAAGATAGCTCTTTCCAATTGGACAATCAAGCGAGGGCATCTCCATTGTCATGAGTTTATCTTGCTTCAAGGCGGGACAAAGGAACCTTTGAGGGATCAGGCAAAAATTTACAAATCCAGCCATTGGTGGACACCTGGGGGGCGAGGAGAGGCAGACCCCCCCCCCAATATTTTGGAGGGCAATGATTTTTTGTTCTAAAACAATTAGGAAATGTGACGCCATCTTATCAAAACAATGGGCTTCCCCACCCTCCAATGTTTGACCAAGTGTCCGCCCCTGAATCCAGCAATAACAAATCTTGCTGGGTGCACTAGAAAACTTACAAAACAGCATAACACTAATTGTTAGATAACAATTGAGATTAAGTTTGTCACAATGAAGTCCTGTTTAGGTGCTAGTTTTTTGGGGTCCGTAAATTGCTCATTCAGAAATTCAGTAGCTGTTAGAACATAAAATGAGCCATGCAATACTAAGTGCATGATATTACATTATACTATAAAATATTGTATTTAATTATATTATATTATATTGAATTACATCATAACATATTATGTCATATTATACTACATTGTATCATGATTAAAATTAAGTTTTAAGAAGCAGAATAAAAAGTTATAAACAAACAAGGAAAAGAAGAAGGAAATTAATTAGAAAAGAAAGAGATCAAGAAGGTGTGCAGAATGCGGGAGAAAGCCCTAGCCTGTCTTTTAAAAGAATATTTTCATAAGGATAAAAGTTGGAGATGCATACCAAAATAATCTTGGAATTTGGCCATTTTGTCTGCCATGTGCATTTGAAAATTGTAAAAAGATGAACATGTCTTTAAAAGATATCTTGATCTAGAAGAAATTATGAATTATGTTAATTAAAAGAAATTAAAGTCTAGTGATAAATATCTAATTTTATGGGTTGATACCTTGCAGATTGAACAAGGAAGATAAATTACCTATCTTTGGTTGAGTATAATTGAGAATGAAAATAAAATACTGCAAAAATTAAATGTAAAAAGCATTGCATTTGTGACAAAACCATTTGTTCTAAAAGAGATACTTAGAGAAGTCAAAATATTCTTTGAAAATGGATTCTTAAAAAAACTTAAACATTGAAAAATTGAGTAAGTGTGAACCTCCAATGCAGAACCATCCTTTTCTATACACCTAACGTGTGTACAGCTGTGCACATGAAATATCTGATGCCAACCCTAATTTCCACAACATTGCATCATAAATACTTCTTGTTTCTCACTTTTAATGATAGTGAATTACAGTGGCAGCACCAAGGAGTCGTATGGGAGGGGTAATCCCCCCCCCCCACTTTTCTGAAAACATGGTCTACCTATTTTTTCTAAAAAATATTTAAGAAGTGCTTGGTAGTGGTAGATAAAATTTCCTAAGGGCAATTAACCTGGCACAAAGCACTGAAACCAGGCAAAAGGGGCGTGGTTTCTCTCACCATGCCCCTTACCCTCTTACTCAGTAATGGCTGGCGCCGCCACTGGTGAATTGTGAGCCACATATGAATGAATTCAGAATCAATTTTCACCTTTTGTAATTGGCAGTGTAGAGCACAATATGTCCCTGAACAGGATTCGGGCAATCTGCATGGATGAGAAATTTTCTCCTCTAGAAAGGAAGAGATTTGTGTCACATTAAGCGTGATTGGCTCTGTCAGTTCTCTAGAGATAAAGCTACCAACAACTGGAGAAGAAAACCAAGAGATCCATCAAAACCACTAGGGCAAATCTATTTTTGGGATATTGAAACTACAATATATTTTTGGCTATAAAATAGACTACATTAAAAAGAATGAGAGCTATACATACTGAAGTAAACAAAATTGCTGAGAAAACAAAATATATAAATTAGAAAAGTAGAGAAATATAAAACTGGTTTAAAAGATGTAATGAAAAACAAAGAAATAAGACAATGGAGTATAGAGGTAATTGAAGACATAAAACTTGGGCATTTGTATACCTACATCAAAAAGGGAGGATTTAGGGCAGATGACCCCATTTGGCAACAATTGGGGAGAACTTTGATGATAAATATCATAGTTCTTTACGAAAACAAGATCCCTTTTCATGAATATCATGGAACTCCATTTTATCACTAACTGAGAGAGTCTGAGATATGTCTTCCAGTTTCACAATAAAAATTTTACCATAATTTTACAAACTTTGTGTCTTACAATTATCATTCATTTTCTGTGCCTATATGATTTACTATCATATGCTTGAAGGTAATATTTTCAGCAAAAAAAGACTGTGAAAAATAAATAAATATAAGTGCCAGACTGAGACCACTAAAACTAGAATATGCAAGGTCATAAAAAGCAAATTTTCCGATGAAGATGAGACAATTTATTTAATTTGCTGGCAGACACGAATACATAACTATTCTCCTGACAAATCAGGAATGTTGGAAGAGTTGTAGAATAAGGACAAAACAAAAGAAAAAGTGCAGAATTTCATGAGGGCAAGGGGCAACTGCCCCCTTGTGCCCGTGTGCCATGGCATCCCTGTGACAAATTGAAGATTTTTCAAACCAATACTTGAAAACTGGGGGGGGTCTCAAACTCCCTTAACGCCTTTGATCAAATATTCGCTAGTTAATTACAAATATTTCTCCAAAACCTCTTGAGCTTGCAAAAAACCCTGGAAACCAATCAACCCTAACCCAAGCATTTGAGGCCCTTACCAGGGACCAGCATATTCATGTTTTCTTACTTTGGTCCAATTCGTTAAAAAGGGCCTAAAATTTAGACCTAGCATCACTGAGCACACAAGACCGCAATCGCAAAGTAAATCACAAACCTATAGGGTAGCGGCACTCCAAATCTTCTCATTTTCTTTCTATCCGACACCAAGTTTCAATTTCGCATACATTTCAAAACAAATTTCGAAAATATTAGGTGTAACTATTTGATCATTCATGTTGCTGAGTGTTTCAAATTTTACGCCAAAACAAGATGGAGCCTGGTACTGAGTGACGACATAAAGCAGAGTTCCTTCCTCCAAATTCCAAGCACTTTCAATTAGCTGTGTACTTTAATGCTTTCGGATATTGTAGAAGTGGTAGAGGTACTGAAAACAAATGACATGAAAACTACCTTGAATGACATTTTCTTGATCTTGGTCCAGGGGTGTTTACAGAACGGATTCCGAACAGTGCCAGTATCCTGAAATTTATGCCAATTATAAGACAATTCATATTTTAAACATTTTTATTTTGAAGGCATGATTTCATACTACTGTATGTCATAGCTTAATTTGCCAGTGTAGAAAAAGAATGTAAGGAAATGTGCTAAGGGAAATTTTGAGTGAGTTACACGACCAGAGCAGGACTCAAACCCACGACCATCGACACTGGACTAAGTCATATTTGCTACTAAATTTGCATAAATTAAAATTCAGCGTATAATTGAGAACAAGGCCATTTTGCTTGACTGTCTCAAGCTTTTAAAGGCAATCGACAAACACTAAAATGGCTTAAGTCATATGTCAATCAAGATTAACCAATCAGGAGGCCTGGGGTTGTATAACGGTCACTGATAGGCCAATCGTTGATTGACAGGTAGCCAAAGCTATTTTTGTATCTCTCTCTATTTCTTTTAGGCCTTTGTATCTATCTATGTTGATATTTTGTAATTGAATCGTCATTTGAATTGAATAGGATTGAATAAAACATAAATGTATTGAATTGAATTGAAATTAATCGATAAACATTGGAGGCACTCATACAATATCCAATACATCAGAATACTTGATAAGAAATGTTATTTTTCTCATTCTTTGAAACTTACCTCGTAAATAATCAATCCACGAACACAAACTCCGAGAGTATACGGCACTTTTCGGTTATATTCTTTCTGAAAATTCATAGAAGTTTACATCACACTAAACACAGTACGTCTATCATTTTCGAGCACTTTGCATAGGAATTTTGAAAAAAATGCATCTTCTTAATCCAGCATTTATGCAAAGATGCTCAAATCCTTAACATTTTTTGAATTTGAAAGGGTACATGAAGAAAGGGGCATTTTGTCTTTCAAGAATAAACACTTTTGTCTAGAAATTGCGTAAACAAATTGCGTAGCGGGTCTTGTCTAGAACCGTGGCCTGTTTCCAACATTTAGATGGCACGTGCCCACGTTTCCAATATTCCTGGAGGTAGCTGAAAATCTCAAGAATATTTTCGGAAACGGCTTAATCCCCATGCCTCACTGCGTTTCCTACTTTTATTTATACCATTGCCTATTGCAAAGATCTCATTTGAAAAAGGTTGAAAGCACTTCAACACAAGCATAAATTATAGGTTGAAGTGCATTGACTTTTGCTCTGGTGAAGCCCCGTATGCCGGGGCGAAATGTTAGCCTTCATCAATTTACGTGTGTTTATTGTTGTTCATTTTCATCGCATTGCGGTGTTTCTTATTTGCTAAATTCCTATAAAATATTTTAAGTTCACGACTTGGTAGTGCGAATTCGTTTTGATAAGCACTAGACTAAAAGTAACGCAATTCAATTTCTTTTGGGTTTAAAACAGGCCTAATGGCGTTAGAGTCTATGTATGCATACCTTGAAGACTCGATAGAACAGAATGCCATATTCACTAAGCTTCTGAGCTTCCTAAACAAAGAAAGACACCAAATGAATCAAAATTATCATGAACTTTATTTGACAGTCATTGTCAGTAGCACATACCTGCAATAGCCAAATATAAAAGGTAAAAGCACATATCATTGAGAAATACACAAAACAAAACAAGCTGAAAAAATTAGGCCACAAAACAACTTTAAGCAAAAGAATGAACAACGACAGACATGGCATGCAGATAATTAAATAAATGACAGCTTTCTTTACTGGTCCTCAATTTACTCTTATTATTTATGGAATTCCTTTTATAATACAGAACGTAAAAAGGCAGATAACGATGATTTTTTGTGGAAATAAAGTTTTATATTGTGACAGTAACCAAATTATGGCACGCTGATAAAATATTAATTAGCAAAAATGTTGAAGCATGTTTTGAACAATTTGAGCCATCGCTACCTATTGTCACTTCTGGGTTCTTAACGGTGCAAAAAGGTCAAGTGGCATGATTACATTTGTAACGTCAATGTGGCGTATGTACCACGCTCAATGGAGCTGGTATTGATACCATAAGATGCACCGTCCACATGCACCCTCTGCAATGCAAGTTGCATTTCGCTACATCTTTCAGTTGCGGAGATTTTCAAGGAAGAACGGTTTCTCAAACTGTGAAATTCCATATCGTCATCATGGTGGAAAAGAACTGGATAGCTCTGTCTACTGCAAAGTTTTATTAATTTAAAAGGCAGTAGGAGAAAAAGAAGCCACTTTTATCGGGGCTTTTGCAGTTTTGCACCTCTCAGTGTGTGTGTCCAAGTGGTAGTAACCATGATCAGTGTCCAAGAGGTGCGAAACTGCATTAGCGCCCTTTTATCTTTATTTAGCATGATGTTAAGTGTCACATTTGCCTTGCCTCTCACTCAAAATTACCTGTTACTTTAAAGAGATAGCTACCCCGCATTTACCTTTAAAAATTCTATAGATGCTTGGGCCTCCGTGAGGCCTCGATGAGACTGATGCATTGCTGGCAAGGCGCTTTTGATGTATGGTACAGTCAATTTTGCAATCGTCTAGGGTTTAGAAAAACAACATTTTTATAACACAATGTACAAAGTCATATTACGATTGACATATTCGAAGATTGGTCCACTGTTGTCTAATCAAGCATCCTACAAGCAATAGCTCTCAATAACTTTGCACAAAAGTCAACCAAAGGACCAAGAGAGGAGTCTTTCAGTGCAGCAAGAAAGAAACCTACCTTGCTGTATACAGAAATCTGTGCAAATAGCATTTGAAACTTCAGCTTGTAAAGCGACGTATTTTCATGAAGAATGGATGCTGAAGCTAATCATTATCAACTCAAGCACGAAAAAGGAGCAAACATTGAGTCTTGTAGAGAACCGGGATTTCAAATTGCTTTTACAAACTTTGTACAAAGGACGTCGTACACAGAGTTCAGAAAGCGACTCAACCTTTTACCTAACAAAATTTCCCTTGTATCCTTTAAATAAAAGTTTCTTAGAAATGAAATTTAAGTAAAATCATCTATACTTTGTTCATAACGCTTTGTCAGGAAAAGAAAATGGCATGCACAAAGCCAGTTCTTTTCATTAAAATTGTTGGCAAAACCAATCAAAACTTGCTGTTTTTATTTTGGAAAACAAATAAGAATAGCATTTTACCAAAATGCTAAAACAACAAAGGACCAAAACTTGAGTCTTGTATTACACCTCAATATCTAAAATTGCTGTCAATGTCAATCGAAATTTGCTGCTACTGACGCATTGCTTTAGAACGCATTGGACAATAGACACTAGATTAGACAACACGAAATACCTTGGCTGGTAGATAATGTTGTGGCACAAAGTAATCTGTTCCAAATGACGACTTGTCATAATCCCCCAATTCAGCTTGGAGTGCATATGAGGCTAAAACCATCGCAGTGTCGTCGTGGATTCGAATGTTATTTTCCAAAACATCTTTGCGCAGCTGCAAATAATACTGATGTCTTGTAGCTTGTTCCCTGAAGAAGTTCGAGAATTGTCATTATTAAAACTGAATAAGCAAACAAAAATTCTATTTTTCTAAATATATCTTATACTGGGTACAGATTACCAGTGACAGAAATTCTGCTTTTGATTTAAAGGGGGTCTTAGGCCTACTATTTTCTGACAAGATAACATCTTGAGTGGACTTTCGGCACGTTAAACGCTTGTCAGTTGTTGCCTGATGAAACCGGAATTTTTTACGAAAACGCTGATTGAGGGGCCTGAGCCCCCCCCCCCATGCCTCCATAATTTCCACCACTACACATTACCATAATTGATATTCCCTTACAATGAACTGTACCACCTTAGAGTGTCTCTCGCCACCTTAGCTGGCAACGTAAAACTTCAGCATACATCTTGTTTCCTTAGAAGGCATCTTACCCCCTGAACATGCATTCTAGCACTTTTAATTACATCGTACCACCTTAACATGTAACTTTCACCTTAACATTGATTGTATCTCCTTAGCATGAATCCCACTTTACCTAGGATCTTATCACCGGTCTCCACTTGACCGAAATCGTGAGACAGGTCTTATTAGTTGTTTACTTGTGTTTACGATAAATACAGGTTGTAAGAGTCATTCATGCCATAAACAATTAGAAAGTAAAGGTTGGAGTTAGGGTTAGGGTTAGGGCTAGGGTTAGGGTTGGGTTAGGATTAGGATTAGGGTTAGGGTTAGGGTTAGGGTTAGAGTTAGGGTTAGGGCTAGGGTTAGGCTTAGGGTTAGGGTTGGGAATGGGTTAGGATTTGTACTAGACTTGTGTGTAATAATAACTTTTTTAAGACTATCATTCAGTTTCAAAAATCTAGAAAATCTGATAACAAACGCAGGCTCTTTTTCCCTTAATCTTTCCGAAATGTTTGTCTTCCACAATAAATTAACTAATGTGGAGTTATTCATAAACACTGTTTAATTTAATTTGTAAGATCAAAATATTTACACTTTACTGTACAAACAAATTATCTTTTGACGGACAAACAATTATTAAGTGTAGACAAAATATTTTCAAAGTATTGAGATAAACGATAAAGCTCTCAAAATTGTTGATCACCTTTGCACTGATAAACTGATAATAAATGACAAAATAAAGAATAAATTACAATGTATGACAGAATGAACAAAATAATATTTTGAATCTATGGAATAATATGACATTTCAAATGACATTAAACAATGAAATTGCGCTACCTCAAAAAGAGTCTGAGGCCAAATTCTAGAGGCAAGTGAATGTTTGGCAATGCGTTGCTGTACCTTATGATTTTAACATGGTTACTATCTCTTGCACTTGATTAACACAGAGTATTATCAAGTTTTTACACATGTTATTTAAATCAGAAATGGAAATACTCACTCAAGTAAACAAATGTTTTCAACGTAGTATTTTACTCTGAAGAACAGAGTGAATACGAGAGAACTGTTCCACGAGCTCTGTAAAAAAATGTAGCTGCTTATAGTTAACTAGATATCAAAAATATTTAAAATATTCAAATTATGTGAAATAAGTCAAAGCTACCTCATGCAAAGACACACGAATCTCCAAAGTAGCTACCCCGAGTTTACCCTTTAATGCTCTCATGTTTGATTATTTCTATGCTTTCAATTCACCAAGCAAACTTATGCTTACTGCTTTCTTGATGCCGAATAGACAGAGCTCTAGATATGAGAGTAGCAACTCAAGACATTATTGATCTACAACTAAAGTGTTTACAGCTCCGCCTAAACTGAATCGGAAACTGTAAAACAGATTAATTAACAGTAACCTTCTTCAGTCAATATGCCTTGTACATGAATAGTCTAGAAAGAACTAGATAAAACGTCTGGTGATCACATTAAGCGTGAAACTTGAAGCTACAACTTAGAACCGTCCTGTTCTATACACCGCAACGTGTACAGTTTTCCCAACACGGCATCAAGCACTTCATCCCAGACCAGTTAACTGTGATCTTCGTATTTGTATTTGTTTCTGCCTATTATCCGAAGGTAGTTTTTAGGATTCTGAGAAGCTTATGCTTAACGAGTCCTTCCTCTCCTGGTCCTGGACCTTCCTCTCCAAGTGACCACACCTCATGATTCCTATGCCTTCTCCAATCAATATGTTTTGTACATGAATTGTTATTAATAAGCATATCAAATGCCTGGTTATGGCTTAAAGCGTGAAATTCAGTATTGCAACTTAGAACTGTGCTGTTTTGTACACCAAGAGTGTACAGTTCTGCTTGTGCGGTTTCGAGGACATTGTAACAGACAGGTAAACAGTGATATTTTTATCAATAAAATATGACGAATAAACGGCTGGTAGCATATAGCTATAGGCAAATAGTAAAGATTGACCAATGTATTATTCGGCAAGATGGTTTGCTATAGTACACAATGATTATTATTACGTCATGTGCTTGTTTTGATTGTGAATACATCTTATTTCAGTATAAGTGAAAACGAAGAGCATAATTATGCATAATTAGCATGCATGAACAATGTTAGATTCCAGTCCTTTTCTAATGTCATTCGGTGTAACAATTTCAACTTACGTCATCCTTCCATAAATGAGGTGCATATTTCGCAAGTTTTGATAATTTTTCTTCCAAATCCAGAAACTGATGTTCGCCATCTACAAATCAAGAAGGATTGTTAGAAGCATTGAGTCGCAATAAAATGACTTGATCACACAGAGACCGTGATCACACAGAGACTAAATGACTCTCTGCAAAATAATTTATCATATTTTAACTCATACCTTTGATGATCATCAACCCAAAATATTGAACTTCATTAACACCGATGTATCTTGTCACTTGGTCGAAAACCTCTCGTGTGACCGCATTTGCCTGTTAAAAAGAAACATTAATCTTTTATTAAAATATCAAACTTGGTGTGGCTCTGTGTGACTCTGTTTAACTCTGTGTTACTTAGTGTTACTTTGTGTTATTCGGTGTAATTCGGTGTTACTCGGTGTTACCCTGCATAACTCTATGAAGCTTTGTGTTACTCAGTGTTACTCAGTGTTACCAAGTGTTACCCGGTGTTACTCGGTGATACTCAATATTGATTGCTGTTACTTGATGTTTGTCTGCGTTACTCGTTGTTTTTCGGTGTAACTATGGATAACTCGGTGTAACCAGAGGTGCAGAGCAAGGGGGCTCAGGGGGGCTGAGCTCCCCTTGTTGATGCCGAAAAAATGCAAATTTATACTTTTGCTATTGTTTTTCGCAATATTTTGGGCAAGAGTCCCCCTTGTTATTTTGATAGCACTACCCCACTGGGTGTAACTATGTGTAGCTCTGTACTATTCTGACATTGTACTTTGTTTTTGCTACTCTGTGTAACTTTGTTAGTAACAAGGCTAGCTTAGTAATGCCATTAGTTTATCACTAGAAGGACCAATTCAAATTCCAGAAAAAACCTAAAGCTGTGCAGCTTAAGTCCGATGAGTAAACATAATTTAAAGCATCTAATTTAAAGAAAACGAAGTAAAGCGTTGGAATTTTCCTTTGCCATTTGGACGATGTTTACATATAACAAGGAAAAGAGCAGAAATGTCTTGATTTTGGGGATAAGTCATGTTTAGTTTGAATAAGATTAAAATGATTAAGACAAAAATTGATATCTCGTGAAACGCCTTTAACAGTTCCAAGGATGTTTCTCCCATGCGCTATGTTATCCATTGTGATTTACTATCAACAAATACCATAGCTAGAAGACACACTCACATGAACTTTGACGTGTAGCCTTTCACCATTAAGAAGAACTGTTGTAATTAATTTTTCTCCCTCTCCAAGCTGAAAGAAGAGAAGATTAATTCGTATTTCTATTGCTTTAATCAGAATTATCATTCCCAGCAGATGAATCAACATAATTCAGATCGCATAAACAAGATCAAAGGTCACTTGATAAAACAGAGGTCACTTGATAAAACAGAGGTCACTTGATAAATCAGAGGTCACTTGATAAATCAGAGGTCACTTGATAGATTAAAGGTCACTTAGATCAGGGGTTATACTCTATAGCCATTTTAGGTAACTAGATTTCATAAAAATATTGCCATTGATTTCAGTAAGTGGTGTAAGATTAGAAGAAGATGTGACGTCATCATAGAAACCAAGAAGGATAGAAATGGAGATCAGATTGTGCGCATTTAAAAAAGTTCAGCACTGGACTTTGTTGTGAGATGGCTTAAAGGCAATCTGTCACGACGTTGATTGATCATAAGAACAAAGGGATTTATTATTGTTTCCAGTTCCCCTTTAATTTATCGCATTATAAAAAACATGGCAAAGCGCTGGAATCGTGTTTAGGCTATTGTTCCAGCTATTGTTCTCGTTAACCAATCCACAACGAGACAGATTGGCTTTTTAATATCGGACTAGATCGTGTGAACTTGCTTAACAAGAAAAGAAGTGACGTCAGCAGACAGAATCAATGCTAAATATATACAAAGAAACAGAAATGGCAACGAAGTAGAAAATACTGTGGTGACGTCATCTGCACATTGAAGGTAAACCAGGAAAAGCAAAAATGAACTTTTAATATCTCTGTGTCAATGCTTTTATCTCGTGTCAAGAAATTTTTGATTATTGGAATCCATAAAGAGCCTTATCATCTATTTAATCCATCAAATTTTCTCTAGAATATCAATCAGAATTGGAAAATGGTGGTTTGCGGTAAATACGTTTTTACAGCTTTTATGTTTTGTCTTCCTGCACTTCGACAAAACTGGATTATTTTCTGATGGATGTGGACAATAAATTTGAGACGGTGGTTATTCAATTTGCTGATGTCCAATTTGGAAAGTTCCTAACACAGGGTTTTCAAATCCACTCGACCTATAGTTACTTTCTCCAGCTCTGCCATATTTGCGCTGCTGGAAAGCACAGGAAACAAAGAAGCTACAATGCCTGCCAAAAGTACTTGGACCACCCAGCAATTTACGCTGCATTTGATATCTTTCATTCCTTTCATGAAAAAAAATTGCTACTTCTGCCCCTTCCCCTGAAAACAATGTTGATAATTAAGAAAAATGTTTTAAAAGAAGCGCAAAAGAAAGTGCTTCCTAAAATCCTAACCCGTTTCATAGTAAACTAACATTGTTCCGTGGGGAGAGGGGGATGATTGGTTTTGACTTTGCAAACTGACATCAGTATTTCAAGACCTTTGGCAGGCACTGTACCTGAGGGTCACTACCCTAAAAGTTAATCAACTTTTTAACGATTTAGTCAAATCAAAATTTGTCGGAAGCAATGCACAAACGATGGGTCCTAGACCAAAATTTGATGTTTACATGACTTTAGCTCAACTCGAGCCTTGAATAATGGGTCTAATTTTATGCTATCTTCTAAAAATATATTCATCATTTTTATTTCATTTTAACATATTATTATACTCAGATTAGAGTACCATTCTCTCCTCCCCAGAATTAATCTCGTTCAGGAAAATAAGAATGAATCCTCTATGATTTAGCCTACTCTCTAGATTTTGACAATCAGGGTCTGGGACTCAAGCTTGAGTTAATATGACGTCACTCAGGCTTTATCCTCTCTCTGAATTCTTTAGAAAAATGAATGTTTGATTAGAAAAATATTATGCGCAGTGACAAAATTAGTTGGTCTTTGCAAGTCTTTTAGTATGAAAAAACATTTTTCTTACCACACTCGTAGACATAATTCTTTGCGATCAGTAGCAACTAATTCCAGAGAGATCTGAAAAATGAGAATATATATCAAAAGATCGAAAAATTGATTGGGATGCGCTGCTTTTATACGAACTTCAGTAGGGAGAGGGCCACGAAAAAACACGAGAGGGCATTTCGAGGTGGTAATCGACTTTCCAATGAAGTCAAGATTTGTACAAACATCGCTTAGTCGAATCTTTATATCATTGGACTGTCAGCTAACCACCTGGATTGTAACAAAACAGCTAACCATCTGTATATTCTTCGTCGAAGTTTTCCTACTAGCTTAGAATACTGTCAATTTGTATCAAATCAAGTCTTATCCTCGAAGAAGCTCTCAATTGTTATCGTATTACTTCGTTTCTTTTAAAGGATGCAAGCATTTCCACCAGGCACCGCGCAGCCATTAGACTAGCAGGGGCTATGCCCCCCTCCCCACTGTTTTGCAATAATAGGCTTGAAATTTCTAGAAGCTTATTCTAACGAAACTTTGGAAAGTTTACAAGGATTCCAAGTAGTAGCAGTTTGACTTCTTTAGGAACCCGTTTTTGCTAATTTTCTTGGTAATTTTCTTGTTGTTTTATCTTGGTGTCTAATCAATTTTATAGTATTTGATATTTTCTCAAAACTGGACTGTTCATGAAAATAAGTGGAAAGAAGCAAGTATTCTCTAAAAGGGGCGTTTTCCGGCGTTCCAGGGCTTGGCCTAATAAATTCCCAGTCACGCTTTTTATAGCGCATCCACTTTTAGAATGGTGTGCGGTGCGTGACTCCCACTTTAAGTACTCGCCCCTTGCAGCAGTGAAAATTCCCAGCATTCTTGCTATGCTGCTTTATAACGTACGTAGGCACGTTGTAATGACCTGTGACCTGAGATTTTAAATTGTACAAATTAGCGTAGACTTATCACTGCTGAATGTAGTATAAATTTTGCACTCCACTCTCCAGAGTATAAACATCTAATAACTAGATGGAGACTTGGCTCCTAAGGCAGATCTACAGTCAAATCAGTGGTGGCGCCAGGGGAGGGCTAGGGGGGGCTACAGCCCCTCCGTCGGAAGCATCTAGCCCCCCCATCGGAGGAAATTTTAGGTTATTGTCGGAGCAAATTTGACAAAATAACCTACGAAAACTGCTTATTTTAGTCATTTCAGCCCCGCCTGTCGGAAGCTCCAGCCCCTCTGGCGGAAGATTTCTGGCGCCACCTCTGAGTCAAATAGAATGAAGAATGGAGCCATGTCTCTTGTTTTGACCACCCAACAATATTACCCCCCCCCCCTCCCCTCCAAAAGCTTAAGAGTGAAAGAGGAAAAGCAGCCTTCTTCTGTCTTCACAAATCAAGGGTTTATTCAACATATATAGACTACAAAATTACTGATGTTTGCACTGCCGTAATTTGCAAATGACGCTTTCTGTAAATTCAAACCTCAATCTGATCTATGCTTAATTGAGAAACTGTAATCTTGAAGCGACCAGTTATGCAATGTGCCAGAACGCCAACAATAAAATACACAATTAAGAACAGTAGGATTGAGTTGAATGGATGGATATTAATTTTTTATTTCTACCAATCGCAGATGTTGGGATTCCATTTGCAAAAACTGTGTAATGCTTACAGTTCTTAATTTAGAAACAGACGACTTTAATCCACAGTTGATTAGAAATTTGAAATAACATGAAGGAATTATTGAAAAGAATTAAAGGATTTTTACATTGTTGTTTGTGAAATATTGAAGGAGACACCTCTTAAGTTTTAATGGTATATTTTTTATCAATGAGGACAATTGTAACGATGTTGATGATAAAACTAATTGTTTAAAAGAATAAGGATTGATAATGATTTATTGTGACTTTTGGTAAATGATGTTGGCTTATTATAATTTATGCTGTTTTTTATGATTCGTGATGATTTATGACAATTCATGATAACATATTATGATTTATAATAATTTACGATGATTCATGATAATTTTATGATGATTATTATAATTTATGATGATTTATAATAATTTACGATGATCCGTGATTATTCCTGATAATTTTATGATGATTCATGATAATTCATAATAATTTATTATAATTCATGATAATTACGTTATATTTTGAAATTATTGACAGGAGATAGCTGTAGATTTTTACATGGTTTAATTTCATCCATGAGAATGATTATTGGGATGGTTGAATGATGTTGAATTTGATATAATGAATTTTTAAGAATGATTATGGATAATGATTTATGACAATTTATTTATGATGATCATGATGTTGATGATACTGAAGATGATGCCCATTTTCCTATTTTTTAATTTTAGCACAGTCATATTGTCCTGTAGCTTTTGATTGTCTAGCCTTTATTAATCTCAGAACTTTTATTTGACAATCGTACGTCAAAAAACTGACGCGAATTACTCTGATTCATTATTAGCGTTAATTTTGAAGTTGCGTGAAGACGTTTTGGAAAATCTATGAAATTTCCTGGTTTAGTCTTCGACTGTTCGAGAAGTATAACAGTAACAGGCACGAAACTGATTAGTGTTATTGTGTCTCTTGTCTGTATTTTGCAAACCCATCCGTTGTAATAACACGAATCATTACAACATGTGCGCAGAGCCCAGAAAAGGAGGCCTATAGAAGCAAACAAAACTGAAGTATTTTATCCAGAACTCAGCGAGTTTTTCTCAGCATGGTTTCTAAACGTAAGTATAATCACTGGATAAAGACTCTTCTTTGTACTCTGCAAAGCTGAATCAATATATCATGTTTTATGTGAATGATTAATTTTCAGGCGAGTATGCAAATTTATGATAATTATGCTCATCTGCTCTTCCTGTTTGTGTATAATTTACTTATTGTTATTCAGATTATAATCAGAAGCATTTTTTCTTTGTGTCTAACATTTACTCTCTTAAACAATATCTTTATTCATAATCCTGTTACCAGAAAGAAACGCAGATTGTTTTATTAACCTAAAAGTTTGTCAACACAGAGAAGATTCTTTGCCACACCAAATTCATGTTTTGATTATCTTTCGATTCATAAAGGAGGATTTGGAAATAAAACCATTAAGTCAAGAATCTTTAATCCTTTTCAATAACTGCAGTTTGTTGTCACTTTTCTCATCCTGATGTAAATGCAAGCTATTTGCATTCTGTTTCAGGACCCGCCTACGATATACCAAAATTTATTGTAAAGTCACTTATCTTGTGAGATCAGTGTTCAAACTAAATCTTGCATTGACAATACCTGGAAAATACTTGCAAGCAAAATGTAAGAAGGTGTAAATAACTTAAGAATAAAGAGCAAAGTTGTTTATGCTGATTGTCAGAAAAATAACTTAAGAGAATTCAAGGGAAAGAGATGAATTTTCCCTTTTTATACAAACAAAACGAAAATTGAACCTTTCTTAGCAATTTCTGCTACATCAAACTCTACGCTGTTGTTTGTCATATTTGTTAAGTGTTCTGGCAGGCAGGTTTAGATTCATGACAGGTCCTTGGTTATGCAAAGCTAGACACAGCCTCTTTCGTTTGATGGTGGTAAATTACCATACATTATCGCTAAAATACAGCTTAGAAAGATGAGGAATAGAATAAATTATGGAATTGAAAACAGAGGAAAGTCGTACTTGCTTCACTATTCTAGATAGACTAGACTAGACTAGACTTTTCAACTTGGTGAGAGGTTATCGGTCACTGATCGGTAAAGAAACAAACGAACCAATCAAACGCATCTTTCTTCCTCTCACGTGATTTTCGATCCACACCTGAATGTAAAACTTCTGCTTTCTTTTGGCCATTATCCGACGTTCATACTCTGATGAAGATTTTTAAATAAAAAGTGCTTCAGTTTGCTATATTTCCGCTATTTTGTGCCATCTTCAAATTTCCTGGTGCCAAAAACATAAATTCAACTTGGAAATTAATCTAAGTTGGAACTGCCCCCCCTCTCTCTCTCTCCTCCTTCTCCATAGCACTCACTACTCGCTCAACACACAGTAGCGTAGTGTTTTTATACGTATCGCCTATTGAAAGCAGTTAGGTCAGCTAATGCACAAAATACGGCCAGCTGCAATGATGGTGCTAGACAAATCAGGAACAAGAGAGTCCTTATCTTCAAATAGCATTCAAAGATAAACGACGGTTTGAATAAAAGATTGGCTTAAGTTTGTTTGTAAACAAATCTCCATTTATCAATGCTAACATCAAAGCAGGGTTCAAAATTATTGCATATTGATTCTATGTGGATGATATGATAGGAAAGAATTTGTAAATAGACCTCAATATAATCAAAGCTACTGATGCTCAGCGAATACAGTATAGATATTTGTATACTGTTGGTATGTACTGGTTTGATGTCAGTTCTAATATCATTATACTTGATATCAATGAATATTATGTTGAGATCAATTGAATATTGTTATGTTGATATATATTAAAACTTTAATCAAGACATTTACCTAGCAGTATTTTCCTTTTATCTCAATGTTCTCTTTGCATAGATTTTATTTCTATGTAACCATGTATTTATTATCTTTGATACACTTGATGGTGGAGCTGCATGCCATGAAGCTCTGATATCATTATATTTGATATCAATGGAAAATTATAATGCTTTTGCAATATCTATATTATTTTCAATACACTTGATGCTGGAGCTGAATGCCATGAAGTAAGTCACTGGCAGGCAATAAAAGATGCACTAGGTCTGTGACGTCATCTCTATACCTCTATCCAGGGTGTAGAAAAGATTGATTTGCAGACAGTTGTAACTCTTTTTAGCACAAAAGATAATTTTTCTTCTTAACTATCTACTTTGATCTTACAAGTAAAAAAACAGCTTAATTTAATCAGCTAAATTTCGTTAGTGCCCACTGAAAAGTTCTTGTATTTGTTGGAAAAGGCAAATGACTTGGGGTAACATAAGCATAATGGTGTCTCAATCAAAGTGCTCATTAGAACGGATATTTCTCTTGATACTAAAGCGTATTTGGCTAGTCTCGTCCTGTGTTATTCAATGTTGCTTTCATTGGTCTTTGAGTTATTCGATGGCGTAGCTTGACCTTCCAGAAAGGGGCAGGGGGGAGGTCAACGAGAGTAAAACTAACCAACCAAAGCAAAGAGAAGATAAATCTAGGTGCTATTTCACCCACCAATTTTAGCGATCGGATAGAACATTTTCTAGGCTTAATGAGTGGTAAGTTATGTCGACTAGTTGCTTCTCACTGTTTTCTACATGGATTTAAAACGAAATTTTCTACATGTGCCTGCTAGAGACAACATTTGTTTCAGGCCTACAGGACGATGTGGTAGGTGGAGAGGGCAGTCCCTTTCTCTGCTATCTTGGGTCTATATCATTTTTCATATGAAAATGAAGTGCCAACTAAGGAACTTTTTTTTATTCATGGAAATTAATAACAATGCAATTTTACATTGACTATACTACCCTAATTACCCTATACTACACTACAGGGACGATACAATGAAGAGCGAAAGACAATGACTACCATATAGCCGATACATAAAAACGCACAACATTAAACAAGGATAGAAAGAAAGATTACTAAAACTAGGTAGACTAATTACAAATACAGAGTAAACAGACAAAAAGTAGATGCTGATGTATAGTGTGCAGCAATGGAATATTTAAAAGCGTTCTGAAGCATGAATGAATTTGAGCTTCATATTTGTGTCAATGGCTAATCACGCGTCATTATGCAGAATGAATTTGAGAAAAGCTTCATTTGAAAGAGATGAAAAACCACGAGGGAGCAATATTGCATTCACACTACTGAGAGGATCAGATCTAAGCCGGTTATACGAATGACAGAGCAGCAGAAAATGTTCCGTGTCCTCTGCCCCATCATTTGCGGGACACAAAGGGTTGAATGTATCTCTAAAGTTATGTCTATATTTATGATAATTTATTTTGCTCAGTCCTAAAGTAACTGAGTAAGAATAGTTAGACCTTTTGGATCATGAATACCGTATACTAGTTTAGGAGTGGATCGGGTAAGTTTCGATAATTTTGTTTTAAGAATAGTAAGTGAGGGTGATAACTTAGTCTCTGGGTCAAGTTTGTTCCATTCAGAGAGACATTCGGGATAAAAGCTGTTCTGGAATCTTGTCGTTCTTACCCTCATCTACCCAATTAGGGTTCCAGCCCCAATTAGGGAACTTTCTATTCAAGAAGCTTCCTAGGCAGGGTGGCAAGGATCGCTAGTTCCTTTCCTTTCTACCTCCTGTTTTCTTATACATATAGTACACACAGTTCGTGTAAAAGGGGCCTTGAGGCGCTGGCTACAATTACAAATTTTGGGGGCTGGATCCTGTTTTTGATATCTTTTCTTCCTCACGCCCCATGAAGGGTAAATTTCTATTAATATATTTTGAAGAAAAAGGTAAAAAGTTGGCTGAAATGCTACTCAGTGAATGAGCAAATAATTAAGAATCTGTTTTCTAAATAGACTTTTTGCATAGAAATGAGAATTTTCTTCGGCCTAACTGCATCGATTAGGATAGACGCCCAACGCCGTTATTAGAGCAAAGTTTCATGTCTTAAACATGTTCTTGGCTTGGTAACAAATCAACCGTACTTGTAAGGCGATAGTCTAAAGAACTTGCAAAAGTTCAAAAGAGTAAACACTACCAACATTTGCCTTAAAAAGCCTGTTCGCAGCAGGTCTTCTTCTCTTGAATTCCACTAATGAAACCATTAAAATGAATTCCGTTGGGGAATGGATGTTACATTGTAATCATACAAAAACAAAGGATGAAACCTATGTGATGTTGACTGGCATCATAAAGAAGAAACCTATACATTTGTTTCCGCTTAGGAATGTTTTCTAGTGGATGTTGTTATTATATCGCAAGCATTTTCTGGTCTATGCACTTATCAACATGCAAATATAATTATATTTCAAATTTTATCTCAAAGTTATTCTGAAGTATGTAAAGGTTAAATTAAAAATACAACGCTATTAGTCAACAAGAAAAGCGGGCGGCGAGAAATGCGTTCGATGAGGCGTGACCATCGCCCCAAAATCAAAGCATGTTGCAGAAAGTTATCGCCCCGATTTTCATTTGTTTTCCTACGCAAAAACGAATGCTTGAAAAAACCTACGCAAACATTCTTTATAAAGACGATGTATAAAACATCGTCAACCTACCTTAATTTGAAGCGCAGTATAAATCCTTGCGTATTGCTTTGGTGTAGTAACACAAACTGCGGTGCATATCCCAACACGATCATGCATAGATTTGCCGCATAGCCGTTGGCTAATGATGAAACCCTTACACTGCCGATCGCCCGTAAAAAACAACCTGCCGTTACAATACCTGCAGAAATTTCAAAATTTTCACTTTCACAGATGTTCACCATTCCGAACACATCATCAGGCTTCGTTTTCAATAACAAAGCCAAATTGCAGTAAAACAAAAGAGCTTTGTCAACAGATCAACGAAGACAATAGGCCCTGCTCAGAATGACATTACAATGGTTTTGCGCATTGTATTGGCCTCTGCACCTGCATGGCCGCAATGGCTTCTTAACTCCACTGATCGTCAGATTATTTGACTCATTACAACTTCTATCAAGCTTGATTCATCCACTGTGAATATCTTTGACTTGCAAGCCTGCGAGACGTTTGATTTTCAATTAGATCTAAGTTGATTAAAACTGTACTTGACGCTGCGAATGTGCTTCGCGTGCACCTGCGATGGCATCTTTGGTGCCTCGCAGCATTATAAAGGGCAAATATGCAACAAATTTTAACTGAGCGAAAATGCAAACTTGTTTATTCGTCATAGGCACAATAATTTCGACTTGAACGCTGGAAAGGTTTGAAGCAATCTCTAGCTACTTTGGGCTGAACTTTTAAGAAACGTTATTTGCCAGATTTTAACGGAAAAAAGCCTAGTACTATGCTGGAACATTCCGAAGAGTCTATACTGTATGATGTTTTTAATATTTCGTGCCATCTTCAAATTCATGATAACCTAGCCTACGTGCAGACTCAAAATTTCCTACCTTCCCCATAGTCGAGTGTCTGCACGCAGGCTATGATAGTCCAACACCCCGAATTGTTGAAGCCTATATCCTGATAAAATCGTCTACATATAAATGTTTATTGGCATCTTAATATCCTGATATGTTGAGAATGATCAATAATATTTTGTTCTAGACAGGCATTCGGAATATTTAAATTTTGAGTATATTGTTAAGGCAGACTTTTCCTTTGAAAAGACATTTCGCAGTTGAAGAATGGTTCAAATAATTCATGAAGAAATCAAACGTTGCTTTTGTACTAGTTCAAAAGCAAATATTGCTACGGATTTTACAATGAGTAGTAGCAGTATAAGGAAATATGTTATTTGTTGTAGTGGTAAAGGCTCCTGCAATCAGGGTCGCCGAGAGATTTTGGAGGCCCTGGGGAAAAATTGAAAAACGAGTATCTCTTTAGATTAGCTTAAATACATCTATTTTCTTGCGATCGCTTAAAAATTTTCTCAAAAAGGTATTGTTATATGGAAATAGAGAAGAAATTGTCGTTCAAACGTTCACAAGACTGGGGAAATTGACATAGAAGCAAACTTTCAGCTTTGCGACTATATTTCCAAAACCGGCCTAGTATCGTACGGCATGAAAATACAAAACACAATCAATTTCTTAAGACGACAGACACTAAGCACCAACTGAAGGTTGTGCAAGAGTATTAAAAGCACAATTTAAAGACTGCTGTCCAACATGGATCTCCGAGCGACTAAAATCCTTTTAAAGTTTTACAAAGAGGTTTAATTGACTTTCACTACAGACTGCTTGGTACACTGATAGAGCATCTGTCACTGACAATCTGGTGGGCAATAATGTATTTTAAAGCGGGCAGTAAAATGTGGAATTCTTTATCTTGCCAAAATCTTTTTACTTCAGACACAGCGGGTATCAAAAGACCAGAGAAATTAAGCTGCTAGACACTGGATGTAATTAAAACAGACCTGCTTGCGTATGATAATAACGAATCGAGGAATTGCTTGGTCGAGGCAGAAGCGATTCGCAGGGTTGTAGTACTTGGGAGGGGGGGGTACGATGTTGCAAGGGTGTAGTACTAAGGGGGTGCGATGTTGCAGGGGTAAAGTACTAAAGATTATATTTGGTAGTGCTAGGGGAGATCCGATTTTGCAGGGGTGTAGTACTAGGGGATGGGTCGATGTTGCAGGGGTGTAGTACTAGGGGAGATCCGATGTTGCAGGGGTGTAGTATTAGGGGAGGGGCCTATGCTGCAGAGGTGTAGTACTAGGGGAGGGGACGATGTTGCAGGGGTGTAGAACTAGGGGAGATCCGATGTTGCAGGGGTGTAGTACTAGGGGAGATCCGATGTTCCAGAGGTGTAGTACTAGGGGAGAGGCTGATGTTGCAGTGGTGTAGTACTAGGGGAGGGGCTGATGTTGCAGGGGTGTAGTACTAGGGGAGGGACCGATGTTGCAGGGGTGTAGTACTAGGGGAGGGACCGATGTTACAGGGGTGTCGTACTAGGGGAGGGGCCGATGTTGCAGGGGTGTAGTGCTAGGGAAGGGACCGATGTTGCAGGGGTGTTGTACTAAGGGAGGGGCTGATGTTTCAATGGTGTAGTACTAGGAGAGATCCGATGTTGCAGGGGTGTAGAATTAGGGGAGAGATCCGATGTTACAGGGGTGTGGTACTAGGGGAGTCCGATGTTGCAGGGGTGTAGTACTAGGGGGCCCGATGTTGCAGGGGTGTAATGATAGGGGTCACAGGGATGCTGAGCTCCCATTGCTAGTGCCAAAAAGCAGCGAAATTCTGGTTTTGCTATCGTTTCTTTGCAATATTTCGTGGTACAAGCTAGTAAGCGAGAGTTATGGCTATTGCGCAAACCAAGGGCCGAGATAGGGGAGGGAGGTTGGTGGGGTCTTAGGGATTGGAGCCCCCCAATTTTAGAGATACAGATATTCTTATAAGGTAATTTTGAAAACTTCTTTGTTCTATAAAGTGGTGGAAGTTAAAGCTCCCTATATTTCGAAACCTATCTTGGCCCTAGGAGAAGACCCCCCTATTTTTAGTCGATAGTCATGCAAAGCACACATTCACAACTGCGCACGCTCTATGAATTTAACAAGAGGGCTGGTTTACTCATTCCAAAGATTAAAACTTCCGCGTCTCTGAAGTAAATGGAGCTAAAGAGATTTGGTTCGCCAAGCATCTGGCGATTATCTTGAAATATGTTATTACAATCACAGCATGTAAAGTAATTATGATAAATTGATACGAACGTTGAACTCTTGCAAGGATATGCTTCTACATCCCTTTTACACTCTTTTGTGTTATGCTCTTTATTTTCAACAGGGTCTTTTCTATCATACAAACTAGGGAGCTAATTGCTCCCCTCCCCCAGTGACCTCCATTGCCCAAAATAATAGGCTACTGTCCACCTCTTTATATGACACACCTGCCCCCAGCTGATTTACTTTCGAAAAGCATATTTATCTATATCCCTTTTATACTCTTTTGTTTTAAACACAGGTTCCTTTTTATCATAAAAACTAGGGGGCCAGTTGCTCCCCTCCTCCAGTGTTCAAAATAATAGGTTATTGTCCATCTCTTTATATGAAACACCTGCCCCAGCTGATTTTCTTTCGAAAAGGATATTTATCTACATCCCTTTTATACTCTGTTGTTTTAAACACAGGTTCCTTTTTATCATAAAAACTAGGGGGCCAATTGCTCCCCTCCCCCAGTGACCTTCATTCTTCAAAATAATAGGTTATTGTCCACCTCTTTATGTAACAAAGACCTGCCTCCAGCTGATTTTCTTTCGAAAAGGATATTTATCTACATCCCTTTTATACTCTTTTATGTTATATACAGGTTCCTTTTTTATCATACCAACTAGCAGGGCAACCACCTCTTCTGCCCCAGTGACCTTCATTGTTCAAAATAATAGATTATTGTCCACCTCTTTGGATGACAAAGACCTGCCCCAGGCAATTACCATTGTTCAAAATACTAGGCTTTTGTCACACTCTTTGTATAGCAAAAAACCTGCTCCCAAGCTAATTTTCTTTCGAAAAAAGTACACTTATACATTTCTATTCATCAACCAGATACAAGTTTACACAATGAAAGACACTGCTTTAATAACTAACATTGTATTAACAATATAATATTTCAAATACAATGATCTAGATTAAAAAATAAATACACATTCCAAAATGTAACAATTTGTATATACAATTGCATTTATACTGATGTTGTATTTTAAGGAAAATGTATACACTGACTGCATTGCATTTGTGTTGGGAACTCATTCAAAATTTCCTCAACAATTAAAGTATAATATTTACAGATAGTGCAAGCCATGGGGGTTGTTAGGATTTGAAAATTGGAGGGGGGGGGGTAGTTTTCTAATTTCTATTGCTAATTACCTGAAGAAGAGGATATATCCAAGCCTGAATGAATGCTTGAAAGAAAATTGTAAAATTCTACCAGGGTTTATTTTTTCTATATGAGAACTTTTCAGGGTTTAGAAAGAAGGGAGGGTGCTGAAATGTAAATTGGAATAATTTTATTTATTTCTAGGCTTGATATATTAATTGGGGGGGGGGAAACAACCCCACACAGCAAAAATTTGACATCTCTATCTTTCTTTAATTGCAAAGCAAAGATACTTCCATTAATTAATTAATAAATCAATACTCAAGAGGGTTCCTACTTTAATCAAACCAACCAGATTGTCGTGGCAATGTCATACAAGGTTGCCATGGCAATGTCAAACCCATGTGTTTGCAAATTCACCCAATAAAATATAAACATGAAAAACTCATTAAAAATGATAAATCTAAAAATCTAAATGCATTTTGTTATCAAAAATTAACCCAAAAGACCTCCTGAGTAAGTTGAATGACCTAGTCATTTTCACTGTCAAATTGATAATTAGCTGTGAAAATGAAAGAGTTGCTCTATCTTCAAACAACGATGAAATTAGCAAATCTTTTGATTTACAAATCCTTGCCCCCCTCAGGTTTTGTCTACCAGCATTTGCCCCCACATCAAGAGGTTTTTTGAGGTAATGTATTTAACTATCTACAATTAACAAGGTTTACTGTGAATTTCAGGGTGACTTTAAATCGTGGCGACTTTGACAACCTTCTCAATATTAAAACAATTTGTTAAAAACTCACAGGGTAACAAAACCATTGCTTGGGCCTGTAAAGCAATCATACAGGATCAATATCAGACATTTCTACAGGCTTTCATGGGAAAAATGTGCAATGCATAACACACACGTGTAACGTAGAGAACTGACAGTGTGCATGTGATGTCATGTTCGAAGGCACATCCGTAGAATCATGGCTTTTCTAATGGTGGCATTAGGCAATGCTAATTAATGACGTCTTTCTTGCACTCTTCATGTGATGACATGTCATGCATGTTAACCAATAAATGGGAAAAGAGTGATTGCTCAGTGATTAGAGAATTGATATTTGCACTAAAGACACATCTATTTCTGTTGTTCGTTTCTGCCAGGTCATAACACATGAATCAATCTAGGCATGTGGTGGAATGTGTCCTTTGAATTCTGCAAAGAAACTGGACACCTTAATATCCACATTTGAAGATATGCTACTTCTTTAGAAGGGCCAAAAACATCAACTACGAGGATTGACGCTTGTAAGAAAACCTAAACAAGCTGATCATAAAAAGTTCCTTATGAAAACAAATGAAGGGGTGTAATATTTTGGCCTGTGCGGATAGTGGTTAAGGTTGACAAATAATGATCCAATGGTGGTTGGTATAAGAAAAAGGCTTGCCATATCTGTGGAGAGCACACTTGGGCAAGGTGTTAGCATAAATTGTTCCTTTGCGAACTAGAATTATAATAGAGCACAGTGAGGAAACATCAAAGAAAGCTGCAGTTTGATTATAGTAGAGGCAAACAGAATTGTCTTGGACAGAGTAAAATTGAGAACTGCTAAAACATGAGCATTCAGTTGAAGATGCCAAGGTCCTTGTTTTCTTTGTCATCTGTGACTGCCCCTTGCTTCATCCCCTTGAGAGAAGGGAACACGGGGTACTATTTAAAGTTAAAGACTGTGAACCATCACTTTATTTTACATGCGTGACAATGCTTTGAAAGCTGGTAAGAGTCAGGGCATGCCACTTTGTGACTGCACACTTTTCCCAAAAAGCCTGTTTTAGGGCTTAAATAATTGTATATTAACAGAAAGTTCACCAAAGTGGACCAAAGTCACCCTGCTTTATGGTACAAATAATTTATGAATTAACCCTTTACAAACCTCCACCAACCTATCATTACAGTTACAATTGAAAGAAAACTTCCTACAAGATATTTAATCAAATCAAGCTTTTGTGCTTCCATTTCCATCCTTACTTTGGCAATTTCAGTTTCTATCCTGTTATTAGTATCCTTTATTTTCTGTTCATGAAAGGACGATTCCTCTCTCGCTCTTCCTTTCTCTAAGCTCAAATCCAAGGTCAACCCGGATCGTAGTTTCAACAGCTCATCTTTAAGTAATCTGCTTAACTGGGTTAATTCAGCTTTCATGTTTTCATTCTCTTGTTTCAACATAAGGAACTCACTCTTTTCCAAAATCACCATATCTTTTCTCAATGCTTCAACTGTTGCACTCATTCTTATTTCAAGTTGGGCAAGCTCGTTTCTAGAAACCTTAAAATACACAAAAAGATATCAAAAATGGCTTTGAAAAAAGCAAGCATTTTACAACATATCAACTTAAAGCTTTTTCGTCTGACACTCCTCAGAGCATAAAACGTCAGAATAAGGGTCCGAAAGAAGACAATGAAAAATATATACCCAGTTGTGGCTTGAAATAGGCCAATCAGAAAAATGCAAGCACAAGACCGGTATGGTTCACCAATCAGTGTCGCGAGCCTAAAGAAAAATTACCAATGGAGTCCAAGACAGAAAACAAACTCCTTATGTATTTGTATTTTGTATTTGTTGCTATCTAGCATCTGAGGGTAGTTTTAGGACACTGAGAAGCCATGCTTATCGAGCAGTGTCCTGGTCCTTCCTCTCAATGTGACCACACCTCGTAATTCCTACGCCTTGAATTATAGAGAGGTGGCAACTCTCCCAACTCTGGGTGAAAGTTTGGTCATGCCAGGTACTCGAACCACAGACCCTTTGGTCTGTAGTCAGCGCCTCTAACAACTGAGCCATCCTTGCACCTGTCTGTTAACTGGTCCGTTAGTAGTTGGTGCCCTATAGGTAGGGAACAGTTGCCTGGTGAATGCATCACACATGAAACTGGAAGTAACAACTCAGAACTATCCTGTTCTAAACACCAAATAGCAAATCTTTATAGTTGTTTGTTGACGTTTTCATAAGAATCTATTTCCAGAATTTCAAATGCAACAAGAGATTACATCTAAATAACCAAAATTAGTTGAATGTGTAAGAAACTGGCTGAGATAGAGGGGGTGTGGCCTCTATCTTGGAATAGCCTTTGCTAAAGTCAGAAAGAGAAAACTGTAAGAAAAATAGATATAATTTCAATTTTAAATATAACGAAATTGGGGAAATATAACACGTTGTGTCTCCTATTTTATTATTTTAGAAGTCATTAATTGTCGGAGTCTTTTGGGAAGTAAACAAAGAAAATGAACGAGACATACTTTGTACCCCTTCACTTGGAACAAAATGATACGTATAAGGATGCTTGCTGTAAATAAGATCATTAGACAACTAGCTTAAAAAAAATAGGAGTAGAAAATCAATTAACAATGGGGAAGGTAGGTGTGTCGCGAATGAATGAAGACGAAGCGGTGGGGTGATATCTTACCATGTATCTTGACATCCCAGAAGCTCCACTTGTAAGAATCTCTGTCAGACAATCTGTTATAGTTTCTGCTTGATCTAAACTGAATCCGTGACTTTGTAAGGTAGTCACAAGTTTGTGCGTGTCGAAATAAAATGTCGCGCTTGAATCCACGGCCGGGGTTAAAGTTGGTGGGGAGTTAGAGAGTCCTGATAAATTCATAAATTCACGCCCCTTTAACTCCTGGACTTTAGATTCCATAGCAGTGAATCTTTGAAGAAGATTGAGATTATGTTTATTGTAGAATGACCTTTGTTTTGATGAATCTGACGTCGAGACAGTTCTCAATGTACCTTTAGGCCAGTCCGATAAACCTAGCGGTCTGGCACGAACGCTGCTGTGCCCTCCGGCGGCCCGTAAAAGTCCATGACAGCAAGTTTTATCGACATGTTTCAGTGTATTGCAAAGTGTCTTTAAGGTCGGAGCAGCCATATTAATCCACAAAAGCTTTCTTAAACGATTTCGATCCGGAGCACTTCTAAGTAACGATCAAAATTTAATTCTCCCACCTTCCACCTTCTTGAGTTTTTAAACGAGAACGAGTTTCGGACGTGAATCAGAGGCCATGTGTCCATGGAAACTATTGTTCTTAATCATGGGGAAAAAACTTTTTGAGACAGTAATGTTTTTGTGGTCACATTTTTTTCACGTGATTACATCATTTTGTAAATTGATCACATGCTTAAAGAATTGGACTTTGATCCCTTTTACATCTTTAATAGTTATATATTCCCATCAATTTTCAATAAAAACCGACATTAAAATAGAATTTAACCGTAAAGATAAAAACCCTTTCACAACCCAGCTGCCTTTTTCTGTAAAAAACAATACGGCTGAAGATTACAATAGGCACGCAATTCTTGTTTCTTTCATGATTTCAAACGCGCAATAAATGCTATACAAACTCACTTGAATTTTGTCTTAAGTATATGACCAATAATTATTAAAAAGTTCCCAAATGCGAGTCAAAAATTTACAAAGATTCTCATTCTTAAAAGGACTGGGGTATTGCCTGTTATAATGACGTAATGCCCATCTAGCCTAGTCCCCAGAGCCCAGACCCCTAAAGTGCAAGGCTTGCTTCAACAAAAACGTAAAAACCAAATGCATTGTGGACGCGTTCCCCTTGTCGTGTTTGTTTATGGTTGTCGTCTTAAAATATCTAAATTATTTCTCTCAACATCTTCCCTCCCATTTGTTAGGAAATTTTCAAAAGGTGTCATCAAGTCTAAAAGGGTAATAGAAAATATTTATTTGAATATTCGAAACGGTACTTTTCTATTTCAATATCGGTTCATAGAAGTGCTACGTCTTCTGGTCTGAAGTCGACTTATCAGTTTAGAAGAGGAAGAAGACATGAGTGGTAAGATTGGGGAGGCAAAGGTGGGATGAGTTTGGGAGAAATGGGGGTTCACAACCTTTGCAACGCTGGGAAATGCCCTCTTTCAAAGAATTCTTACCATTTTTGGGGGAGGGCCTTCCCTTCACTACGCCACTGGTTAGAAATGATTCCTTTCGACAATCATAGTTCAGCTTTATGTCCCTTTGGTTCCGTGACCATCGTGGGGCACAGGTCTCCCATAAAAAGGAGTAATATTGCCCTTATTCCTTTACTTTGCTTCTTCCGAGGCCCTGAATCAAACTAATCTCCTCGTAGAAATTACAGTTTTGAGATTATGAAATATCCAAAACCAACAAAAAAGTAACAGATATTGCCATTAGAAGTTTGTCCGGGAGGTAAGGCCACCAGGCTTTCCTAATTGCTCGAACTGTAAACTGTAAAAAATAAGAGGGAAAAGGGGCACAGATTGAAACATCTGTGGTCCTCTTTCTCCTCTCTGTCAGCCATCTTTAGGTCACCTCGTTCTGGGGTTCGACATGAGCTGACAGGCACCAATGAAAATGATCTTAGAGTTCACAAATAAAGCTTAGAGACAAAGAAAAACTGCAAATAAATCGGTATAGAACCAAAATAGAAAATATTACTCACATGACGTACTGGTTTTTATCAACCACTTTTTACCAAATTGCATAAATTATCTACCGGAAGTTGCATAAATAAAGGTGAAATTACACGCAGGATTAGAAAATTATTAACACTATACAAATATCAATTTTCTTACGTCAGGACAAGGAAGGGGAAGCTGGAAGGAAGGGGGTAGCTGGGGGAAGAAGGGGTAGCTGAAAGGAACGGGGTAATTGGGGAGAAGAAGGGGTAGCTGGAGGAAAGAAGGGGTAGATGGAGGGAAGAAGGGGTAGCTGAAAGGAACGGGGTAATTGGGGAGAAGAAAGGGTAGCTGGAGGAAACAAGGGGTAGCTGGAGGGAAGGGGGAGCTATGAAAAGGGGGCACAATGCCATTGTTATCTGTTTTCAGTGAAAGGATTAAAAGATGTGAGGGTATTATCCAGAGGAAGGATAAAACTTTTGTGGACTCTTTCTATCATGCTTGTCTGTTCGAAGATTCTCCTCAAACTCTTTCACTATTGGAACTAGAAGAGGGTGTACAAATAAGGGTGGGGTTGGGCTAGAAGTGGAAGAAAGTTAGTGTGTAGGCTCTCTTCCTTACAAAGAGAAACATCTTTGCTTAAAAGGAGATTCGTTACATTTTGTCGGCAAAATTTGCTGACGCCATTTCAATTTACTTGGTGTATACAAATAGCCGTGCCGAAATATAGATTTGCAAATATTACTTATTGAAGTATGGATACCGCTGCCAAGATATGCAATACTTTTGCGAAAGAATTTTATTAGCAAAACATTTATATTAATAAATGCATGCATTTTTCTGGGAATTCAATGTCGTCAGACTTTGCGCTCGAGATTCTAGTAGCTTAGGCCTAAAACCAAAGATCAATAAAACAGATAATCCTGGGCTAGACTGGATTTAAGTCTTTTAAATCATTATAGATAATAGAATCCTTTCGATACTTTAAGAAACTTTAAAGATGTTTAAAATACAATCCTTTTGAATACCGAAACAGACGTGGGTTTCCCGAATGACAAATTATCAGGTGTTTCTCAACCGCTGCAGTGAGAAATGGGTTTTTATGTTCTATTGATGTTCTGGTATCGATAAATTCGTAAATTATAAACAACTCCCTTTCCAAAGGACTTCTATTAAACAAAGGGCCTATCTTGAATATTTGCAAAACTTTAAAGCGAATAAATTCGATGGCAAAAAAATTATTTTTATCATAGCTGGAATCGAGGGGCAAATCACTCTAAGAAAATCTCGTACACCTTTCGTGAAAATCCTAATGTTTTATCCGAAAATCCCCAGAAATCCTTTTGTTTTAGACAAATTCTCGTACGCTATTTGCAAGAGTGAATCGCCCCTCGGCTGGAATATCACTGGCCTGAAGCATAAACGCTTACTACCTTTCTTTGCCAACGCAGTTACAAAAGTTCTTTATTGTGCGAATTCCAGCGGTTAAATTAAATCGTGGACACACCCTTGAAAGTATGCATACATAGTTAAGTCCTCTTAAGACCTTTGAGAGTAAAGTAAATGGAATGAATCGATTCTGAGACAATTTTACTCAAGCCAGGATTTTCACTAATTGGGCGCTTTTCCGGCCCCCAGGGGCTGTGGGGATGAGGACATAACGTTTTGCTCATGGGAACAGGGGAGCTTTTTGAACTTCAAATAGGGGATGGGAAATAGTATAAATGTTAAGGGGAAGCGAAGTGTACTTAGAAGGTTAAGAGAACCTTAGAAAGACAAAAATGGGAATTTCAGGTATATTTCCTTATAAGGGGCAGGGGGAATGTTTTTTTCACAATTTACATTAAAAATCAACTGCCAATTTCTATATTCTTCAAAGGAGAGCTTCTATACTCACGATATTAGTTTTAACGATTAAAACGTCCTTGAGCTCTGGAAGAATCCAAAATGTAGCACAGCACATTTTAATTAAGCTACAATTACACCGGGGGTCTAAGTCTCATAATCCAGTAGCATAAACGCCATAGTCTTTAAATAAAAACAACGTTATCACTAACCCCCGTTAACGCCAATAAGTCACGTGGATATGGAATCCGACGTTCTACTTGAAAATGATGTTAAAATGTGCAAAAATATTTTTCATTGCAAAACTAAATCTACTTTAGAACAAATTAAATACAAAGAATATTTGAAAGAAATAACTGTTTTCGATCGGAAGAAATGGTGCAATTGTTGTCTCTGAGTGTCAAAATATACATTTTTGGAAGAAATTGTCCAAACTGGAGGTGGGGGGGACAAATCTATGGATTAACCAGTGTACGTGGGGGTAACTTTAACAAAAACAGTTCTTTCTTTCTCGATCAATCGCACAAGAACCCAAAAATTGCGTGCTTTTATTTATAATGCCCAAAATTTTCAGAACACAGTCCATGATTTTGAAGCCAGATAAAAATTTATTATCAAAACATAATAATTGTACCCTAAACACAAATTTCACACCCATCAACATATGAGTTTCAGGGAACGTCTAAACTCTTCTCTATCTCTCGAAAGTCTAATTGGTTCATATCAAGAATTGTGGTCCAAATCATTTCTGTCTGGTCCCGACCGGATGATACAAAAGAAAGCTGGATTTCGATTCGTAATCCAGAGTGATCCAAAATTAGATTTCAACTTACAGCTTCATGCTTTGCTAGATTCACTGATGCTGCCACAGATAGATTGCTTGCAAAAACTCTGGGAATGAATCCAGATTTCTGTCTTTAGTTCCTCATAAATAAGGTTCCAATTTGATTCAAACGAATCTAGAATAAACAACAAACAAAATTAATACAAAAACATAAGGGAAGAGTTGGAAACAAAATCTATCAACTGCAATCTATGGCAATCTATGGCAATCTAATCTAATCTAATCTAATCTAATCTAATCTAATCTAATCTAATCTAATCTAATCTAATCTAATCTAATCTAATCTAATCTAATCTAATCTAATCTAGCAATCTACTAAAATCTGCAGTTACATATTGCAGCCTACTGTAATATACAGCAATTTATTTCAACCGATTCCAATCTATTGTAATCCACTGCAAATCAACTCTAATCTACAGAAATCTACTAAAATCTAAAGCAGTTAACATTGAAATACGAGTATTAGAAACAAGTCCTTATTCAGATAATTTTCTCTAATATTTTTAGACTTTTACTAAATCTACATTTTAAGAATTTTCTTCGCGGATTTTTTTTCGATTCCTTTATTCGAAAATGGAACATCCGAAGCCCGGATTTCGATCATGGAATTCGATATTCGAATAATCGAACGCTATCTTTCATATAAATTTACTGAAGAAAAATGAATTGGATTATTTTACAAGAAATTTCAAAAGACCAATACAAAATTTTACACTTTAATTTCCAGATTGACAAATACCGGAATGAAGAGGGTTGAGTTTTAATTCCAAGGATTTTTATGTAGACTATGGTAGATCAGCCAATCTTTTGCAAACTAAAACAGTTTATAAGAAGCTTAGGCCGAACTATAGAACGGAAGTTTTTGATTATGCTTCTTCAAAGTTGATTAATTTCAGAAAATTTTTCGCTATAAATATATGAAAAAAATCAATAAAAAAATCAAAGAAGCTTAGGCCAAACAGCAGCACTTAATGTTGCTTAAGACTTCATTTAAAATTGCTTTATTTGAAGTAACTTCTACTGTAAACAAAGTATCGCGGGTCAGTTCAATTGATAAACTGAACTGAAGCAAAACAAATACACTTTGTAAGAATCTTAGGCCGAACAAAAGTAATGAAATTTTCGTAAAGGTTTCTACGATGCTTAATTAATGTACACAAACAAACAAATATTTCTTGAGCTAGCGAAACTGTAAGATTAAATGAGTATGTATATTGGGAAATAATGTAGTCGAAGGAATCTTTAGGCAATTCTTTGCTGCTTACGAAACAACTTGGAAACGAAACTAATAAACTTATATTGGCTGGTCTAGCACTGAAGTTAATCACAAATAACTAGCTGCTTTTGAAACTTTTGTCGTATGAATGAATGACTCATATTAAACAAAACCATAGGCCTAAATAACATACTGCACACAGCGCTAATCAAAATCCTTTACGTCATAACTAAGCAAAAAATTGCAAACCTGTAAAGAATTTATTCGGTATTTTATCAACCAACGGAACAAAGGGAGGAGGCCCTGGGGATAATAAGAAAAGCCCCCGCTAAGACAGTGACCCATATAAAAGGAGAATCGCATTCGGAGAGCTTAGACAAGAAATCCATTTAATGAACTTTAGGCCGGTCAAAAGAAAGGAGAAATTTCGTGACCTGTTAAGGGGTTTGAAATAAAAAACATGGGGTGCGAATAATCCGATTTTTTCTCCTGATAATACGAAAACTAGAGGGGGTAAAACGAGTAATTGGCTAAAGAATGTATGTTAAATTAATCGATATTAATCTTTGAAAAGGGTTTTTTGGAAAAAAATTCTTGAATATAATCATTGAATGATCTAATGGAAATATTGTTAAAGGTAATGTGTCCAGCTAAAGCAAGCGACTCTGCGGGGGTTTTTAGAAACATGTGATTTTTCATGTCATCGCCTCAGCCATTACGGTCGTTCTGTTTATTTATCCTGCTGCGAGGTTAGCTTTTCATGTGAGCAGTTTTGCATCGCAAGAATACTGACCAATCGCAAACCGTTATTTTGATGGGTGGCTTGACAAGTTGGGTATACGCAGTCCTTTTATATGGACACATTACCTTTAAGTAAAAAATTGAATTCTTTGAAACTCACCATTTAAATATTTCAAAAATCAGTCGTCATACGACTTGTTGTATACGAGGCTGTCTCCTCCTCATCACTTGAATCAGATTCATCCGTTGACTCCCCATCGTCCAACTGAGCGTAAAAATCATCCATTTCTTTTTTCTGTTGTTTAAAATGCTTTATTGACTTCCCCAATGTAATCAATTGCGTAGCTAATGTGAGATCTTGCTCTCGAAGTTCCCTTAAATCTGTCATAACACGTGACAATGAAGTGCTTATTCGCTTCATAGGGTCTGGGTTCGAAGCTTGTTTCCTGGCAACAGGTTCATCGATATAACTTTCTTCCGCCTGTTGTTGTTGCTGCTGATGCTCCTTCGGCCTTTCAAGGCTTGAATCCGGCGCAGCTGTAAAATAAAAGTTTCGAAAAAGATTTATCATAGATTGGGGCTTTGGAAATGATTCAATTAAAATAAAATACTTTGCTTAATATTATCATTAGCATCTTATCCTTAAAAAACTATATTTGTCATTCATAGCACAATCTTTGATGGTTGGCAGAGTACAATTCCATTTTTAGTGGATAAAACTTCAGTAGCCTTTTAAAAAACAAAAGGCTTCGCACAGAGGGACAATAAAAATAAGAGCTTTTCAAAAACAATTCACAGTTTTTGCTTTACACTTTCGAATGTTTTCTAAAGGCAAGCTTTTCCTACGGTGAGATTTGAAACATTCAAAGAAATTAGCATAGGCTCTTACAATTTGTATTATTCGCTACAAAAAATGTTAATGAAAAATGAACGAACCTTCAATATTGTTATCCGCCATGTTCCATTCACCTTCGTGAGAATAACTAGGTACATTGCTCGATTTATCGTGACCATTCTTTGCTTCTGGGACATTTTCGGAAGCTTCTGTCTTTTTGGATGCATAAGTATCAGATTTCTTTGAAGGTGGGTCTTTTTTAATCTTGACTTGACTTGATCTAAGGCCGGATATTTTTCTTACAATTTTCACCATTTCTTTTTCTTCTTCATCTTCAGCTTCATTGCAATCGACAAATCCGGAGTTAACATACGGAACTGAATCCTCCTCCCGGGGCTCAAAGTACTCACTTTTGGGCCTAGCAGAACCAACCTTACTTTCCTCGACACTTTCAAAATACTCCGATTTTACCTCCCGCCTTCGTATAGAATCTCGAACTCCGAATTCCGTCTCTACTCGCCCGCCCCTCATAAATGGTTGTCTCAAATTTCCAGGACCGTCATGAAGCTTGATGACGTCACCTTCGTACCCAGTCCTTTTTGGTTCTGATATCCGCCTTCTAGCTACAACGGCTGTTTCTTCATTCAGCGAAGAATTAGTTGAGCTGTTCAAACTTCTATTTAGGCTTGAATTAGATGTTTTTATTTGCTGCCTCCCTTCAGTATATGATGGCCTAGATTGACCACGACTTTGATCAGTGTCTGAAGCATCGTGCCTCTTTCTGATATCAGCCTCGTTTTCTTCTAAATCAAGTGACACCCTTCCTCTTCTCTCCATTTTCATGGCGAACTCTTCATTCAACTGAACGTCTCCTAGAACAACAGACTTCCTCTGTGTCTTGTTTTTTGCCGATTTTTTTCCGTCTCCTTTTTCAGCCGGTTTTTCTTCCTTTCCATCACCAGACTTTTTCTTACTTTTGATAAAATCTTTCCCTACCTTCGACAAATTCTCCAAAGACTTGCTGAACGACTGGTATTTTGAAGACAACAGCTTTGAGCCTCGCTTGAATCTTCCGAGCCGCTCCTGCGTTGTATCCCGCGGGGCTTCCTGCAAGGATGCCCTTGTGACGTCATCTCTATTAAGGCTGTTGACATTAGAACTTTGGCCCATTGGTTTGTACCACTGAAAATCCTGAATAATGAGGCTTGAAATATTGGGCGCCATATCAGCATCTGACAAATCACTCGACTGCTCGAAATTGGAACCAACATCTACTGCCTTTTCTCGAAATTCTTGTGAGGTATTTGTAGGTGAATCTCGAGGTTTCCCGCGGGCGTCCGCAGCAAAATCTTGGCTAACACGCACATTATAGCAATTGACGGTTCGGTTTTCTATTTCATGTCTTTCAGCATTTTGATCTTTGATTGATGGTCCTAAATCTCCTTTTTGCGTTTGCAGTTTCGCTTTGAAGCCGTTTTTACCTTCATCCCCCGGTTCACTTGCGTCCCAGGAGCGGCTCTTTTCATGTTGTAATGGCTTTACAACAGCAACAGGGAAACTCTTGCTACCATCTTGATGTCCACGGCTATTTGTAAACGGGGGTGATGATCCGTTTGTGTTAGGCCATGACTGATTCTGATCGTTAATATCTACCGTGATATTATCAAAATCCGGAGGCGCTGGCCAATCAAATTTGTCCTCGGCACCAGACCTGAATGATAAGTCAGCATCAGCCTCCACCTGCATCTGCTGCGAGGGAGCTTGTTGCTTAGCAACGCGCTCGTCAAACGATTCTTTTCTCCTAGTGAGACTATTTGTAGGCGAAAATTGACTTTGTGTTGGAGAACTTGATGTAGGAGAAAACTGATTGGAGCTTCGACGAGGCAAGCTGTTAAACCGTAAGTCCTCCTGGTCAAAGGATGAGGAGACTGACGTCACAGGGGGGCTTCGGGGGAGACTGCCAAAACGCTGGTTGTCCTGTTCCCCAAAGAAATAGTTATTCGGGGCACTTGTTTTTCTTGGCGACCCACTTCTAGGCAAACTACCATATTTGGGGAAATAATCGCTGCCAAATGAGCTTCGCCTTGAGACAACAGGTCTCGGTGACGTCATCATCGTTTCTGTTTCTGTCACAACCTGTGTCACAATATCAGAGTCAAAAGTTGTCTCTTTTCGAAGCCGAGGGCTGTTGCCAAGCGACACTGACCTTGGGGAGTCAAATGAATGTTGGAGATGTGGGCTTGCAGTCCCACTTTGGCTCCTAGGACTAGAGACACTTATGGGCCTAAAATTTCCATTGCCATTCGCAGTTCCAGTCGGCGAAATGCTCCTACTACTTCGGTTACTCTGTTTGCCAATACTTCCAGCCCTTGAAAGCTTTGAATAGCTTTCTTTCTGTATGCTAAGGCTTCTCTGGCGCATATCATCCGGACTATACCCGTCACTGTGTTTAGGTGACTCAGCACGACTGCGATTACGCGGGCTGTCACGTGGAGTCTGTCTTTTAACCTCGGAATACCTCGGGTAATTCGAATTTTTTGGCAATCCCATTATTTCTTCACCAGAACGTGAACGCCTATGTGAAGGTTGGATTTCAAGATCTTCATTTAAACCATCATTTCTTGCAGACGAAGAGACGAACGATATATCCTGAGGAGCTGAATTTGTCCGTTCTCGTGAATTATCGGACATTTTTGTATCATTATCGGTATCTTCCTCTCTAATCGCACTTACAAGCGTACTTATCCTACTTTGCTGCGACTGAAGCCACGAGTCAATATAGCTTCCTTTTCGTTTACCATATTTGGGTGACTGACGGCCGACGTCATCACGAGTGTCTCCGAGTTTTTCCATATATGGTTTCCTTTGACTATAACTTCGCTCGACTTCATCATCGCAGCTGTTTCTACCTGAACCGACATCAGTAATAAAATCCCTTGTTGGCGGTTTTCTCGCCGGCGGTCTTTGTGGCGCCTCCGATCGCCGCTCGGCAATTTGTTCGCGGAGTTCCTGTCCCCTCTGTTTATATTGCTCCAGCATACGTCCACATTCTTTCGATCGGCTTATGAGCTCCTCTTTGGACCTGAGTGACAAAATAAACGATAATGCAGACAACGAAATAAAATTTATGATAATAACTCCACTTGTCACGCTTCTATTTGAGGTATAATTCACATATTTTACTGTTTAATTTCAAATTAAAGAATCTAAAATATAATTTCACATGATGTGCAAATTTCACAAGATGGGTTACTGTTTGGGTCATTTCATCAACGTCTATAAACAGGGTTTGCAGAAGCGGGGGGGGGGGGTGGAGGGTGGGGGTTAGCCCCAAAAGTTGCAAAATGTATTTAAAACCATACAGAAGTACACCATGCTCTTGGTTTTCAGCATGTTTAGCCTACAATAAGCTCCACAGTTCTTGTCTATAAACTAAACTAACTTTTTCAGCTAAATTAAAATATAAAGTTATAAATCTGAATAAAGATTGTATAAACATGTTACAACCAAAAAGAAACGAATTACGGGGCTGCTCTGTTTTGGTAAAACCGTACAAAGTTCGGCTTCGCAGTAAACTTTTATTGCGATTTTTCCTTTTTTTCTTTAGGCGTCTTGAAAATGGAAAAGGATGACCAAACCGGGTTTGCAGGGTCTTGTAGTGCTTTTTTGGGGGCATGCATTCCTTTTTTCTAGCCTACAATAATTAAACAAGACAAATGAGTTTGTGGTAGGGATTTTCCACAGGCTGCAGGTTTTGCCAGACATGACTCATCGTCTATTAAAAACGAAACAGAATTCAAAGATATGCGAATTATAAATCACCTTTTCTATGAACAAAGAGGGTCTTGTTTTCTTAAGTCCCAATTTAAAGGCATGCCCAGACAGCCTGGGTGTTTAACATGTGAGACGGGGAAATCCGAAGAGCAAGTTATTGCACCACAATATATAATAGAACAGGAATAGTGGATGACGTCATATTCGGCTCAGGCCCCTGAAAATCTTTAGACACGCCCGATAAGAACATAGAAGAGTTTGAGTCTCATAAAATGGCTATTTCGAAACCTGTTTTTTTTAACTGTTGATAAAATATTGGACATTTCTTCCTGAAAAGTTTCACTCCAGTAGTTGCAGATTTCAGATGTGTAGTTTTGTAGTTTAAGGACTTGCAAGTACAAGAAAACAAGGTTTCTTTGCATTTTGTGAAAACGGTAGTACAGATAAACAAATAATAACCATTACGTTGAAACAGTGAACAACAGAAAGCTGACGGCGTTGAGTCTTCGAGAAGCAAGGTGCAAAAACATCCCGAAATTCAGGCCAATTGAGTACAGCCTATTTCCACGTCCAATCACTGTAATTTGGTTTAGGTTGTAAAATCTATGAGCCAGGTCAAACAACAGTAATACACCAGGAAACTATGCTCTTACCGCTCTTACACTTGCAATAATTGAGTTCACTTGTGACAAACTTAATTTGTTTTTCAGTGGCGTAACGGTGGCAGACGGGCCCCTAGGGATTTGTCACTTCAGGGCTCCAAAATTGTTGGCATTAGCAACACAGCGTAAATAAAGCATCAAATTCTAATAAACAGACTTTTCAGTCTTTTGGACACATCATACAGGCAGTGCTGTAGTGCTATCAAAATAACAAGGGGGCTCCTGCACAAAATGCTGCAGAAAACAATAGCAAAAGTAGAAATTTGCCAATTTTCGGCATTAACAAGGGGGGATCACCCCCCCTGAGTCCCCCTAGCTCTACACCCCTGCATACAGGCTTTTGGACGACCTTATTGTTTATCATATCCAGAAAACAAGCTTCAACGTAAAATAATATAGAAAATATCTTTGCTTGGGGCCCCTTAAGGCTGGGGATCCTTAGTTTCTGAACTAAAGCTCCTAGCTCCCCTAGCTCCCCCTAGCTCTACACCCTTGCATACAGGCTTTGGGACGACCTTATCCTTTATCATATCCAGAATACAAGCTTCAACGTAAATAATATAGAAAATATCTTTGCTTGGGGCCCCTTAAGGCTGGGGATCCTTGTAATGTTCTAAACGAGGCTGTTGAATTAGGAGGTTATTATGATGTAACACCGAAGTGACAGAAGCACGTTTTATATGAGTGGCACTCTTTGTATAATCGTGGACTCTTCATATGGCGACGAGAATGGAAAGTGTTTATGAACATCAAGCACAAGTTGGCTCTTCTGCAGTGACAGAGTCATGAATGCAGCAAGCAGGAAAGTGATTTAATTTTGCTTTTCATTTTGAGTTAGGCCTGACGTCTGCCCGCACGAGGCTTATTCCGCATAGACAAGGTGTATTTTGCGGACCACGGCACTAGTGCCTACAAAGTTTTTGGTATATTCTACGGACCACACCAAACGCCGTAATATACCACTATTCTGTTTTTTTATTTTGTATAAATTTTTTTTTTTCATAAAAAAAAATTTCTTACAAGCATGGCCTCTGCACTAGTGGGTCTTAAAGCGTGCATAACGGAGTTTAATCCAGATGTGCAACAAGATGCTGGTAGCAATCAAGAACGCCGATGGAAACTCTGGTTAGAAAACCTAGAACTGGTGATGGATTTTGAGGGCATCACTGACGCTGCAGAGGGGCCTTCAAAGAGAAGGGCTGCATTGCTTGCTGTTGGTGGCTCTGAATTACGGGAGCTTTTTGCAACATTGACAGTTGCGGATGCAAAATATTCAACCGCCACAGCTGCTCTCACTGCACATTTCACTGCGAAAAAAAATTTAGCTGCGGAGCGCTACAAATTTTTCTGCACCAAGCCCACCTCCCCAGAGGAATCTCATGATCACTGGGCGACTCGCTTAAGGATCAAAGGTGCTGATTGTGAATTTAATGAGATGGATTTAAATTCTGCAATCACACTGGTGATGACACTGCACACTCACTCCGAAAAATTACAAAGGGAGATAATTGCTCAAGATATGGACTTAAAGAAGGTCCTAGCTACTGCTCGCTCTATTGAGCTTACCAATAGAGAAATTGCCTTCATGAAGCAACACAATATGGAGGCTACAGCCTCACCAACACCTGTCTATGCTGTACAAGGAAAGCACCCTAAGGCAGAACATCTATACAAGTCTAAAGGGAAAACCATTGAGATCTGCCGCTATTGTGGAGAGCGAACACCACACAAAGGGAAATGCAAGGCCATGGGTGCAACCTGTAAGAGCTGCAATAAGAAAAATCATTTTGCTAGTGTTTGTGAGTCAAGAAAATCAACAAAGCCAGTCAAAACGGTTGACACAGAAGAAAAATTTGATGAAAATCCAGAGCAAGACAGTTATATCTACAACAATTTTGTGGAAGGACCAACTGTTCTCAAGCTGGATGCAGTCACTACACCAGTTCATGCTATCCAGAGCAAGAAACGATATCCGGATACCATGGTGCAGGTGAAGTTTGATGGGGGCACAAAATTGAGAATGCAAATTGATACAGGTGCAGATGCAAATATCATTGATGAAAGCCTCTACCACCAGCTGCACCCTAAACCAAAACTTAGAAGAACACAAGTCAAGCTCAAGCCGTACAACTCTCCACCCATTCCGGTAAAAGGATCCTTCCAGACACAGCTAACAGCCAATGGAAAGCAGGCCATTGCAACCGTGTATGTTGTTCCAGGATCAGGACAAAAACCCCTCATTGGAAAGTACACTGCTTTTGATCTGAGTCTGCTTAGCATCACTGTGAAAGAGTTAACCGCAGACATGCAAGACATGCACCATGTGCTGCAGGAAAGAAAACAGGGAAACAAGAGTGCCAAGGCCACCACTCACGTCACTCAACACATGTCATATTCAGCTATGGCAGAGCATCTCACCTCTAAAAAGTCTTCCGAACAGCGGCTGGACAATATCTACAAACATAAGCATGATGCAACAGACAGAGTTAAGGCCATCGTTGATCAGTACCCTGGGGTGTTTGAAGGTATTGGCAAACATCGATACAGAGTTGTGAAGTTGTCCGTGGACAAGTCAGTACCTCCAAAAATTCAACCACAGCGCCGAATACCCTTTGCAAAGAGGGAGCAATTTGAAGCCATTCTCAAAGAATTGGAAGATGCAGACATCATCGAGCCAGTGTATGGACCAACAGAGTGGGTTTCAAATGTCGTGTTGACACCAAAAGCTGATCCATCCCAGTTGCGAATGAGCCTTGATGTGACCACAGCTAACACTGCCATCCGGCGCACACGTCATGTCATCCCACATTGGAAGAACTGCGATACAAATTAAATGAAGCCAAGCATTTCACAAAACTAGACATGCGTCAAGGCTACATGCAGTTCGAGCTGAGCCCAGAAAGCAGATACATGACAACGTTCTACACCCATCAAGGCCTGAGGCGTTTCAAAAGGTTAAATTTTGGCACCAATTCCGCTGCTGAGATTTTCAATGAGGAAATTCGTCAAACGCTGGTGGATATTGAACATGCTGAAAACATCTATGAAAACATTATCGTGTTTGGAAAATCTCAGAAAGAACATGATCGAGCACTTATGCAAGTATTACAGCGCCTTGATGACTGCGGTCTAACACTTGGAATGTCAAAGTGCAGTTTTAACCAACCAGAAATCAAGTTTTTTGGCATGACTTTCTCATCAGCAGGAATGTCACCATCACCTGACAAAGTACAGGCTCTACATGATGCCCAACCACCCGCATCTGCAGCTGAAGTTCGATCCTTCTTGGGAATGGCTAATTTCAGTGCTCATTTTATTCGCAACTACTCTGCTCTTACAACCCCGTTGCGGTTGCTCACTAGAAAGAATGTTACTTTCAACTGGACCAATGATCGTCAAAATGCTTTTCAGTCAATTAAAGAGGCCCTCTCACAAGACACCACAATGGCATACTTTGACCCAACACGAGAAACAAAGCTCATTGTAGATGGCTTCAAATATGGCTTCTCTAGCATCTTGACACAACTTGAGCCCCAAACACAACAATACAAAGTAATCAGATACGACAGCAGACCGACAACAGACACTGAGAGTCGCTACTCACAAATTGAAATTGAGAGTGCTGCACTAGCATTCGCCATGCAGA